CATCCCATAGTACACACGCGATCAAATCAGGCTTCCCTAGGGAAAATGGCGATATAGATAACTATATTAAGTAATTAAATAACTAGTTAACTGGTTAATCATACGAAATCTCTTTCAGTTAAATTAAATATAGATGCAGGTAAGTAGGAACTTGTATAATGTAATTCTCGAGCAATCGGTTGATTGTTAATCGGACGGTCAATTAACGTAGAGATTTTCGAGCTGCAAAAATTATGAACCGTCCGAGAAAGGCAAGGATGAGTCGAGACTGGTCCACGACGAGTCTTTATACCAAGTTGCACATCAGGTTTCTTCGTTTACAACTAACCACGGCCTATTCCAAGGATCTGTTCTTTCACCAAACATGGTCAGACCGTGTCGTGGTGAACACCGTTGTCCCTGTTCTTCGTTTTTTACCAAAGCCGAAACGATCCACGCTCGTTATTTCTTCTAGGAAACGAGCGACGATCTCGTCGCATTCCATCGTGCAAATTTTCAGCAAACCAGATCCACGGGACTATCTGAACCGTCCTCGCGGTTTGAACTCTTTAAGGAACGACATTTCGCATTCTTACGCGTTCAGAAATGAAAATAAGAAAGAGGAGAGGTATAAATTCTGCAATTTTTCACTTAATATCGATACCGTAACGATAATGCAAGGCGACATTGCGATAATCAACACTGGTAAGCTTCCAGAACGAAAGAAAAAGGTAGAAAAGAAATTGTAATCACGTCCGGGGAATCGATTAGGAGGCAGCGGGCCCCGAATTCCGATCGGTTTTCGGCCCCCTTGGAAGCGGAACTCTCCCGTCCCGCTCGTTCTTATTGTCTCGCGGGTCCCAGCTGGAGAAGCTCAGTTCTGCTCCAGTACTCTCCGGAGTAACGTCGTCGCCGTGCACTCTCCTCGCGATCATCTTTCCATTCTGATCGTTCTTTCACCGAGTCGTTGACACGCCGTTACTCGCGTCCAAAGAATCATCCTCCCCGGCTGTCATCGTCAACGAACGCGATTTTTTTTTCCACCTTCCTCGAACCGTACGATCGCCTCTATCGAACGTGTGCCCGCGAAGAATTGTGCAAGTGCAAGGTGACTGTCACGGTCCTCCGGGAGGTCGTCGATCCGCTCTCTCGTGGACGGACGAAAAATTTGAGAAACAATTTCGTATACGCTTCTAGATTTTGACACGGACGAGATCGTTATGGCGGCCGGCGGTTTTTGTCGCGATTAGAGAGTCCGCAACCGGTTGGCGAGCTTAGAAAATGGCAAACAAGACGCAAGGACGGTGGAAGCGCGCGAAAGTCGCGTCTACCTAATCGAGACTGAAAACGAGCATCGAAGAAGGAAAAAAAACGTAACTCGGTATTAAGTTGTGGAACGAGAGCAAGGGAAAAAGTGACTGGGACGTTCCGAAAGGTACGACGTGTGAAACGGGTCGAGAGTTTCTCGAGAATCTTCGAAATATTCCCGATAACACCGGTGGTCATTCGGAGAACCTTCCAGGTGCTTCGTGGGAATCTTTAAGAAAGATATTTCGAAGGATGTGAAACGGTGCGATGCTCCTTTCATGGTGAATTTCATTGAAAATTCAAAAAATTGCGTGTTGATTCGAAGTGCTTTGAAAAATAATAAAATGTGATACAGATTCCAGTTTATGTAAAAATTTATCCCAAAGTGTGATACTTCCACACAAGTACATTTTCAAAAGCTTTGCTAAAAGGGATCCTTCAAGAAACCCATAGAAAAATCAATAGAAACCTAATTAGAAATTTAGAAAAATAGACTGCGATCCAAAACAGATGTGAATGAAATAAACGAAAAAAGAAAAGAGGAGGGACTCGGAGCGAAATATCCTCGAGCGAAGATCGATGTCTGTTCGCGCTCGAGCGGCCTCGAAGCCGTGTGATAACTGATAAATATACCGGTCTTGCGGTACTCGCCTAAGAGAATGCGGTTACAAACACCAGGGGGAAAAAAGGAATACGGTGGTAGATCTTTAATGGTTGTCGATACTTTCGTTTAGAAAGCGCTCGGCCGTGTCAGTTGGACAGTGATCCGCGATCGCCGCGCATCGTTGACGCGTTTCATCCTTCGAATCGGCATCAAATCTGATCGTTAGATAAACGAGTTTTGGAAAACGCGCGATCCGCGATGTGAATCGTACAGGAATCTTGACTTGAGAGAAAGTCTTGACCGTGTGAATGAGTAAGTTGTTTCTTCCTTTTTTTTTTCTGTATGTTAATTGAGAATCTCAGTTACATTTCTTTTTGCAACAATTATTTAAAATTAATTGCACTGAAGGAGTTTATGTACACTCGCGATCAAATCAAAGTTCCTTAGGAGAAATGGCGATACAGGGGTAGCAGGAATTCTCAGAATTTTAATTTTAATTTTTCCCGCGCAAATGTATACAGTCGCGTGATAGGGCCAGACTCCTATACGTAGAGCTCCCTCCCTACACACTGTCATTCACCCCGGTGATGCCTATAGGGAAGGGCGAGGTGTACTATCGCTTCTAATTTATCTCGTTTCCGTTTTCAAGTCGCTGATCATTGAAGCATAGAGAACGAAGACAAATTATGCAACTAAATTCTAGTTATTCAAGTATTTTATTAACGATTGAATTTCTTTTCAGGAGTGGAAAATGCAGCTACCAGTTCGGGCTCGTGTTTGGCCAGGGAGGAAGAAGAGGCGAACACGATGGAAACGGTTCGCGATTTTGTTGAAAAGATAATCGAAGGATTGATCGGTAGCGTGGAGGACACGCCGATCGATCGATTATACGATCATCCAGCATGTAAGTTAAAAAGTACGAACAAACTCTGTGCCTCTACTACCTTCTATTCTTAAATAAATCGTAAGTAGCAATTAATCTCTCTGAATCTAAAGTGATTGAGAAAGGAAATGATTGAAATATTCTAAGTTTAAAAGCAAAATGATTGTGTAATAGTGTAAGTTGAAATATATGTAACTAAACAATGCTGCCATCTGTTGAAGAAGCTTTGTTGAAATAAGAAAAAACACGCGTCGAATTCTTTTCTCAGTCACTAAAGCAATATTTCTATACGATGCTCTGTACTGTAGTCAGCAATTAACTTTCAAGCATTTCAATGACTACTTTTAATCCTCTATGCCTTTCTAAAACGCGACATTACGTTACTTAGCAATTAACTCTCGGATAGCTCGATTGTTTCCTCGACATTTTACGTATAAAGTTCTAATAAAACAAAATAAGAATTAAACCTGATTGAAAATCATCGAAGAAACAATCATGATATCTATTGATACTTTTTATTTACTTATACTAACACTTTGGCTAACGCTAATTAACAGATGACAAGCTTTTGGAAAAGTATAATGTACCCTTGGTCGATGCTCTAACACGTTTGGCCGTGGCTCTGGAATTATCCCTAAAAAGTGAGTATTTGTATCCATCTAAACTATACATGATTGAAAATGATAGAAAAATGCTCCTCGGACAAGGTATTCAAGTGATGCAGCTATGTAACACAGGTTGCCTTCACAGGGGCATCAGTGTGTACAGTTGGTGGAAAAGATTCATCATGAATTGAAAACCGATGAAAAATTCAATGACATTAATTTTAATTCTGCAGAACGAACAAACAAGATGACAAAGAGGAATAAATTCTGTTTTATCACAAACAGCTTTCAGAATATTACTGCCTGTGAACTTGGTATAAACAAATTTTTATTACTTCCACGTATTGCAATATATATAATGATACAATTCATTTCAAATGAAATAAATCGAGATCGAATTGGAAAACAAATTTTATTGCGGTCAAGAAAAATCGATCCTTCGATCAGCCGATCAAAACATCAGCCAATTACCTCGTACGACATTAACAATTGACTTGGTATTTGCATTCTCTCAGCAGCCATTCGATTACGCTGGAACGTGGCCTAGCTTCGTTTCTTACATAAGCGACACAGAAATTATAATTGTCGCTCGTGGTCGTTGTTCGACGCGATCTTTCTTCCCACAAGCATTTTCCATCGACTCGTATCAAACTTCCTCGAAAATTCTCTTTAAAGAAAGAGAAACCTAAAGTTTCCCTAATCATCGTGCGGGTGAATAATCGACTCGCGTTCCAGCAATTGCATCGAATCATTACTTGAATAATAGAAATCAGAGTGGGGAATTTAAAAATAGAAAACGTAGAATTTGATAGATCAACGATAACTGAAACGAAAACGGGGGCGACACTTTCGCACGGTCCTGACGGACAATTTTTGCGGCATCAAAGTTGCCGTTTCATCGATATAAATTCGACTTGATGACCTCCGAGCGGTCAGGAGATTCGAATCAGTCGAAATGACTTGTAACTCGATCGACAATGGAAAGAAGATCGTGACAAAAGTTCACAACTCTTTTCTTCTTCTCGAACGACGACACAAGATCGTTCGTAACGTTTCGACGAATTTACGAACGAAAGACACGATTGAATTTCTACGTCGTTGGAATATAAGTTTCTTTCTTTCGTTCGGTTTTACCGTGACCCGAGACCGGCATGCATAAAAAGGCACCGTTCGTCAGGAATTCTTCGACGTATGAAAAGCGAGCAGCAAGTGTACCTGAGACACGTGTTTACATGGTAAACCGATCGCTGCGTTAAATGGTTTATGCAGAAGGTATACAAAAGATGTACATATGTATAACCGCAGTCGAAGTCAACCTTCCCTATAGACATCCCAGGGAAGACTGACAGCGCAAGGAAAAAGCTGAATATATATACACTATCCACCGATGACAAGATGTCTCGCGGGGCGGCACAGGGGCGAGAGGAGATACTACACACACGTCGACTGACCCCTTAGTTTAAGGCGAGTCTATACTTGATGTCACAAGAGTCCATAACTAAGCGCGCAGGTTGGAAGATGGTGGGGGAACGTAGCGATGGTGGGGGAAAGCTATCCGCCAATCGCTTTCCACTTCCGCTGGAAGTATCGCCAATCAGAGCGACAATGCGCAGAAAAGAACGAAAACTGGTCTTTTCGCAGTTATGCACTCTCGTGACATCAAGTATAAATATCAGACGCGACCGCTTCGACCAATCATACGGCACGATCGAAAGTACGTGCGAGCTGAGGTGGGGCGCGTCCAATCAGATTGCGTTATTCTTATAGGATTTCTAGTGATCGGTGGATAGTATAGGAGTCTGGCTCTATCGCGTGATCGCGAATGTTTGCGCGGGAAAATTTGAATTAGGTATTATTATTGCAAGATAAAATTATTTTTCAGAGGACAATTAGCCTTCGATTAGGGGCATGTTTTATTCGTGTTTATATATTCTAAATATTAGCTAACAGAATTGGCAGGGAAGAAATTAGCCTGCTCTAAAGTGTCCAAGAATTATACTCTCGGATAATTCATCTCTTATTAGGTACAACAATAAAACGACCAATTTCCGTGCCGAAATATCCATCGTATTCTAAGAAACGAATCGTCCCATCATTCTTCGATCGAAGGACGAACATCTAATTTGGCTTATAACGCGAAACAATAGAGGATGTAACAATCTTAGGACAATAATCTTTATTCAGACAATCGTGGCTCGTTTGTGAATTACGTAAGGAAATGAGTCAGTCAACATCCACAGGAAAGTCTGCCTCCTCAGTATTCCGGAAAAGATCATTTTTTTTTTCCTTCTGCTTCGAGAGGTCAGGACAATTAATGCACATCTTCGAGTTTAATACCATTCTTGTCTTTAAAAATCACTCTGTGCGTCTGAAAATCTTCCATTGAAGCTGATAAGAAAGTCGATTGCATTTGTAGATCATTCACTGTTCGAAAAGAAATCTGCCTACCGCCAAAGGGATCGTCAAATAAATTAAATATTTTCCTAAGAAATAAACAATTGTCCAGTCTATCTATCGAATCAATATTTACCCATACGCTTTCCATTATCTCAAACGGAAATTTATTATTAGATTTTGATCTCAGCTATTATTGACTGATAAAATGATTCATCTATGACTGAACCGAAACCGAAATAGGGCGGGCGACTCATTGAAATCCGCGATTTAACATCCGATTCATTGAAACCCCCTCGATTCCCGCTCGAAAGACAGTTCGGTTCTTCGTCATCCACTCTACTGTTCCACCATACGTTCTACATTCGATTTCCCGACACCATCGATCCGCTAGATTCGGCTTTCTGTTCGCTTTGATGCCCGCTCGTCATCCGCTCGCGTTTTCGCCAGGGCATGTAGGTTCTCTCGCAAAAGTATCCCCCACTAGAAGGAAGCCGTATAGTGAGGCGTATGTGGGGTACGCAGCTCGCGCGCGTATCAGTCCGCTTTGGTAAAGGCTCAGTCGCGAGCAGCGCAGGCCTGCGATTACACACACACAGACGGTGGGCAAAGATTTTTAGCCGGTTCGACGATTGACCGATTCGCGTTTTAGCGAACCGATTCAACCATGGTGTCGTATAAACGGTATCTCACCCTTTGATCGTGTCGCCCTTGAAACAGTGAATCCTTAGTGCGTTGGTTAACTCTTTCACCGTGGAGAGCGTATAAATGTGAACATAGAAATCCGAACGTCAGTGTCGAGTCATCAACGATACTCTTGAGAGAAATGGTTCGAACGAATCCATGGAACCGATCGTATTAGAAACTAATTAATTGAGCTTCGAGGAGACCTTGACGATCATTGAGAAACCGAGTTGTTTACGCGGTAATGGAGGAAGACGATAATCGATAAGAAAAGGTGTTGTACTCATTTACGATCAGAACGTAATTGCACTGGCTGGGCCAACTAATTGGTTGGTTAACAGCGCCCTTGAGAGATAAGATAGTCTCGCGGCGGAAAGAACGTAGGAAGATAGAACCTGTGTCGCGATCCAGATAATCAGTCAGGTAGAAGAGTACCGATTTGAACATTGTTTGCGGTATTAATTTGAATTGGGAATTGATTTTCTTCAAGTTCGATCGAGGGCTTTCGATCTACATTTTTATCATGGATAAAAAATTAAATCATCAACCGTAACACAATGTACTTAATTTTAACAATTAATTACATTCACAAGTATTAATAATTATACTAAATTTCTGAGCATTTGTCAATCAGTTTCTGCACGAACGATGACTTAATTAGCATTTATTTTATATCAATGTAAGCTGTAGCTGTGAGGTTGTCCAGTTTGGTACAATTATGTAACAACTGCCTAACTGTAATTTGAATACTACATTCCTGGCATATTTTCGGCAGAGATTTATCTATCGGGCGCTACACCTGTTAATTTTACATCGAATCATAAAACTTGATCCTTTCTATTTGAATTGCTGTCACGTACACTCGCGATCAAATCAGACTTCTGTAAGGAAAATGAGGATATTTCAATGTTCCCGCGCAAATGTTTACAGTCACGTGATAGGGCCAGACTCCTATATATAGGGCCCTTTTCCTACATTGTCAATTTTTCCAAGGATACCTATGGGCAAGGATGGGAACCCCGGACGTCATCATTTTTCCTATGCGTAATATTATATTGAAACTTCTTGAAAATTACTAATTAGCTTCGATAAACGTAAAAACGAGGGAGAAACCCGCGAAGCCATGTGTCGACTGTTCAAATAACTTTCCTTCCCTTCGAACAGACCTTCTCGAGCATCGATTTTGCTTCGAGGCAGATAGCAATATCTTCCTACAATTTTCTCTACACTTGTTCATTGACGAACGTAAGAGAACGCGGGATTATTGTCTCGCGAGGCTAATTCACGCCTCGGCAATCAAAGTGCTCATTACGCAAGCGTAATTACAACGATTGCAGTCATTAAGAACCTCAGTTTCACGCGGTTGGCAAAACTCTCACCGTGGCGAAACGAAAAACCGATCGCGATTTTATTGATCGTAAGCGATACCTGTTAGGATAAATAAAATCATTAACACGTTGATTACGTACGGAAAACCTGTTCATGGATCATTTTTTTTCCAAAATCAAATATTCCGATTTACGTAGAGTCACGCGTAATAATTGTCTTATTGAATTGCATAACTCGTGTTTTAATAGATAAAAAAAAAAATGAATCATTCTATCTGAAACAACACGGTTATCGATGACGACAATGATGGTATTCAAAGGAATATTAAGAGCTCGACAAAGGTAAAAACGTGTCGTCTCGAACGGGAAATCTCAAAGTCCGTAGGATCGTCGTCGAGCGACTATTCAAATGAGAGTTTAAAGGCCGTTCTCACAGCCGCGAGTTCGTTTACGCGTGTATTCTCTCCAGTCGCGTAGTAAAGTGTACACTCGCGATCAAATCAGGCTTCCTCAAGAAAAAATGACGTCCCGGGTCTCGACCTTCCCCATAGGCACCCCCGGGGAGAATGGTATGGATGAGAGAAGGAGCCCTATATATAAGCTTCTGATCCTATCACGTGATCGTAAACGTTTGCGCGAAAAATTTGAATCGATATTTATTCATTATTCATATCTCTCATTTATACGTTAAATTTTATAATAATACTTTTTTTCTAAATTACTTGTAATATAAATATCATCAAAATGAAGATTCTGAGAATACCCGTTTCCCATATATCGCCGTTTTCTCTCGAGAAGCCTAATCGCTTCATCGTGAATGTACAGGTGTAAGTACTTCGTAACCTTGCGCGCGTTAACTTCCATTCGAAGAACCATATTGTTTGAAAGGACTATTTTTAGCTGAGCAAAGATTAAGATAATCGATTTAACGAATGAACGAAGCGATCAGGAGGAGAGATCGAACGTTAACGATTTCCGTGATAAGCGAATCGCAGCGGGACTAATTCATTTTTCCTACAGTTTGCCGCAAACATTGAGAACGCGAAACGATCTTCCGTGGTTCGCCGATTGTTTAGAGAAAGTATCAGGAAATAATTCTCTGGATAACGCGACGGAAGTGTGAAACGTTCACGGATGATCGTCGAGGTCTCCCGAGTAACCTATCCTCTCGCATAGTTTCGTAGAAATCGTTTCTGTCGAAGGAAGAAAAAAGATTTCTTCGAAGCACGAGCGAAGCATCGTTGAAGTTTTTCGAACGTTTTCAGAATCTGATCGAGGGAATCTGATCGATTTAATCGATGATCGAAGAGAAGAGGGAAGTAAGAAAGTGAGAGTAATCGGACAATGTTGGCAACGATTAATCGTGACAGTGTGAACGAACCGTTTAAGAATTTCTCGAGAGACACGAGGTGAAACGTGTGATAAATGTTTCTGGAAGTGATCGAAGAGATGCTGACGCTGATCGGCGGCCTAATCGTCGCCTATATCGTCTATGTTCTATTCAACAACAAAGATGGTAAATATTCGATGATACACGATTAATCCTTTCAGTAATTTCGAGGTATTTATTTATTAGATCGTCGAACATTTCAATCTAAAAATTTCAAAGTCCAACCCTAAGATCAGATGAAAATCAATTAAAAGCATTATGGAATTAAAATTCGATATTGAGAAATTCGAAGTTCAAGTTTAACATCAGATAACAGAACGAGAACATAAATTACAGTTCAATTTCTAAGACAGTCGTTCTTTTGTATATGTTTTTGTCCAATAGTTTCTAGCGACGACGAACAAAGTAGAGCGGTTACAAAATCCCGAGATCCAGAACACGCGTGAAAGCATCGCCATCGGCACAGATTCATCGCGGTTATTGTAAATTGTCACCGGTAAACTATTTGTGCGTCCCTGGCACGATTGCACGTAATAATCCTCTACTCTATCTTGTCCTTTTACGGGACACCGTAACAACGCTTGATTTCACCAATAACACCTCTATTACATTATTCTGTACACTTGCTATCGAATCAGGCTTCTCTAGGAAAAATGGTAATGCCCCGGGTTCTCACCCTTCCCCTTAGGTATCCACGAGGAAAATGACACGATACAGGGATGAAATCCCTGTATATAGAAGTCTACCCCTATTACCTGACCGTAAATGTTTGCGCGATAAAAATCTGAATATTTTCCTTATTATTCATAATACAAGTAGTAGAACGCTTTCTAGTGATTTCCGGGGCAGAACAATCGCCACGTTATTGTCACCGATTCGATTATTCGATTGTAATCGATTCGAAGGAATAACGACGCAGCTACCGTCGCGATAACACGTCTTGCCTTCAATAGGGTCATAAGATTATCGCGAATCATCGTACGACCACTCGTACGATTCTTTCGCGTTCTATGCTCGCCTTTCACGTTCAACATTCTAATTTTTTTCTTTTCCTTTTCCTCTTCATCTGCGTCGACTTCGGTCGACCGAAATATCCGCGTGATAACGCGTTCCATTTTATTGTAAAGTCATGAAAAGGGATCTCTCGCGATATAGCTGGAGCATGGGAACTTGATTGCAAAATTCGGAAATATCATTTTAATTAAAATTCAGATTAATTAAAAATAGAAACGGCGATAAAGAATTTTTGACACTTTGACGGATGATAGTTAAGAAATTTTATCAATGCCCTCGTGTTACTAAAAACCGTGATGATCACGAAATTTACTAAAATTAATCATTCACGTACACCTAAATTGCAACACGTCACACTTCTTATCAATCAAGAAAGCTCTTATCACTTATCGAACACGAGTTATGACATTCTTTTTCCTCTCGGAAAAGAAAAATCGTTTTGAAGTAGTTCGTAATAAATGGATTAAACGACAATAGATCACGTATTGTGTGAAATTCCTTGATAAATACGCTAAAGTCAAGCAAACAAAAGTTGTACATACATACAAGTCACTAGCCACTTAAACAGTTAATTAACGAATTAAATATAGATGTGGGTAAATAGAAACTTGTATAATGTAATTCTAGAGCAGCCTAAGTTAAGGTAACCCGCCAGAAAGCACGGTTTTCTCTTCTGATTTTCTTTGCTTTACTGTCCCGTGAACGTCAATTCGCCACCGAGAAACCTTTCTATACCGTGATTACGAGCCACCAACCATAATCGCCATAATTTCGTTACATCAGAACGTTCCGTACGTGTCGATTCGATTTCGCGCTTAACAAATCCGAAATGAAGCGTGTCACTGCGTTCGTTTCATTCACCGAGCAACGGATAATTAGTGGAAAATAATGGAAGATAAAAGAAACCAGAGATTTTTATGCGTTTACGAAACATGGGAATACTGAAACGCGTATTTTAGGATAAAATATGCAGAAGTTACAAAATGTGTAAATTTTGTATAATTTCAGCAAACCCATCGAAGAATATTTATTGTGAAAATCTGTATTTGCATAAATATTCACGGTCTAGTAATTACCGCTTTTAGAAAGCACGAAAAACGAACGAGAATTTTGTAATTCGTGGAAATATTTACATATTTATCGATCATCCCGGACGATCATCTTCGAACGAATGCGTTTAATTGCAACCTCGCTTGGTTTGCGTCACTTTATAAATAACCAGCGGAATTAATAATCGTGAACATGCGAGAAAAAAAGAATACGAAGGACGTTTAGTAAAAAGTAACTGAAATATCGACGTCAGGATGCATCTTCCTTCGCGGAATTTATCGACGATATTCTAGTCTTCGAATGTAACATTTATCTGACGTTCATCAGAATATAAAAAGGGAAAAAAGATATACAAGATATCGTGTAACAAGTGGAACATGGAATGGAGAATTATCAGATAACATTTTTTGTCAATATTTCAATGATATGAAATACAAAATTAAATTAAAATCGGGGCTCTCTCCATGGTCCGCCGTCCGAGGGTTAATAGAAGTTGGTACGATTATTTTCAAAATAAATCTTCAATTGAAAAAAGGAAAGGCACAGAATTAATCTGTTATTAGTAATTATTGAAACACTGAAACATTCCGATGGAAAGGGGGACACAAGCGGGCAGAAGTATCCAATAGGGAGATTAATTAATTGAAAGGTGATCGTGCGTACGGTGTGACTAATGAATAGCTGCAAAGATAAGTAAGCGAACGAAGCTAGCCAGCAGGAAATAAATGTAGGCGACCTTCACCTTCTGCCGAGAGATCAGGGTTAGAAAGCCCATCGACCGATCGAATCAGCTTCTTCGGAAAAATTATCTTTCTAATGGAACATGGCGAACGCGAGTCATCGTACATTCTATATTTAGAAAATAAACACGAATGTGATTTAAATAGAATGGCGAATAATAGTCGTTAATCAGGAATCAATGAACGCGATCGATTCACGTTAATCTTAACATTACAAATTAGGTGACTTTTAATTGCTATTTTACTATCCTATTATCCTGTAAATGAATTCCAGTAATAAAGATTCCGCGCGCGTCATAAATAGCCAAGGTAAAATTGAAATACCGTACGTAGCCGCGAGTAAGGAACAAATAAAATTTCTCTGACACCCATAACCCGTCCTTCCGGGGAACTTCAATTTTCGAGCCGACAATGAACAGGCTATTAAACGCGGGACTTCGTAGCCGTGGTTTTTCATGATTTAACGCGCGTCGAAGGATCCCGCGTTTCCCGCGAAAAGAGTTCAGCAGGTCATTCGTCGAATTTCACTCGAAGCTGATTCGCGAGAGGAAAAAGGAAGAATGAGAAATTGCCAATGCCGGGACGGTGAAATTATCCATCGTCTTCTACGGTTTCCGAAGAGGCTCGGTCGTTCGATCCATTAGCGATATACCGAGAGCTACCGAGCTTCGACGAAAGTACGCCTGCTTTTCCTCTCGTGACGTGCTCGTTAACCCTTCCGGCCGATTTATTTCATTCGCGTCGAGGTTTCTCTTCGAATCGTTTCGGGGACACTTGATGACCATGATGGATACCGGTACCATCTATAGACGAGCGTACGCTAGCGATCGAATCGAAGTTTCCCTCGGGAGAAATACCGGGGTGCCCGACTTCCTGGCGGAGAAAATTAATTTTCGAAAAAAAAAAATTTTCATTTCCAGACAAACAGAGCACGGATTCCACGACGATGGCTCAGACGGCGCTCAGGGATATCGTCGAGCGAGCCGTCGACGAGGCAAGGAAGTTACCCAGCCTGGGTAGTTCCGGCGAGGCCGGAAGGCCACCGGAAGGAAGGGGCTTAGCGGAGAACAGCTACGAGGACCTACTCGCTACCGCGATACTGAACAAGGTTACTTAAAAACACTTTATTACCGAGACAGCTCGAGGGTATACTTGATCCTCTGGTATTCGAGGCACGCGTACCTCGAGCGAGAGGATAAATCGATGAACGAAACACGATGGATTTTCTAGGTCATCGAGAAATTCCAAAAGGAACAGGTGGACGGTAATAGCAACGTTCTCCACGGAAAACCGGTGTCCGCGAACAAGTGTTCATTGGGTACGTGTCCTGTATCGGATTATTTAAATACGACGATTTTAAAAAATGATCAGGGAAGAGGGTGAAAGCGATCGATTGGTACGTTTTTCAGGGGAGAACGAGACTGGTCTCGATGAAAGTGTCGAAGAAGGCTGTAGCAGCTTGGATCAATTGTCCCAAGATGACTGCAGCAGCGAATGTAGTGCTGCTTGTTTCAAACGCGTTAAAAATCAACTGGAACCTACGGTATCTCTTATGGTAGGTCCACGCGGTATCGCGTGCTCGATTAGGGTGATTTGAAATATCTTTACAAAGTTTCTACAGAAGTTACCGGTTCCTTTGCGAAGATGTTAAAAACGTTTCATTATAATTTTACCTTGAAGCAAATTAGTTTTGCTTTTGAAAATCGTGAATTATAAACGCTTCGACTAAAAAGAGGTTATCACTCATTCTCATGTAAATATTGAAAATAATGAGGTAGCGCGCGGTAATAATAACGAGATTCCATTGGAATAATGTTTGTCTGAGTATTGTAATCGCAGTCACAACAGAATTTTGTGAATAGGTTTGTAGGCTGTCAGGTACTCGCCCGATAAGCCGGTTGATAAGCGAAACGAATGGAACTGCTGTTCTACATGAAAATACGCGCAGGAAATGACAGGCAAAGAAAAAAAAAATGAAATGTTAAACGACATTTACCAATTCCACTTTCTAAGATCCATAAACGATAGACGTGTCAGTTTTCCAAGGATTTTTATCGAACACATTTTCCATGACCAGTGACATTTATTCAAGAATCTTTATCGAATCTACTTTCTACGACTTTAGATTCGTCCTTTTTTTTCCTTTCAGATAGAGGAACGGATAGAAGAAGTAACTACAACTTATGCATCTGACGAAGAACCAAAAGAAAACGATGTCTTGCCCATTAGGAACGCTCATCGAGTGCCATTTCCTGAACTTGGAATGGACATTATCGACCGTAAGTACTTTCCGCTGATATAGTGTTCGTTTTTAATTCGGTTTCACATCTTTACGAGCTCGTTCTATCGCAACTCCATTCGCGAATTCGACACGTTCTCCGGCGAATAACGCTTACACAGGTGGAAATTTTTATTGCTGACACGATGGTATTTCTAAATTGCCACTCGCTGACCAGTCGTCTTTTAATTACGTTGATAATTAGTTTGGAATTTTCAAACTAGATTGTATTATTGGTAAACGATTGATTACAGCTTCCCAGGAATCGTCAGAAGACAGCCAGGACGAGCCGGACACGCCGACCACGCACATCGGTCTGATTTCTCCGGTCGAATCCTGGGAAGAGAATTGGTTGTTTCAAAAGAAGAGAGTCCAGACGCAGGCCGACCCGGTGGCCATGTTAGTACCTAATCCCAGCGCCGATTACAAGGCCCTGATCGGTGACAAAGACGCCGAGGACACGTCCGACCTCTCCGAATGCTCCTCGGCACAATCCGACGAAGAGATCGAGAAAGAGCTGATGGAGGCCATAAACAACGTCGTGCCGCGATCTCCGGAAAGAACCGGCTTCGAAAATGGCATCGATCATCGAATGGAAACTTTGAACGACGATTCGAACCAAAATCATATGGAAATGTTTCCTGAAGATACGTTGAATCGGAAGAATGGAAGTTTGGAAAAGACTGAATCGAATGGACAGAGTAATCGTGTGCAAAATGGGGAAATGAATGGTTACGACGAAGCCAAAGAAGTTGAAATAGAAAGGCAAGGAAAATTGGTGAAGAAAATTGATACAAAATCGATGAATTTTATTAACGATGACTCGAGAAAGATTGAAGTTGAAGGATTCAAAGAAGGGGTTGAAATGAATGATTCGACGGATTTGAAAAGTTCAGAGCGAGAAGAAAATTCTTTGGGTGCGCCGAAGACACCTACGTCCACACCGACGTGGACCTTCGTGGCAGACATTAATTACGGGAACACGGAAGACAAAGGGATTGTTTTGAGAGAAGAAAATATACTTAATTCATTGGAATGCGCTAAACAGAAGCTGATGGCTGTTAATGACGATATCGCGGAAGCGTTCAAGGAGGAGGAAGCGGACGCTCAACAAAAAGCTGACTTTCATGGTAAGTATCTCGATAACGCGGATAATTGCTGATTCGAAGCTGCAATTTTAATGAATGATTTCACTTTTAATAGCAGAGGATATTCAGCAAGAAAGCGAATATACAGAGCACTATGACACTGCGACGCAAAGGCATTTGGATAGCTTAACGAAACTCGAAGCTTCGGAACAAGTGAAAAGTTCAGAAGAAAGTACAGAAAGGTAAGTTTCAGTTGATGGAAAAACTTTCTAAGGATATGTGCTCGATACAGTTGATACATCACCAACTTCGCGTAACTTTTTCAATCTTTTCAATCGATTGTTTCTGAAGCAACCGAGGCAAGTTCGTCTCGTAATGTCAACGCTTAATAATCAGGCGAAATATTTTCCTTTCGTCGATGATATTCTAACGATTCTCCACCATTCCACTGTGCAGCAGGTGCCGAGAAGCTGCGGCGCTCGCCAAAGCTGAATCGGTTTCGCATACGTCCCTGAAGAGCAAGAAATCGGAAGAGGAGGTTCGACTAGCTGCCCCTCCAAGACCAGGTAAATCTTTTCATTTTCTATATTTATCTTTTAGATATACCTATAACTGAGCTTTAACGAACAGGTTCGATCGCTGAACGAGAGCACAAGAAATGGGAAAATGCTCCACCGATTCAGAACAACCCTTATAGCGAGGAGAATATTCAAAAAAGACTGTGGGAGAGACAGTACTCCAGAAGATCATCAGACATTCCTGGGTAAAGATTCAGTTTAATTAATTTAAAACAACGGTTCTCAATTAATGGTACACGGAAGATTTGCACGATATACAATATAACAATTTTAATATTCTTTGGAAAATGGCGATTGCCCCTCCCAGGCTCCGCCGAGCTCCCATCCTACCCTGTGGGTGGTCGCGGGGAGAATGACAATGTAACAGAGAGAGCCCCATATATATAGGCCTGTGGCGGACCACCACTTGCGCGCATGCGTTTACGCGGGAGAATTTGAATAGATATATCTACACATATTTATTCATATTTAATCATTTTTCTTGATAATACTGGAATTCTTGAATTTATGAAAAAGTTTAATACTGTTAATTTAATATATCTTTCACGAATGTGAATTTCTTACAATTATTGTCGTTTTGCTCAGAATTCACACCGAATTGCCAAAGAGCAACGGGGAGAATTTGGATGTCGTGCTGACTCCTCATGAACCGGATATCAAACGGTAATATTAATATCATCAAATAGAACGTAAAACTCTATCATCCTATGGAAAAAATGAACTTCATTACTTTTCCCCCGATTTCATCCCCCATAATAAAATAGAAAAATGTCAATTCACTCTCCCTCAAATTTCAATATTCTCAAACACCATTCAGCTTATTTATCATCCGAAATTTTCACTCTTTTGCTTATAGAAATTTGTTGAATTTCCAGGTTCGGCAGGGATTACTACATCAACCACTCGAGAGCGTCGAGCAACGAGAAGGGACGCAGATCGGCGGCGTCCACGTCGAGCAGACCGAGCAGCTCGTTGTCCCAAGGATCGAGCTCAACCGGGCCCGACCAGGATCAACAGGTGAGTTTGCAGCTCGACAAGTTCGAGGAGGCTTCTCTGCGTGGCAGTCTTTCGAGACGGACCTATCGCGATCCGTACTCCAGTCCACATTTTGCGATCAACCCTCTTCTGCGCATGGAATTCGATGCTAACGGGTCAACCGAGTCCAATGAAAATACGTACACTGTCTCTGATGTAAATAACACAAACCCCATAACACATCCAAGGATCACGAAGAACGAGATAAACGAAGCCGACGAGTTTCGTAGTGACTCGAGGACCGAAGAAAATATTTCGTTTCTATTAAACGAGCTCGATGAAAAGATCATTTATAATCCTCTCTATGAGACTGGATTGCAACCAGATCAGGATTCAGGAACTTATTCCATCGATTCAAATAATAAAGAAAATAATAAGAAGCAGACTGAAGAGGATTACAGAAGATTGTGGATCAATGATTTGTACAGTAACGCTAAAGACGATCAGATTTTCTCGTCCAATGGTAAAAGGTATTGGACTTTCAATGGATATAAATATCACACATTTGGTGGAATAAAGAATTCTTCTAAATACACGGAAGATTCGGACGAGGATCCGAGTCCCAATGATAGGACTGTCTTGGAAGATGTAGATTTTGCAAATTTCAAATTCCAAACGTTTGGAGGTATCAAAAGGAATAATAAGATCGATGGAAAAGGGTTACCCATGTACAGAAGAGTGACGCTCAGGTCGTCGTCGAGGGTTCCTCGAAATTTTCGAGGATCGAGAAACTGTCAAAGCGAGCCTATTTTAGAAAATCAAATTAATGGAACGAGTAAAAATTTTCAAGAAGCCGACTGGTTAAGCGAGAATTCTGAGGAGAACGATACGACGACTCGTCGTGTTTCGAAACGTTTCAACGTAGAGACGAAAAGGAGATACAATAATAAATTGTTGAAAAGAAAATCAAAGACGATGTCGCGTCGATCGTTTTCCGACGATGATTGGGAAGACGAGGAAGTCTACGTTCCTGACAAAGGGATCCTGAGAAAATTTTTGAAAGACGCCTCTCGAAAAGTGAAATCTCGTTCCCACCTTGAAAACGATTCCACTTATTTTTTGAACACATCCAGAAGAAAAGTGTTCGATGAGAACTCGAGCAGAAGTAGATCGTTGAAGCAACGTTCCTCGGACGAGAACGATAGTTTGAAGCTGGAACCACCCATCGTGCCTGAAGTCGTTGAGAGAACCTTTGAAACTCTTCGAGATCTTCGTGTGAAAAAGAAGAAAAGTAAAATACCTGATCCGAAGAAAAATATTGGTGTCAGATGTTTAACCGACCTCACAATCTGGTGAAATTAAAAGTTACCTTAGGATTGATTTTCTAACGTGCCCAATTCAGATCCTAATAGATACGAAGTATCAGAAATTGTTTAGAAATATTGTGAGGGATTTAACGAGACAAAGTTAACAAAGAAACTCGTGTGGGTGAAGACTATTTATTTCAAGGGGTATTTTTCCAAGGGAAAACTCGTTCTTTCGTAGGGTTTTATTACTTAACGGGAAATTTTTATTATTATTTATACGACACACCGTGCCATATATTGTTTACGAAGTTCCTTAACAGTGTTTCAAGTGAATTTTATTCGAGGATTAAAACACACAAAGTATATTATTGTTGAATCGCTAAAACAGTGACAGAATTAAGGGGAATCAATTTTTATGACATTGTAAAAATATAAAATAACAATTTCAAAATTAATCCCTGAACTTATTATCCTCTGCTCGCAAGGAATATTACGGGTCAGAGGTCAGAGAAACTGCTGCGCACACATCGACCCGCCCTGTACTTTTATACTACCCTAATTAGTCACGCGACTAATTAGTAAGTCAACTGAGCTGGAACACGGTCAATCAGATCGCGTTATTCTCATAGGACTTCTTATCAACGAAAAACGATAATCTTTCAAATGTGTCGCTCTTTTAGCAAATCAAGAATATATTTTCTCAGTAGAATAAACAAATGCTTATTGTAGAAAGGATTGTGTATATTGTAACTATTTTAAATATACTGTTTATAAATAACGTGACTTTACTCGAGGCGCATGTAACTTTCAAATGGTGTAGGTGTTCCTACATTAATCCTAGCAAATTTGATTTCATAACTCACGCACTATGTAGAAAAAAAAAAAATCCATTATTGATTTTGTGATTCTACTTTTAACACGTCAGCTAATCCACCTAAAACATGAATCCTTTTACATTATCTTGAGTAACAAACAAAAAGAGTATATGTAAAGAGCTAAATATCGATCACTGCCTGAAATGATTGTAAATAAATCTCTGTTGACTCTTTCTTATAGATACGCACGAGTAAGGTATCAATATTGTACAAACAATTCATGCTTATGTATATAGTATATCTCGTAGATCGTATAAGAAAAAGCATCGTGAAAAATGTTTCCATCGAGCGTTCTCGTAGTACGATGTCGTTCGATGCACATTGCACATGCATGATCCCTGTGAGTATGCCTTTGAACCGGTAAGTACCGTTTACATGCGTTTCCATTTTAATGCATGTTCACTAACAATGTTCGGGGCACTGCATGCTCGACGATCGAACGTATATTTCTCGTGAAAAGCGTCGAATCGATGGAAAATGAACACTTGGTAGACTTTTCGTTTTATTTATTTTATTTTCGCATCAAGGTGACTTTAACCCTTTCGTTATTTTATCATTTCAACAAAATTGTTTTGGAAGATTAATAATTTTGATAAATTATAGAGAAACTTAATTATTCTAATTTTGATAAATTTAACGGACCAAAGGTCGATGGTAATTTTCATACTGACGAATAAATTTCCATAAGTTCGCTATGGTAATGTTTCGCGACGAAAGGGTTGAACGGTACTAACAGCTCGAAGTCGATATGCATGGCGCTTAGCGCACCACTAATGGTAGCATAGAATTCATTCCAGCTAGTTATCCCACTAATCCATCGCGAATGGACCGTTTAAAACACTCTGTGGAACGGAAAGCGTGGTCGCTGTTGAATATTTAATTCTATCCCGTTCGTTCTCTGTTGCAGGAGGAGACACGGTACCGAGAGACCGAGGTCCTCCTGAATCGAAGCAACGACGTCAAGTCGAAAGTAGCGAAATGGCAGAACAACAACGCGGAAAATAAATATCAGTTCGCTGTACGTTCGGCTGATAATTCGAACGAGGCAGAGAAGGTGAACGAGATGAACTCGAGGAAGATCGATCGTCAAAGGGCGTGGGAGGATCAGCGTATGGAGGAGATACTGGAGAACGAGAGGAAGAATAACAAGAACGAGATTAACGCGAAGTTGAACAACCAAGAGAATTATGACAGCCCTGTTATCGAGACGAAAAAGAATTCCGAGGAGAATACGCGAAAAATTAAGAGGATCGATCTGAAAGCTTACGGATTTGAAAACGAGTTCTTCTCTAATGGTAACAAAACGATTAAGACATCAGCGCCGAGGGTTGTAAATAAGTTGGACTTGAAATCGTTCGGTTACGACGGTGGAATTCGACGAACGCAGTCTAATATTCAGTTGAACAGTATGGGAAATGATGATTTCAAACCCAGGATCGTACGAGTCACGAACAAGTCAAATTTAACGCGACATCGCGATTACGGGAAGGATCGTTGCGATCTGATCGAGACTCAAGCTTCCGGCGATCATAATCTGACTCAAAGCACGGAAGATTTGAATAAGTTTCACGCGGAGAGTTTTAACGGGTTTGGCCTGAAATCGGCTAAATCGGTGCCGAACATCGCCAAGTTTTATTCGAATACAGTTGACAGTAGGGAAGACGAAGAGGTGGAGAGTCAAAGTTCGTACGATTTTGGGATCGTGAAGAATGGATCGGTTAGGAATATCGCGAACAATTATAATCTTGAGAAGTGTCACATCAGAAGCGACGATTGTTCGGTCGAAGAGTCGGAGAACGACACGGATAATTCATCGGAGAAGGGACAAAGATCGAAGAAAATTTTGAATCAGGAAGATTTCGATAATAAGGTGTTGCCTATGCCTTCGGTTAGGAGACTTGCCGAAGCATTTAGCAAACAGTCTGAACACGATCCCGTGGTTGCTTCAAAGGTAAGAGAAATTTTGGAAAATTGTAAAAATTGATAGAATTTTGATCGAATCTTATAAATAATTAAGATCGACGACACACCTGATGCGTCTTATGCTATTTCCAATACAATAGACGACGCACCCCGTGCGTCATGAAAAAGTAGCATTAATATTTAAATGAAATTCAAACGAACTAATGGTTTAGTTTTCTTTCCAGGGAAACAAATCGAGCAACGTGTACAAAGAACGATCGTCGACGCCAGAGATACAGATAATTGAATCGCCGAGACAAATGCACAGTTTAACAGCCAGGTCGTTATCAAAACAATTTCGAGAGGGTCTCAGACAAATTCCAAACAAAGTGACCTCACCTCCAGCTAGCCACGTTACCATGGAACAAGGTAAACCAACGGAACACCAACCAGAAGTGGTGCAAGCGAAAACCGACTCGTCGAATGATATAAACGTGATTCTGCCTGGAAAATTGAAGTCGAATATTATATTCTGGGAACAGATGCAAAGGAGAAGCTAGAATACTGTATTTTATCCTAAATTGTGTTCAATTGGTGAACCTGTCGCGAAACAGGAAGTTGAAGAACGTGAGAACGAAAGAGAATCCATGTGATCAATAATTTTTTCATTTAGACTCGGTAAAAATTAGTCTCGCGTGTGTTTTTCTTTGTTTCTTACTCTTTTCGAAGACGGTAAAGTTTCTTCGAAGACGTAACTTCAGAAATTATTATTTCGATCCACAGAAGTGTGTTTTACTATCCTTACTCGATGTAAGAATGTCTAACACCATTTGAAAAAGTACTTAAATTATGATAAAGTACAGGCTCGGTAAATGATTAACTGAATCATTTATCAGCGTATTTGTTAAAGAAAGAAAATTATTGATGTGATTGTGCGTGTGCCAAATGATAACTAACTCGTGAACAGCCAAAGAGAATATTTTTCCATCGTTCTTTCGAAACGTTCCAACGAATCGAACTATTAATTTCATTGTACGAACAATAAATTATCTTCTTTTTTTGTGTTTTAAAAACATTCGATCAAATCTTAACACGCGTTTTACGATCGACTGTAAATATAATATATTTTTGAATGTAATAAAATCATTCAAATCGTTGTATGTATATAAAGGAACCACAAATAGTCACGAAGTTTTTATATACAAATCTTTCCTATAGTATTTCCAAGTATTTGTTATTTATTATTTATTAACACTTTAAATACGTACAGGACATTCGGTTAGGGGTAGGAATCCTTTGAGGGAGTGGTAGCTGGACTGATTCTGAACAACTTTTTCCTTCACCAAAATTCTCGTTAAGGCTTAATTTTTGAATTATTAATGAAAAACACCACTGTGCTCGAAGTCGGTTCGTATCTGACACTTGTGCAGCTGATCAGTGTTTTCCATTAATAATTCAAAAACTAAGCCTTAACGAGGATTTTGGTGAATGAAAAAATTGTTCAGGATCACATCAGCTATCACACCTTCAAAAGATTCCCACCTCTAACCGAACACCCTGTGTATGTATATCAATTGTACATAGAATTTATCAGCCTAACAACTCGGTGAGTAGTATTTCTTTTATAAAATATCCAAATTTGTATGAATTTAATCTTATCATAAGTGTACACTAAAAATGTGCTATATCGATATAGGAAATATATTGTTCATTATTAATTAACGCAGTTCCTTAACACCCTTTCTACCTTAGACTTACAGGATCGTAAGTTGGGAGACTTAACACATTATAGTCGCTCTGTATTCATTAAATAATATGAAAGTTTAATTGATCAGCGTACCATAATGTGTTCGAACAAGTCAGGAAAGGGCCAAGGTTCACTGACACCAACCACGACAATTATTCATAAAAATGCTCAACGTTTTATTCAAACATTTGCACATACATGAGTACTTTTAAAGTTACTAATTCTATGAATATTGTTCAACGATAAAAATAGTTCTCCGTCGTTCAAATAATTATAATACATGATCACAGTATAGATCGTGGTGTATAAAAAGAAAATCATTACACCCGAGAAACTAATCTCTGCAAATGTTTACAATTCCTTTTGAGCTATTCTCAAAGTTTCCTTAGCAAACTTTGAAAATATTGGTTCCAAGAGAAAGACGATACCAAGCTCAGTAATATATGCATCTGGTTTTATGAAACGGTATGCTTTCTAACTGAGCCGCGTGTTTCCGTCTATAGTCCCATAGAAAATGATCTATGAGTATAGCGTTAATGTCTGATTTTTTTAATCCCAAATTCGGGTAACGCTCTATAAGAGACCAAACTTCGTCTCTAACCCGTTCGACTGCCTCTATCGAGCATCCACGAATTTCAATCTCATCGTCGCTACCATTTTCTAATTCTACATCTGTAAATATTAAATACATAGGAGCATCTAACAAGCAAACTATTCTAACACTACCACCCTCTCTACCTACAATTGTGATTCATCAACTGTTGCTTGAACCTGTACTGCATATTATTGAACAGAAATTTTCTGACAAATATTTCTGATAGAAAAGTAGAATATAATTAATCCTCTTTAATTAAATTTCATTCAACTTTGACGCTTCTTGAAGTGTTTCGATGACAACAGTTACCGAATCATTCTGCAAATTGCAAATAAGCTATTCCATAGGTACTTACCACGTTGTAGTCTGCTAAGGAGTGGATTACTGTACCGAATTGCACCAAAATGTACCAGGACTTGGGGTACGCGATAATCAGCAAACATCGTGATGTAATCTACGTCGTGGAATTTACCAATTCCTTCACCTTTGAAGCAAGCCCAAATATCACCCACCAGTATCTGAGCCCTTTTGTAAAAGCTTACTGAAAAGAAATTGATTGTTCTGTATTTATCTTCTTTAGTAACAGAGTAAGTCATGGATAAATGATTTTACTTACCTCTATGGCCCTCATAGTCAGCCTCGTCTTGATACGACTCGAATTCGTTCACAATGCGTTTGAGTAGCTGCTCGGCTGAGCCTGAACACGACTTGATACATTCCACAAATGTACCTAGAATAAATAGAAAAAGAAGTTGATAATCTATTTTATATATGTTAGAAATTATTTAGCGAATTTGATTTGGAATTGTGGCTCCCAATAAAAGCGAGCTAACACGCATTTGCAAAGTGCTATGTACATTCTAGTGTACAACTTTACAGCCTAACTTAGAAAATTTTCCAAAGATATTAAATATTTGTTCAAGTAAAAAAATATAAATTTTGTTGCTCTATTGGTTTTCCATGGATTCTTTCCTTTTTATGTTAAAAGTCGGTAAAGTTCTGCACCAGATGAACTGAGGAAGTTATGATTTCAAGCATGTATGTACCTTGATATTTTTCTAACAAAATTTTTCCAGCCTCTCGCAAGGACTTAACTCTTTCGTCTAATAGTGGAATACTAGTTTGATTATCACCCCGAAAAATTTGTTCGGCCTCGCATCTTGTTATCTGAGAGTAATACTTTGGATCGACTATAGGTTTCCCTTCCTGTTCGAAGTAAATCATTAAAAGGAAAAAAAAAAACAGATTGATATATCTAGATAAAATTTGAACAATAATACTTGCAAAACGACATATGCGCACAACACGTTGGAATCAATTTCAAAACATTTATAATAAAACAAAAGCTAGACGTACACATGACATAATAAAATGACGTTTTATGTAAAATAACGAAACCGCAGTTTAAAATGCTACTGACAATTAAATTTCATAGGGTAGGTTCGTCCGAAAACGTTATTCGCTGGCAAATAAGATGAAACCGAGTTGCGATCAGTATACGCTTGATATAATTGCTCTGAAAAGGCCCACGTGAGTATTTGTAATTTAACAGATAACAATGTTTACAATCAATGAGTTTCTATGTTAATCAGAACTTTGGACAAGCTTGTCGAAACAATTCCTAAGCCCAAAGGTGCGATTCCAAATTTTGGTCTACCAAAATGGAAGGTAATGCCATTGGAATCAAAAATTCCTATGGTACCTGGACCAGAAGGAGCTTACAATTTTACTCGTAGTAAAATTGGACATGGATTATGGACTCCAACAGCAAATGCAGAGTTTAATTTAAGCGATCCATACTGCTATGAGATGAAAATGAGCTATGACTCACTTCATGACAAGCACTTGGTACCTTATTTCTCTAGACCAAAGAATCTTGAACATTTGATCAAAGCCGGTCTCGTTACCAAGGATCTGGATGCAAAATGCTCTTTAAAGGATTATAATATGTACAGAAAATATTTGAGAAGAATACACTGTGATAACATAAAGAAAGAATTGGAGAAAAGAGAAAAATGGTCTATCGAAGATAGGGCTATTCAATATGCAGAAGAGCAAGGAAAGAAAGAAGTGAAAAAGTAATATGAAAAATGCTTATTAAACTATAAATATAAACATATAATTTGAGAGTGTTATACAATTTTAACAGATTAAAAGAAAGAGAAAGATTAATGGAGTTGAGGAAGGCAGTGATCAGACATCGTAAAATGGCCGAAAAATTGAAACTTCAAAAACAGAAAGAAAAGCAACAGAGAGCAGAAGAAAGGATACGATCATTAATTCAGAAAAAGATAGAAGATCAACGCTTACGACATATTAAAAGCGAAGCACGTGACGAGATTATTAAACAGAAGCTAAAAGCTGCTGCGGATATCAGACGACAAAAGATAATTCAAACTTTTCTAGACTGGAGAAGAAAGGAACGTAAACGTAAAAAAATTATACAAATGCGATTAGCACGCGAACGTGAAGAGAAACTGAAGATAGTGGAGCAGAAGTACATATAATAATAATGGAATATTATAAACTTGGAACTTACTTCTTTCTTACTATTTCAGATGGGAGGAAAGACAAGAGTTTCAAAAGAAACAAATAGAAAAGGAACAATTTTTGTTACAATGTGTAGAAGATCAACGTAAAGAATTTATAGAAGCATATCAAGCAAAAATAAGAAAGGAAACAGAAAGAATGAAAAGTAGATGTTAAACAATTATTGCACATAATGTATTGACTCATGTAAAAATTCTATTTCTAGGGCTTTTAGAGGATGTGAAAATGTATATAAAATGTTACTTCGCTAGACGTAGACCTGGAAGTAAAGAACGAATTTGTTGCGAGAAATATTTTGAAGACGACGACGAGGTGGTACTTTTGATAAATTTACAAATATATACAAACTATTTGGTATACAAATACTGTTATACTAAAACATTAATTTTAGGATAAAAGTGTATCATCTAAGTCATACCCTGGTACTAAATCTACTGCAATGAAACAAAAAAAAGATAGCAAATCCACTGAACTTGGTAAATCCTCTAAAACAACATCATCATCAAAAATATCAGAAACAAAGAAAAAAAGATTAAAAGCAATAAAAGGTACAAGTCCAAAAGTAAAAGGGAGAATGATCAAAAGTACAAGTTCAAAGGCAAAAAAAGTTAAAAAACAAGCTGAAAAGGAAGGTTTAAAAGTAACAAAACAAAGATCATCTAAGGCTCAGAAAGGTACTAAAAAAAGAAAAGGAGGAAAAAGAAGAAGAAAGAAAAAAGGAAAAGCAGAAGATGTTGACGAGCCAGAAGAAAAAGCTGAAATGGAAGAAATAGTACCATCTGCATCGACATCTAAAACAGGAACTCCTGAATCAGCTGCTTCTGAATTTAGTGATAAATGCAGATGCCAGATAATTAAAGATGCTAGGAAAACGGATGAAACTTAAAAACATTTCAAAGTAAACTTAAGTAACATTTCAACTTACATTTATAGCCCTCTTAACAGCTGCACATAATGCAAAATATCCAGTCTGACCGTGAACAGTCCACTTCGGCGAATCCTTCTTACTCCAGAAAGAATAATTCAATGTATCCAAGACAAATATCCAATCGACAGCTCTTGGATCATTAGGAGAAGGATGAAATTCATGTTGAGAAAAATTATTCACACTTACTTCACGATCCTTAAGACCTTCTAAAATCTGTAGAAAAACATATTTGCAGTTAAGGTAGAATTTAATATAATTCCAACAAAATTTTCTATTCTACTTTTCTAGTAAACTGATTATTTTACAGTTTTCAAAAGTAATGCATTGAATTTATATGCGAAAAAAAGAATTTCGAAATAAACAGTAAATTTTTAAAATATTGAAAACTTATTTACCGCACAGGCAAGATTTTTCACGCCTTCTTCTTCGATGAAAACATTCTTGGATAGTCTTGCTATTACTTTCGCAGATTCCTTTGGCATTAAGGCCATGCTGGATTAAGTATCACAGTTTATTTAATCACGAAGTTTTAAAAAAAATTAAATCTAAAAAGAAATTCGTAGCTACCCCATGAACCCTTCGTAACTACGCGTCCCACAATGCCCACAATCGAGTCTATAATCACGTGATACGGTCACATGACCGCCGGTTTCCAGCTTGTTAGCAACGAACGCGTGGTAAACAAACATGGCTGTTAATGTCAAAATTTGTCAGAATTCTTTTTGAATTATCCCTTAATAATGTGCACAGATGATCGTTTCGTGATAATTGTACTACCGTTCTATAATGCTACAAAATAAGGTAAGGATTTTACACGTTTCGATTACAATAATTGGTATAAACGTGTTTTCGAAGCAATGCTCAGCACATGTAATTGTTTATACACAATAATAAGAGACATTTTAAATTCGATAACACAAATTATAACAAAGTAATTTTAATTTTATAAATTTATGTTTGCCATAGTTAGCTATTGACGTTATACATGTGAAAATAAAACATATGTACCTATTTTCTTTTTTTTTTTTTTCACCTTAAATGATTGATAGTTATATTTTAAGAATAGATTGTATCATAATTTCTTTTATATAACGTTTTATAAAACATTATTACATATACGATGAAATCTGTGTTCTAAATTGAACACGATATTCAAGTTGACAGTCAAAGTATAAAGTGTCATATCACTTTATTTAATCAATCATAACATTTAATAATACATAATTTAACTGATAAATGTATTCTGTGTTTAAGTTTTTACATAAGGACATGCGTTTTATTTTACGATACACTCGATTGTAGGTAATACCTAATTTTATTATCATAGGCAACTATTTTCTGTAAAGTTTGATAAGATTCGAAACTTCAACACTTGATTTGTAATTTACATACGTAACACAAATTACAATGCTCAAATAATATGTATCATTGTATTTACATATAAAATCTCATTATTGCAATACTAATATTATTAACTTTTTGCATTGTATCCCTGCATATTTGTTTCAACCTTTTTTTCTTCTTTTTTCATAACTGATAAAATGATTTTATAATCTTATATTTAAATTGTTATGTACGTATTTTTTGTTTTTCTAAAGATTTCTTCCAAAAGTTATCAAATTGTATGATTAAACAGAATATTTTGAATTACGATGTAACTTACAAAATACGAATAATATTACAAACACGTTTCGAATCCTAAAGTCTGAAAAGTCAAATGGTAGTGTGCTTCATCGCATTCATTCATTCAAATAACATATGTACATAATACCCCCTCAACATAAAGTGAACAGATTAAGGCTCCAGCAGGCTATAGGCTACATTCTACAATGTACAATGCATTATGTACTTTGTTAGTTTCCGTTTTCGCATACATGTCTGGTTGTGTAATGTGTGGTAAGCGATAGCACCAAAAGATTTTTCAACATTGTTACTTGATACAAATGATTCGTATAACTACAATATGATTAACACAGAAATTAAGTTGCAATGATTAACATTTATTTTATTTTATTATTATTAAACTTTGCAACGTATCTGCCATAATAGACATACTTATCGTAAAACAATACATCTTAACAAAAATGTATAAATTTATACTTTATGAAATATAAAGTTGGACAAAAATAGTAGGCCTTGCCCACCAATATTTGATAAGAATTAAGTTTTTCTTTGTATATTTTGTGTACTGAGTGGTATGAACACTTAATGGTATTCTTTACCAGATTGTAAATTTCTGATAGACACATCCCTATTCAGTTTGACATTACATATTTTGACAACACCTGTGGCCCCAGCATGCTATTTTCACATAGCATGAAACCAGTATGGTAATGTTCATTTAAAGATACACTAAGTGTGTTATTGTGCTTTTTAGATGTTACAAGACGTAAGTGTTAGAAAAAATTGTATTATTGTGCAACTAATGAATCGAAATTTTAATCATCACTGACTGAAGTATTTTTTTTTTTTTTTTAACTCGATGATTTCATTAGGCTGACCGAACATGCACATGTTAGACAGCAATTTCTTTCCCGCTGTGCAACATTTCTTATGCTATACTTTATATAATGTTGACTATTAACACCACGATTTCAATACGAGATAAAACAAAGGCGTTAAACGTTTTAGTTTGAAACTTCAACTTCAAACTGTAAAAATAATAATTTGCATAAAACTTATGGAGTAGAATTATATTCATCCACGTTATCAATAAGATAATAATCCATATAATTAATTATAATAGATAGATTCAATAAATACAGTTAATCAGAAAATTCAACTGAAACTGAATTATTGCACAAAACCATGAAAATATAAATCAAATAATTTATATCTGCCCAATGCTAACAGTGTGGATTATTATCTAATTGATAAAATTTGAATGAATCCATTAAATGCATTAATCAACTCCAATATTCCACTCCAGGTTTCTCATTGACGTTTGATTTTTATCTATCGATTACAAATTTGATGCGATTTTATTTTCTTTGTATATGTAATTCTAATTAAAATGCTTACAAAAAGTAAGACCAAGGATCTTCATTGCCTCAAAAGTGTAAATAATTAAATACTAGATATTTTCTAAGCAAACATAACACCCATCTATTAATTTAAAGATTAATACGTAAATCAATATTACTTTAAATACTGTAAAACAATGAACGTTTTTATCCTAATGACGAGTGTTTTTAAACAATATATAAATTTTGCTATGTATGAAATCAGCATTGTATCAAAGCATTTACAGATAAAATTCATTAAAAGTGATAGAAGATAGTAAATACGTATTTTGAGTTGTTAGAAATCGTTAATATAGAACATATAAAATCAAGTAAAAAACAAATAATATTGTAATCAAAATGCCTGTTTGTTTTTTTTTTCTTTTTTGTAAGCAGTTGATAGCTACAAAGATATTCCTCTTTATTGCTTTTGTTTCTGTAACGAGATACATTATGGGGTCCAGAGGAACCTTGAGTGGCATGCATGAGTTTCAGTCAAACACGTTTAACCAAACATTACATAGCATTGTTACATTTGCTCCCATGCACATCACACCTCCAGACTTCACCCATGCAGCAAAATGCGCTTTTTAATTATTTCTCTTAATATTATATAAAAAAATCTATTTCTATTGACTTTTAAGCTCTTTGCCAATACTGTACGATACAATTTTGTTCCAGTCAATTTTTGTTCGCATAACAGGTAGTTGCCTTCGTAAGGCTTTAAAGGTTGTGTCCGACATTGTTTGATAATTTTCTGATATAGCAGTTTGATAGTCATTTTCTGATTCTTCAACAAGTCGTATTAACTCCTTTGCTGTTTGCTTTTCATTTGAAATTGGTAAGCTTTCTTTTACTTCTTTGCTACTGACCAGCTGTACATTCCCATCTTCATAGTAATGAACTTGTACTTTAAGACTACCTCTTAATTCCGCATTTCCGGAACTTGGACTAAAACTTACAGTCCATACAGAACGCCAACGGCCATTCCAAAAATTTTTAGGTTGAAATTGATGATCTTCTATGCAAATTGTTAATGTTATGTTACCTATATAAATGAAAATTCTTTATTCAAAATTCTCATTTGAAGCATGAGGTGTAATAACACCTACAAAAAAATAACTTTACCTCCTTGACTCTTCCCAAAAACTGAACATGCACCGTGTCTATAATGACTTTGAGTATAAGTTGTTATTTCATCTTGAAGAGCTGATCTCCAAGGTTCTGCTACAGGGTCTGGTTCATAGGGTTCATAGTCCTGAGCTTCCTTTCTAAGATGATCATATTTAAAACTTTGCTTACTACGAGCATCGTAAAACCTTTGTCCACCTAAATCATTATGTTCCGTTATAAGGGCAGGATACTCGCTTCCTTCGATCTAAAGTCAAGGATACAATAAATTAATAAATATATTGTTAGTTTAGAAATTGTTTGCAATTTATTTTGGACCAATTGTATCACAAAATACGCTTATAATATATGGGTGTCTATTTAACCTCAGCTATACTTAAGTGAACTAATTGTAAATGAAAAAATTAATTTACAGTTAGAAAATACAATCACATAACTGAACTAGGAAAAGGAGAAATTAAAAATCAATCCATATTTTCTGTTAAAACTAGCACGAAACAGAACTAAAATTAACCCTACAGCATCGTACGGAATTCGATTGAAATTTTACAAAGATTTTCACGTGGATGGTTCTATATACTAATTCGAGGATACTTTAAGTAAACAATCACACGAATCAGGTGAATATTATCGCGTTCCAATTTCACTATAAAGTCAACGTCACCTGTCGAAATTCCGGGCGCGTGTTGCCCGATTAGGAAGCATACTAGACGTTGAAATTCGATCCCACACCTTTCGGAGATAATGTGATCCTCTATCATCAGAAATACTAAACGATACCGCGGATACTATCATAAAAAATCGTAGAAGATCGTCAGAGAGGTCGATGATGTACCTTAACAGGCGTGAGCTGATCCTTGTTGTATTGAGCAAATGCCCCGGACGCACCCTCCTTCAACAGGTTGTCGTTGTTCAACAAGACTCTCACATCATTAAAAACCTCGTTGAATTCGCCTGGTGGCGAATGTAGTATAAAGTCCGAAACTATTCGTACTTTTTCTTGATCAGGAATCACATCTCCGTCCGCCGCCATCTTACCTTTCCACTGGCACGCACACTCCGCGATGTCAAACCAAGGTTAGTGCAGTGCAGGTTGTACCGGCGTATCGAAGCACTGCCCCATATACCCGGTGACGCATCACAAAGGGGAGATGTACTTGTAATCAACTCTATGGAATACACGCTTTTCCACTTTTCCTCGTATTCCAGCGGAGAATCTTTATTTTATGACTCTACGTGCGATGCATCTATTCTTTAAATAATTGCTCGAATAATCTTCTTACGAATTGTATGAGTATTTGAACTATACTCAGTTATTTCTTCAATAAAATCTAAGAAAAATAATATTTTTATATACTATTTAAGAATAATTTGTATTGAGATCTTGAAATTGCATATACATATACATATGTTCATACCATGTTTACTATAAATAATGTTAGTTCATAGTATTATTCTTTGGTACTGATTGCTTTATTAAAAACAAATTTTATAAATGAGTAGAAAAACAGAAATATGTTTTCAGTTGAATCTCTATCAGTTAGCTCAGAGATAACCACTATTCGATACCTCCTGACAAACATAAACCTCGAATATTGTTGGACTGTTGAACGCATTCACAATCAGACATGGTTTTAGTGTACACTGATAATATGTTTTATCAAGGTATTTTTAACCGTTCATGTAAAGTTTAAACTAAATTGAAGAATGGTGTTCTGATTGAACGATCGTCGCTGGATGTCTGGATTTACCCGCCAAGATTTGAATAGCACTCGAAACGAGAACAGAAAATGATTTGAGTTTGAGATAGAGCGTATCGCGCATTCGCGCCTGAACTCCATGAATCTCCATATAAGGAAGTTTAACTATTTTTTAACTTAGAAATCTTAATATTCAGATATTTCTAAACATTTCAATTGTATATTACGGTTATGGTATTATTAGAAAATTAGATGTTAATGAATTGATCTAAAATTAACCATTTAACTTGATCTGTCCGTGATGTTCAGGTATTGTAGCGGAATTTTGAAAAATGGCGGACGATCCAAACCGAGACGTTTTACCTGTAAGAGAGCATTCCTATGTGGATACTTCTCGTACCAGTATAGGTCTGTATAAAAAATAATAGTTTTTATGAATTAAAAAATTTTTACGTTCATTTGTAATTTTTACATATAATAAATTAAAGATTCCAGGGACCGGCATCTGGTGTATAAGCTCGATCGTTATGAACTGGAGGACAAATATTTACGGCTACTCGAAGAAGTAAGAAGTTTGAAGAAACTGTCAAATTGTCAGGAGGATAAGATCAAACGATTGTCGACGAAGCTAATGAGAGTAACTGCCAGTCCAAGGATATCTAACGTTGCTTTGGATGTTTATGATGATAAGAATAGAATAATCACCCTTGAACTCGAGAACACCAAGGTGAAACTGACATCTTCTTTTTATTAAAAGTAACTTTAATGTTCAAACGAGTAATGTAGTTGAGAAGATAATTGATAAAAAAAGTTTGCTTCCTTTCATTCTCAGTAAGACAAAATATTTCTCATGTACATATGGTATTATATCATTCAAGTCTTTGATGCTTCATTTAATGTTTAGTAATCATAAAAGGTAAATATGAAATCATCTACTACTAATCAAATAAGTGTTGAAATCGATTTTCCAGCTAAAAGATAAAATCTCAGTGTTGAGAAATCAATTGCTGAATCACAAGATTATTGGTAGATCATCATCAAGGAGTCATAATTCCCAAGCGAGGCAGTCGTCCGGGCGCATGTGAGTGCAAATCGTCGTCGCATTATCGTATTACAAGCGATCCGAGGCGATCTATGATTCACGCTATGCGCATCGCGATAGATCACCGAGTCGAGATTCTTGTTTTAGAACGTGTCGAAGCGAAAGCAGCCACTACAAGATACCGTCTTGTCACTACATCACCGAGACCGGAGATGACGACGACGATGAGCAAAATAATCTCGAGAAAGACGAGGTAATTTCATTGATGGCGTTTCTTATGTTTCAGTCGTATTATTCGATGCGTCAGTTCGTAAGGATTTTTATTTTATCATTTGAACAGATATTCGATGCAGAAAAGAAGGAGATGGCCAGCCGGATAGCTGAATTGGAGAAAGAATTGTCATCTTATACAGTCAGCAATCAAAGGGCAAAGGTTGCTGAGAACATCGAGTACATAAAAGTCTGGCGACAAATGAAGCTGCTGAACGATAAACTAATAGCCGCCGAGGCGGCGAACAAGTCGTTGAACACGCAAATAGCCGATCTGAAGTGGAAGTTCGAGGAGGCGACGAAGTACTCTCAACCTCTCTCACGATTTTCTCTTATGCACCAATGTAACTACGCACCACTCAATGAACTCTGTGAACTGTGTTCAGTTGTTGTATTAAAAATTTATTGTTTCCCCATCCTTTATATGTTTCACTCTGTTAAAGTTAATATGTATTTACAAAATTGTTCCCGTTATACTCTGCTAATAAATGTACTCTCTTATGAACCTGCAATTAGGACGAACGACGAGCTTGCTACATCACTCGCGGTAGAAAGAAGACGGTTGACAGAGATGGACGTGCAATTGTTGAAGACGAAGGAGTCATCGTTTTCGTTGCGGGAAAAAGACGAGCAAATAAACGATCTGATGAGCGAAATAAAGATACTGCAACAGCATAATAGCGAACTCGTTGACCTTACCTCTAACCGTGGAGAGGTCGACCAGGAAAACATAGAACTGAAGAAGAAAGTCTCGAAGCAGCTTCGGGATGAAGAATCGTTAAAAAACACTTTCAATAGCGAACAAACCAACATCATAGCTCTTCAAGCTGCAAATGAACAGTTACTTGGGAAACTTCAAGAGCTTCAGAAGAACATAGATACTTTAACGGTACAGTTTATGGTCAGTGTATAATTTTTTTTCTATACTGATACAAGTATTCTTAAATTCTTATCCATTAAATTCTTATTAATCCTATATAATTCAGTAACATTTTCCTATCTGATATTTGCCGTCGCTAAATAATCGTATTATCTTGCAGTCTTTCCAGACTCAGACCGAAAAACAGCAAGCGTCGAAGTCAACGCAGATATCAAGAAAGCAAACCGATATGAAGAGCCCGCAAACGCCTTATAAAGTAGAGCCGTACAAGAACGCTTCGAGCCAAATGGAGAAATGCAGAAAATGCTTCGAAACTTTTGAAAAAATATTGCTATTGGAAGAATGTATTTGTGAACCTCGAGGGAACATCAGTCCGATGGATAAATCTGTTCAAACAGAATTTGTAACTCGTTCGGGTATCGTGAATACGAAGGATCAAGAGACGGTCATGACACCTCTTAAAGAGAAACGAACAGAAGAAGAGCCCGTGAAGGAACTTGTGAAGAAGAATGCCGAACAAATGTCGACGGGGAATCCTCTGACGCCGGAGAAGATGTTGAAGCTTTTAGAGCAAGCTCAAATTAATACTTCTTCGGATCCAATGAAATTCGTACCGAAAAATATGACCAACAGGGTCGCCTACAATTTAATGGAGTTAAACCAGAGACACAGGCAAGTTGTCTCTCTTGAAAAACTGCTGTTCGGTGATTCTGGCTGCTGACACATACTGATTAGTTACTTTTATTGAAAGTTTAGAAACTTGTTTGATTTATTGAATGTGGGAACTTAATGTTGTTCTTCCAGACAAACATTATCTCTGAAGCTTCCAGATTCATAAGAGACACGCGAAATTTAATTGATAGAATATGATTGTAGTTTGATAAGATATTGGATAATGTTTAGAGAACATAAGGTACATTGTAAAATGCTGCCTGTTCTAATCTTGTAATTTATGATATAAGTTGGTTATTTTTGATTGAATAGTTTTTTTAATAGTTATATTGTATTTTAGTGTATGAATTTTCTTGTAATATATCAATATTACAATAATAACAGTAATTGAAAATTTAGCCCTTTACAGATAATTCCTATTCTTCATTGCCGTTACTCTTTTCCTAAATTTTCAAATACTGAAATATTACTTCTACAAATTATCGTCAGACTGTATTACAGCGATACAGAAATGCTTGTTCAAGCGAACCAAGCAAGTCAAGTTCTTCAACCCAGATACCATCAGCAGAAAAGCAATATCGGCACAAATCCGCAAAACACTTATCAATCCTTGGAGAACCAATTTACGGATCCCAATAAAATATTGTTTATTTTATTCAATATCCTTCAAGGATATTCCCAGACACATGCGGGAAGCAGCGAAGCTACCTTGTATCGTCGAATTTCAACACCTGATTACCAATTTGCAAAAGACATCAATAACAACGCCGCAAAGAAAAGTCCTAGTACAAAATGCACAAGTACTTCTTTAGAATTTGTTGCTGCGAACAAGAGTGACACATCCAATGCTCTACGAGGTGGTTGCAGTAATAGAAGGTCCTGTTTAAATCCTTACACCAAACTACGACCGGAGAAGCTGAGAAGAAAAATAGTTTGGGACCCGAAGAAATGCAATCAAGTCACTAAATCAGATGAGACCAACAACTGTACTTGCAACAACTTTATCAAATGCAACATTAATTCCAATTGTAATCAACAGTGTTGCAACAACGGTTCTTCGAAATCAATCGCCCAAGACCCCACCAACGGTGCGAGCAAATCTCTTAAAACCACCATGGACAATTCAAACGTGGATCAATCTCCGCGTGGTCTGAACGTGACGTTCCAATCACGGTAACGAGGTTCCACGATGACGATCAAGTGACGTTTCCCAAAACTCATGTCGCTCCTTTTTAAGTATTTTACAGGATGGCGATGGAACAAAGCCCCGCAAAGCTTGGGAAGAACAAAAGTATTCGCAGGAGAGCAATGAAAGGTTGGACGATGATAAGTCGTTGCGGGAATACATTGTGCAGCTGAACAAATACAAGGCCGTTGTTAACCAGAGTTCATCGTTGAGCGTCCAAACTGAGTGTCCAGTAAGAGAAGAAATATTACTGCACCTCTGTTTGAAATGCAAAATAGTTGAAACGTTTCGGTGATGCACTACCAGGACTTCAATGATGTACCTGAAACTCAGAGAACGGCATCCTTTTGTAGTCTGAATTGTCCAAACGAGTGTATCGACGCTTTGAGTTCCCTGTCCGATCCGTTCCCCTTGGTGATCCCCGAGGGACAGGGACTTCTGGAGCTTCACATCATGTCTCTCCAACTCTCAACGTCTGTTAGTATCGGAAGGTAAAATTTTGCAGAAACGTTTCTTCACGATACTTAATTTCCACGCAGGCAAAGCAGATTCTTTTTCGCGAGAAAGATATCAGCAACGTCCAGTTGTTCGTGAGTTGGGACATATGGAACCAAGAAACGACTTACACGCCTACCCAGAAGTGTCCCAAGCTGAACTTCAATTCATCCTTTGTCTATCGAATCTCAGATCTCTCCTCTTTCTTCAACTACGTTCTGATGGAGGTGGTGATATTCCAGGTGAACGTATACCACGAGGACAAGGACAGTTACACGGTGGCTAGAGGGAAGCTCTGCATCAAGGATATACTCGATTATCCGCAAAACAAGCTTCATTACATCGCTCCGGTGAACAGCGTGATTTCTTGCTCGCTAGGCATGACCTTTGGCCAATTGTCCCTGTGGGTCAGGCTTAGCTGCGACGTCGAGAAGGTGTATAAATTCAAGAAGACACGAGGAATAGTCACCGAGGATCACACCGTTTCTGTTAAAAGTCCAGTTGATTCGAAGAAACCTACCATTGAGAAGCCGGTAAGAGTTGGTATGCCAGTCGGGGATGATCTGACTGTATTGAAGGACACGGATTCAAACGCTCGTCTGATCTACGAACCGTCCAAGGAAATATTCTCTAATTATCAGAACGAAGAGGACCTAAATGAATCGAGTAAATTATAATGCCATGGTTGGTAACGATAAGACGATAGAGTAAGTTACGTAAATGAAAATATTGTATTCAGGTGACACGACTGATGCCCCTGACAACAATAATAATAACGCGGGGAAAACTTTTACCAAAATCCCTTTGACCGTGGTGAAGGAGAGCGAGGACGAACCCCATTTTCACTCTAGCTTTGAAAATGCAAATCAGGCCATGAAAGTTGAAAAATCAACCAAGGTGGATGACAAAGTAAAACCTGCGAAAGTAGATCAAAAAGTAGATACGTCGAAAAAGGTGTTGAACCGGGATTTCGAAGAAAGGTTTTCTATGCTGACGTTTCCGACTCTTTTACTACGAAACCTAATTGCTAGTTTAGTAATTAGAAAATATATTTTTAATCAGTGTGATGTCAGTAAAAGCCATGGGGATTGGAAGAACAGTAGCAGAAACAGATTCCGGGAGCCACAGATCAAGCGTGGAAGAGTTTAATGCCGTCATCTCGAAGGTAAATCTCTGCGATCTTTCAGATTCATTTCTCAATTCATTGTCGCAAATAGAGCCGTGGAGTTGTCCAGGAGAAACAGGGCGACACGACTCGGGAAGGCTCCGATGAGTCGATCTCCGAATTAACGAACGTGATTTCGGAGAAAAACTGGGAGGAGTACAAGCAACGAAGTTTGCTCACATTTGTTAATACGTTTAGTAATTATCTGTATTTCCTGTGAAACTCTCGTGTGGACACTCGTTATTTACAAAAAATTAATTGCAGAACCTGATAACGGAACCGCTGAAACACCCAGCGTGGCCGGATTGGCCAACGACGGCATACGAGCCTCGATTTCAGTCCCTTTGTCTCCGGTAAAGCTTTCAAAATTACACGTCGAAGAATTTTCATTTCACATTGTTTCATTTCTGAACTTTTTGTCCTGATTACAGCAACACGATACTGACACGATAGCCATCGATATCCTGAACATGATCCTTTTCCCGAAGAGTTCCGTCGTACAAAACGATGAAATTCACCTGCTTTACATCGAGTACTCTTTTCTTGGTTATTCCGGTGCTGATATGGAAACGATGTCGGTGCAAAAACCGCGACCACCGGATACGAAACTCACGTATAATTTCAGGAGAAGTATAGGGACAATTTATCCGTGTATCTGAATGTTTTTAGATATTTAGTAAAATAAGAGTTATAATTATAGAGTTTCACGTGGACGAGGAGACACATTCGAAGCAGAACAACATGCTACGAGCGATGTTAGGCGACACTATCAACCCCAACATAAGATTCATCGTCGTCTCCGAGCCTCTTCCGGAGGAAACTGAAACAAAGGAGTGCGTAGAAGTGGGGTAAGACGCGAGAAAAATCTTCTTAAAGAGGAGATTGATTTTCAAAATTCATCTTAGGTTCGCTAACTTCAATTTAAAAGAATACGCATTTGGGGAGAGCGAGAAAGTCGTAACGATTCAGGTGCACAGTCCAGACGGTAGTGAACAAATTGGTCTGCTAAAGGTACCGCAGTAATTTTAATCGAAGATGCACCATAAAGATTTATTAATTTCATGAAATATTTACAGATCTTCGTGTCGGGTTTGGATACTATCCGCCAGCGTCTCAGAAGACGAGAATCTAATTTATAATCAGTTATCGAGAAAAACGTCCTGTCTATATTTCTGTGTCCGTTGTAAAAATGTGATCTTAGTGAAATTATTAATTTAGTGAACGTCCGACGAATAATTGATTTCAATGTAAAATATAGAGATTAAAATTTGCATAGTATAAAATGTTGAGTTTATTAGAAACTACTTACATCATAATACAAAATATTCGACATTTTTTTGAATACGTAGCTTGTCATATCGAGATACGATTATCCGTGTGAATCATTGTCTACGTCTGCAAAATCAAATCAATCTTCGATTATACTTTCATCCCTTAAGTTCCAACTTTGTCTATCCAATGTCAATTTGTTTTTAAATATTCCGCATCATACGGATTTCAGTGGTAAAACACTTCTAACTCTTCCTTTTCTCGTGCTTCATTGTCGAGCTTTCAGTCGTGGTCGAGTTCTGGTGCTCTTTTAAACTGGACAACTTAGATTTCCGGAAGACATCATTGAAGACACTCGTGGCAACCTGGACGTCTTTGCAATCGTTTGGCTGTCGGGCAATGGACCAAACGCCTGTTATGGTGTCCACTCCTTGGCATACTCTACAGGCACCTGAACATCGTCTCATCGTTAACTTAACTTTAAATAGTATATATTTTAAGAGATCCTACGTACCGACGAACACAGCTATCGACTTGGTACTGTTATCCGTGGCGATCAGAGTGAAGGGTGCGCCACGTTTAAACGGAGCGTGACCGGAAACGTTCCACGTTCCGTTGAGGAGACTTCCGTGAAAACGGGGTGTCGCGAGCTCCGTAACCGTCACGATTATACTTCGATTCACGACCCTCATCTCTAGCTTGATTCCGGCCTGAGACGTTGACCAGGACCCTGACAAACGGCAAGGTAAGCCTAAAAATACCGCTCGTTTCACATATCAAGGATAGCCAAAGGGTATAGCAGGATAAGATGGTCAAAAGTGCCCTTGAACCGATTTTATTGAGCTATACACCATTTTATAGCTTATAATAAAAAATCTTTGTACACCAAGTTTCAACTCTGTATCTGAACCGGGAGGGTAGTTACAGGGTAAGGAAGAAAAAGTGATTTTTGCCATAAAAAATCTGAAAAAATTTACAATCGTAAAGAAACATGGCTAGAATATTCTAGAATTTTTTCAGATTTTTTTCATGCCATTAAATAGGGAAAGTATGGTAAAATCCACTTTTTCTTTCTTACCCCGTAACTACCCTCCCGGTTGAGATATAGGGTTGAAACTTGGCGTACAACGGTTTTTCATTACAAGCTATAAAATGGCGTATTGCTAAATAAAATCAGTTCAAGGGCACTTTTGATTATTTTATCCTGCTATACCCTTTCAGGCCAATAATTGTACACCTCTCTGATCATTACATTTATTCATTAAATCATACCGTCTCTCCTTTTGTTCTTTGAATGATCCAGCTTCAATTCTTCCAGTTCCTCCATGATGGTGTTCAGTATTTGATTGGCGATCTCCTTAGTGTCTTGCACAGCGATGGAAATGTTCATATTGTGTGCAGGAAGGAGTGGATTATCCGTGTACGGTAAGAACTCGTCTTCGTATCCTCCACTTTGAATTACGTGTCCTCTCGTGTGGTCCTCCTTATCTTCGTTTCTATTCTCACCCTTAAATTCTTGCTTTCGATAACTGGGACTTAAAAGATGTTCCTCTGATTGATTAAGAGAGTCAGAGTTTGCTATGTCGTCCTCCAAATTTTCATTCTGATTTAAATTACTGGGCTCGGTGCTGATGTTGATGCCCAGAGACTCCAGTATCTTTCCAAGAGGCTGATCCATCGCGTTATCGTACGATTGAGGAATGTTATTTATCCCCTGTATTGAAACACTTTTCATAGATTGATCCTGTGTGTCGTCGAGATTGTCGTATGACTGGCCTGCAGAGAAACTAGGCTGCGATTGAGCTGCGATATCCTCCTCCGTTGTACCTGATATCCGAGGTTGATTTAACGTATTCTCGTCGAAATTCGTGTCTATTGGCTGATCATTTTCCAGGTTTTGTATTTCAGGACTGTTAGGACGCAGCGGGTTCCTCCTTGGTTCGACACCTTCGTTTGTTTCCAAGCTTCTGAAATCGTCCTGAGGCGTCTCGTATTGATCGAAACGATTCAATGGACGAGGATTGAGTTGGTGAATTTCATTGTTCATTCTCCTATCATCGATATTGTTTTGTACCACGTCAAGAACAGCATCCTGTTCGGATATCTGAGGCTGTTCAAGAACTTCCTCGGTGCTGGCAGGGCACCTGGGGTCCGATTGATCGTATCTATCCGCTCTGAGGAACTGAGAATACTGATTCGGTCCCCCGAGTCGTTTGCCTTTCGGATATCTTTGAAAACGATGAGAACGTTTAAAAGCGTTACCAGGGTACCTGAAGCCTTTTCTACGACCAGGGTGACCTCGATGATACGCCTGAACGTTTCTGTCGATTCGACGAAGAGATCTAGAGTACGGAGTCTCGCGCGCGAAACGATCATTGGGATACATGGATCGAACGATCTGCATGGGGATTTTATTCGCTGCCATGTCGCGGAGGACATCGTCGTCGCTGTAATAATCCGAGTACTCTACTCCTTGGTCACCGGGACTCTTTTTTAAAGGGTTCCTCGTTGTCGTCCGCATCAAACTGTCGATCATTCTCTCGCTACCGTGTAATTTCACGGAACCTTCGCTTTTCGCTGATTTACTCGACAACGCCGAAGATTTAGTGATCAACGGTGAGGAGAAATCAACGTAATCATTGTCGTCTACGTGTACACGGGTAACTTTTTCGTTTGATCTTGATGTTGTAGGTCTGTCTCGTGATTTGTTATCGGTCATTCCTTGATTATGTTTAATTAAATGTTTCTCTCTTCCGGTTACTTTCTTCGCAGACGAGTTAATGTTGCTGCCAGGGTTCGACGTTCTCTGAGCAAACGAACAACGTTCAAACGTTCATTGAATGCGTAGCAAAGTTGTACGCGCAGGAATGCAAGGTGAGTTGATGAAAATTGAAGAACGAAGCTTACCTACCTTGGGAGATCCCCCCTTTGGCCATTCAGCGTGCCCATTTTTGAATCTTCGATGGTGTCTACGAAAAGTAAGATGATTTTCTTACGAATAAATAAGCGAGTATTGGAAATTAAGTTCTGATTGTCCTTCGAGGTACCTTCTCTTTTTCTTCTTTCCTCGTCCAATGTGCCCGTCCTGATGTTCACTGCGGGATTTTTTCATTCCAACCTTTCCCGAAGCCGGCAATTTCACTGACGCATAGAGATTACTACGAGGTTTCGACACTCGAGTGAGCTTCTTCATTGTCTCCTGCATCTTCGGAGATTGCAACGCATCTTTGGCCATCTTGTTGGCCAAATTCTTGTCACCTGCTCGAGATATTCTGCGTTCCATCGAATGGACACTGCTTCTACGTGCCTTCGGTTCCTGATCGCTAGAGTATCTGTTGTGTTTGCTCGATTGCCGTTTCTGCATATGGGAATCTTCATCGTGGTTGACAATCGTGTCTTTTTTCAGAAAAACATCGCGCCGTTCAGGTGATTCTACCTCTGCTTTGTTTTCCTCTGATGATCTTACGTTGCTTTCGATACAAACTGCGCTGATTAGTAGCGAAACGATCATGGTCAACCTGTTATATATATTTTTTTTTTTTATCGTATTGATTAACGAGAAGATTCTAACGATTCACATGATTTTTAGGTGTGGAAATTTGATGTACCTGAATAAACTCAGCAGCATTCCTCTGCAAGGTGAATCGATGGAAAGATTGGTGCTGGTGCCATTGAATCAGCGAACACTGGTGAATCTTCAAGCTTTTATCTCGATCGTTATCATCGCAATTTACTCGAATTCACTTTTTTTACCTAATTCTAATGGCAATTCTTCGTTGATCAGTCGCGATGAACAGTTTTTCCTGCACGTTGACACATGTCCGATAAACGATCACGAAAAGCGCTCGCACGAGATTCGATGCTCGTTTCTCGACGACCAACTTTTGTCATCTGATCGGTAAATCAGAATTCTCCTCCATCTTATCGCGATCGACTCTTTGGAAATCCGATTCTGTACTCTGATTCCGCGTATGTACAAGCGGTCTTTAGTCATCGGTTTTGCTCCGTTTGGATAACACGAGCGTGTACTTAAATTCATGAATACATATTTAAGCGAACACGTGCGTATAGACGGGCACACGTGTGTAGCTTTCGCGTAAGGTAGATTGCCGGCGATCAAAGCGACTTGGATTATCGCCAAGTACACGCGTCGGCCTCAATTAGTCAGATATTACATATGAATGTCCTACACGCTGCTAGGCTGCGTTAATAACACGGAAATGAACTTATAGCCATCTGTTTCATCGGCACGAAATCGCCTTTAGATGTTACTCTTTCTTTATTTATTATGAAAGCTATTGTAGGAATTATATTATGTTGTTGCGGACGAAATGGGCAATTTATAAAACATACAATAACTGTAATTTTATTCTTTTAAAATTCTTACTAGTAATGTAATTTTTGTCAAATTCTTCCGATTCAAATTTATTAAGGGTACCATATTTTTCAGACACCCTGTATTTCACCGGTCGTAAAAGTGCATCAACGTTGAGGCCGCATGGTGCACGTATTAAAACCAAGTCAGAACGCAAATAGACTCCCAACGATCCGTCGAAGTACCATCGGCGCCGGACAGAAGCCGGCTGTGAGCAGCAAAAAGGACAAGTAACGAGCGGCCAGCCTGTCGGAGAAATTACGGTCGGTACAAAACGCATCACGGATACAACACGTATATCGGCGTGGACCAGCAACGAGATCCCTGGAGACACATAGGCATCGATTATTATTAGAACCAGCCGAAAGTACAACCCGATCTTCGGGTTATATTGCAAGTGCATCGGAATGAGGATCGCTTTGCGTCTTCTGAGTTCCCTATAAAATCATTCACTCTGTCAGTTTGCGGAAGGATAAGTAGATACGTCGAGGAAATTAAGCTTTCCTGGAAGATGAATTATTTTTCACATATTTGTAGTTTACGAAAGTAGCGGATCACGATAGGGAATGTTGGACGAATCGAAATCACGATTGAAAACTTGTGAAATCGATGGTATTTTTAAACGATCGATTTCTTTGCTGTTGCGTAATTGAGTATTTCTAATTGTTTAATCGAACCTTGGCGCGCGTACAGCCGCTTCGACGAACGTGATTCGGAACGCGAGACGGTCGGAAATTAATTCGACAGGAAGTCAATATTTACTGCGGAACAGACACTTTTAATGGCCTTAATGGTTAATGTAGGCTGATACTTTAGAATTGTGAAATGATACCTCGTTAATTACTTAGGTAACCCTTGGCTCGAGTACAGAACCGTCAGGAAGCTCAGGAAGAATACCAAAGGTCGCGATTTTTACGCTCTTCGAGTGGAACAAACTCCTATTGGACTTAAAAAACATTTCTTAAAAAATGATGCTTGCGGAAATCTACGAATTTGTATTTATTCAAACAACTGCCAAAATAGGTAACTGCAATTGTCTTTTAATTAGTGTGAAAAAAACTGAAATATTTACAAATTTCATTTATCTATCATAGGGTTTACGAAGCACATGTGGTATCATACTCACAGATGCCTCTAGTCAGTGTATCAAGGTATACTCAAAACACTTATGTACTCGAAATGATTTATTCCACTATTTCTATCTTCTTTATCGTAACTCGTGTAGATACCACCGGTGCATCAAACAACAGGTGCGTTGTTTCGCTAGAGAAGACGAGAGAAACAACAGAACAGTGCTGGTCCACAGCGGGAAGAAGCGAAAGAAGCGAAGAAAGGAAAGAAGACGAAGTGGACAGCGATGAAGAAGACGAAGAAGAGGTAGCTGAGAAGCGTGGAGGGTGTCGGGACGCGTTGCGGCTGGCATTGGTAGCAGTCTCGAGATAGCCGCCGGCTGGCTTCCTCACCGCCTCGGGGGATTTATTCGGGGATTCCGAGCGCAAAGTGGTGAACGGATATCCAGTGGCTGATCCATCGATCCGCGTTAACCAGTGATCAGCGTTGATTGCGATTACCCTGGGATCGTTAACGAAAGAAAGAAAAATCCAAAGTTGAACTGAGAGTACCTTTGCCGGAGGTGAGTCCGTTAGCATATTCCTCAGCTTCTTTCGTTTCTTCGTTCTTTCCTCTTCCACTGACCGTCGTGTCAGCTCTTCGACGTGCTATTTTCGTGAGTGTTGTGCAAGTGTCGAACTCTCGTATTCAAACGGCCCTTGCACCGAACAAACGAACCCTTCAAGGATCTCTTCGCGATCCGTCCTGACGTCGACAGGTTCTCTTCCTGGCCGACCTTGGACGACGTCTACGCCGCGTCAATTTTCTTCGCTTATTTTCGGACTCATCGTGGACTGGCCGTCTTCTCACGAGTAACCACCGGTGTGATTTGTGCAATTCAGATATAAAGACGATTGCGTAGCAGTTTTGGTACATTGAATTTTCACGAACACGACCTTGGAATCTGTTGATCCTCGGTCCGTGTCAAGCGATTCTTCTCTTCTTCAAGGGATAAAGATGGACCAAGAAATATTTATTGCTACTACTTAAGTTTACTACGTTTAACATGTTCGCTACTGGTGTCACGTATTTCATTGTTGATCGCTGTCAACATGTGTCGCAACCGAGGATTTTTATTTAAAAACAGACTAAACGATGATGTACAAACGATGTGCATGATTCAGGGTATATTTTTGCTCTGCGGTTGATTAAAAAATAGTAATAGAAACGATGTATAATTGCATAGCGAACGTGTTAGACGATAGAGTGAAATGTTTAGGGAATGGAAGAGGATTCGCTTTGACGAGGAACATTAATTCTCAGTGGATGCAATTTTCGCGCGAAACACAGGAGATAATCGAGTTGTTTATAGATAATACGGTGTCCATCTTCCGGTTAATGAACTGTCGCGGCGATGACAGATATGGAATCCTGTCATCTTGTCATGTGGAAGCCACACGCATAGGGTGTAACGAGTCTTTCGGTAAACATTTATTGATAGAACATTCTCTGATTATTAAAGTAATATCATGTACAATTTTCTTATACAAATATTGACTTATTTAGAAACATTCTCTAATTAGAAATTGTGTCAGAGGGTTGAAGCATTAATCAGAAAATTTTCAGTGGAAACGTTCCGTGACCAAGCGTCGGTCATCGTCTTTTTCTTCTTCTTCTGTATGTCGAGCATGCTTTCCCGGAGCAACCTCATTATTCAGAGGGAAGGCAAGGTTGCACGGTGGCCGAAAGCAGCAACCCGTGCGATGACACTGCCGTCTCGTCTACTAAACACATCGTGAAGACCCGCGGCGAAATGAAATTCCGCTCAAGGTGGCTCGTAAAATAGCTGCGCTATTTTCCTGGCACAGTTTCCCCGTGAGTTGGCCGTCCAGTGAATCAAATCTTCGTCCAGTCGCGGCGAAGGCCAAGTTTTTCGCTTCGCGGAAAGATGACTACACGAGCTTGGCCGCGAAGAATGGAGAGCACGCTCGCGTCCGTGCAACCTGCGACCCAAAATATCAAACCACGTTCCACCTTGATCGAGAAACAACGTGTTGCTTTTCCGTACGATTCATCGAAACGACAGAGATTTATTTTCTGATCCATCATTGTATTCGATTATCTCCGATCCGGAGCTAAGCTTATATTTCTTTCCTCGCTTATTTACTGTCTAAAAAAAGAATTCGAGCCGATCCTATGCTCTAGTAATCTATTTGGATCAGCGGAGCAAACGTATTTTCATTTACTCGCGTCAGGGATTGGAGTTTAAGGTGCTCATTTAGATGATGTATTGAATTAACTATAGTGTATAACTTTGAAAAAATTTTTTATTCAAACAGTAGGTTCGTTGTAAATAATTTGCGTTATTGTAATTGTACGAATGTCAGGAGTTATTTTGTGTATACTATCAGATTCGTTTATTATTCGATTTAAAGTGAATGTATGTGGCATCAAAGCCGGCTGTTTCTTGTTGTTTATCACGGTGACCCGATAATAGTTGCTCGATCACGTCGTGCCTGGCGCAGCATTTATTTGTTCGTGGCTTTACGTTACTCCCTGTGGAGTTAGGCGTCGAAGTCAATGGCGGAAGTGACCCGATTAGCAGTGAAATACAAGAAAATGCGGCCAGCCCCGCGCTGGCGGTGCAAGCGGGCCAGCCAATCAGACGAACGAATACGGGTGCCGCGTGTCGGAAATAGATTTCGCTTAAACTAAAGGTTGATCCGCCGACGCCAGTTTAACCATCTATGTACAACATTCGATTTCGCTCCCATGAAATCGATCGAATTAGATGCACAATTCATCTTAGCGTCATTTCTATGATACTTGAATTCAAGCGCCAGTAGAGGGACGACATCTATGATGCGGGCATCAGTATTTACAGTTATGACAATTTTCACAATCTTATGATATTTTTACAATATATTAATATCAGTATCGTTATGTTTAAATTAATACTCGATTCTGTATTCTATAAAGAATCTAAAAGTGTTAAAAATTCTAAAATATTAGAAATAAAGTTGGGCGGTAAAGGAAATCATAGTACGCATGCGCAGTGTTCGAATGGCAGCGCTTCAAAATGGTTGTGGAATTGTGGGGGCGAAAGACTGAGGAATAAATTTGGTTGAAAAGTCGTTTTTAAAGTGTATTATAGATATAAATAATGCATCAATTATTCAGAACAGTGAACGTGGGCATTGAGGTAAACTTGAATTGATTCTGGAGGTTATAAATTGTTTATTTCTTGTCGGTGAAAAATGATGCACGAGGTATTCCCGAAATCGTAGCTATACAATTGTAAGGTTATAACTATAAGTCTTTTCAGTCGAATATTGTTAGGAATTTAAGGAATATGTCCATATTAGTAGAAATAGAGATTGTTTTACATATCTGAGAACATTTTTCGTGCGAAGTCGATAAGTTACCAACTGGTCAAGAAAGAATTTACTTCTTTGCTGAAATGCAATCTTGGAATTGGCGTCGTTTTTCTTAAGGTGGCAGCACCATTACGGAAAACGCGAGCCAATCATATTCAAACACTGATTTCAAATTAACGGATATCCACTGTATTCTTTGTTCTAGAATAATGGTGTAATGTGGAATTCACTGCAATGGCTTCTAACATTTCGATTACATCCAAAAGAAAACAAGGTGATTATTTGATCTTAATCGAGCAAGTTCTCCCTGTACATTAAGAAAATACTAATTAGTTTTAAATATCTGTGCAGAAATTTCAGCGGAGGTGACTCGAGTCATCAGAAGAGAGGGAGTCATCATTGAATCACCAGGCAAGGTAAGTTCTATCGTCAACAATCTACCTTAATAACTACATTCTCTAAAAACTACGCAATCTATAACGCACCGATAATCTCACGAAAGAAAGCAAATATTTTATTCTGAATAAGAAGATTTGAAAGCTTCTTACGGTAATGAAATTAGACCGCTTGCAAGATATAAAGCATCGGTACCCAATCCTCGTTACCAAACTTCATTCCTCAAAGGACCACCGTATAAAGGATGAAACATCAAACGTTTTCAAGTAATTGGCTAAACGGTAACTAACAAGACATATACCCGTTCACGCTAAATACGTTACGTCACGATACCGCCATCTAAATTAAACTAAAACCAAGGCGCACCACGAAGGTAGGTAGAATATCTGGTTCGATGCCAAAGACTGAAGACAACCAAGAACTCGACGCCATTCCAACTACTCCCGCAATGCACGAACACGTCTCTCATTCTTCTCGACGAACCCCTCGCTTCTCTTGTCACCGTCGATGCTCTCGCCCCTTGATTCACTCGGGCAAATTCTTTCTTTCTTTTTTCGCCCTCCCCCCCGTGCCGTTTCACCGCTCGACATGATTTATAGGAAACGCATTCTGTCGCTGTTTCACGCTTCCTGGAAGGATGGCCTGTTCAACGTTTGTCGTGGACGACGCCGTGCATGCCACCCGATTCCGAGACGTCTCGTTTTCATCCTTAATTAAGCCCTAATTAATTGCAAAGCATTTGAAATTCTTGGGAATGCCTCACTGCAATCGGAAGAATACTTAGCCGGGCAGCGTGTCATCGATATTGCCAACGCAACGCACAGCTAACGAAAGTGGCTTGTAATTTATTTACACCGGTAATTACGACGCAAATATAACACAAAAAGGATAGAGGACAGTGAGGGAATACATTACTTAGGTAACAAAAGTTAGTTTTCCTTTTCAATTTAGAAACTTCGTGACTCATTTCGGAACACTGTTTATTCTAATGTTATCAACTGTTCGCAAACAGTTGGATGTTTAATTTCCATGATAGGATTAAGAAATCAAAGGCTGTCTGGTTTCCGTTCGAGGAGCAGAAGGTTCGTGCCAATGATCTCTCATCGCTTGATTCGTGCTCCGCTAAGAAAATGTCGAATATCTGCTAATACTTCTGGCACGTGACGGAGAGCAAAGATTGGATACATTGTATTGAAAGCAAACATCCTGATGTTTTTACTTGTCACGCAACAACGCTACGTGCCAAAATCGATTCTACTAATTTAAACTTCATACAGCCGGCGTTTATAGGCGTCTTATCGATTAATTTCTTATTATGTACTTTACTACTATTATAGGAAACTTTGAACATTGCATTTGGAAATTCAAATCAATTTCAATTTTTATCAAGTGGATCATCGGTATTAGTCTCTTTCTTCAAATATAAAATTAAATCCTTCAACTGTCAGAAACATGAACTCTCGTCAGATTTCACTGTTGTTCATAGTTACCTAACGCGTGGTTTATTAATTCAAATCATCTAGACGAACATAACTAGTCAATTGACATCTATCCAAGGAATTTAACGAACCGTAGTCTCAGACACGTTTAGAATTGGCTTTCAGTTAACCATAAATCAGCCCGTTAAAACGGTGCTTTGTTCGGGGTACGTATGAGCCGGTATTACGAGCGGAATCTGTACCAAATAAAACCTTAGAAATATTTCTCCCTCTGTTGCAACCCAGCTTGTTTCATTTCAAGGTTTTCTCTTAATTTATATTTCTACCATGTCGCTTCTTTAATCTCGTGAAACGAACTGCTCAATTAATTTATCGTTTACCTTTCTGTTACTCTAGCCAACATCAATTGATTTACAAAAGATGTCTTTATTCATTCTTAAGAAATTTACGAGGGATTGTCAGGACGGATCGCGTCGTTATCGATAATGATGAGTCGATAGAGGCGAAATGAATCACACGAGTGGCGTTGACACGCTAAATTTCGTCCAGCGGACGGATTTTGGCAGACAATCAAGATCATAGATTCAGCTGAAGGCAATTGATGTGCCAATAGTATCGTGGCGCTTCTTTCACCGGAAATTCAACGTCCGGTCATTCTGTCTGGCAAGTCCACCTTGTTTTCTATATTTTTGAAACTTTATTATTCCGAAGAAAAGAAGTAAGGATTCTTCGTTGATTTTGATGTACGCGACAGATAGAGCGCCAAAGGGTTAAAGATCTTATATCACAATTTTTATTCGATTACGTTCTGTAGAATTATTTGTGGCTTCCATAAATTATTGCCATGGTATCGGCCAAAATTCGTGACAGGAGCGATTCGACGTAAATCTATCAGCCTTGAGCCCTTGCTACAGTTATTGTCTTGTCTTAAGTTCAAGCACTATCGTAAATCACCGAGAACAACCGAAGCACGAAACGTTTCACGAGGGGATACAATGAGACACAGTTTGTTCCGAACGACCTGAAATTTCGCTTGAAACAAAGTTACTTTGTTTGCAATTATTAGATACATTATTCCTATAGTGAACATTATTTTCTATGCATTATCTTGTATTAGTAGTTTTGAAACTTATAAATGATTCGTACTTATACTAAAAGGATTAAAATATTGTTCATTCATATGTCAAAGCGTTTTGATGCTTTTTCGAGTGGGTTGGCGATTATCGTTGCTTTGGAAGACAAGAATTCAGTGAACGATCAGCACGAAACCATGCGTTTCTGAAAAATGGTAACAGGTGTCTTATTTATCTTTCGTGAATTGCAAAAGTGACGCGTGTACGCGACTGATTTATCACGCAGTATATCACTTAAAGAGGTCGGTGCACAGGGAAATAAATAAACTCGTCTGTCAGCAGCATTAGTTATCATGACAATATTTATTATAAATTATAACTATGAGAAAGTATCGGTACGATTAAGAGCAGACTCAATCTTCGATCCTAATCTCGATCTTTTCTATTCTTGTTCTTTCGCTCTTTCGTTTCTTCACAAGCAACTTGTCTACTTTTAGACTTCCGTAATTTTACATTTTAGATATTTTATACTGTAAACTACCGTAGATACCATTTTTCAAAATACAATTTGGTAAAGATTCCTAATGTAAAAAGTGAAAATCACGAATATGATCATCGACCGTCATATTATTGAGATATACTACTTGTTGTAATGATCCATTCAAAAGGTAAAAGGCACATCTTCTTTCCACGTAATGTTCTCCACTTTGACGCTCGCAGTGTTCGATAATTTTAGAGGATCGAATCCATATTTCATACGGATACCGTAACTAGGTCGAGAATAGTCTCTCGCAGGCACCTACACGGTTCTAAATGCCTCGCGATTTATATCAAATAATGACGCAACAGTCCTAAAGAAAGAAATTGGACCTGCAGTAGGCGTTCGTGGCAACAATCGGTTCGCTTGAAATAGCCGGTCATCAACATTACTCTTTTTCCTAATTGTTTGTTAAATAAGCGTTAGCTTGCTTTCTATAGTTATCAAAGTTCCATGGCGAGGTCGTTGATTTCTGTATTGGCTATTTTTACTAGGGAAGTCATTTTAAGGCTAAAGGAAGGTGAAAAGTATATTCTTATATTTCACATTTACACTTTTTACATTAAACATATTTTTGCAGCTTCATTACATTTGGGAGACATAGCCATTTTAATTAAATGGAGAAGAATGGAGGAAGGAAACACAATTGCCAAAATTAGCCATTCTTTATCATCATTTGTAGGACATAATCATCGGTGCCTATTTCCATAAAACATACAGGTTGATTATTTCATTTAATTCTAATCATTGTTACTTTCTTCCAAAGTTATTAATTTTTAAATCAGTACTATGAACTAATTTTTCTTTCCCTTCCAGTTCCAAGATTGGCCATTCTCGATCATTATCCTCTGCATCCGGAATTCCCGCCTTAACACAGATTCGTCAAATCCACGGTATAAATTTTACATATGTACACACTTGCCACGCGACACATACAACTCCGGGATCCGTGTACTCCGTTCTAAAGATGTATTGGAGAAGTGTAAGAAGGGTAGCTATTTCTGTTCGTGGGGAGTCGAGAGAGACTCGTCGCGCGAACGGCTCTTAGCCACTTCGTACATCGGCTAGTCTGGCGTTCGCCACGTATCGCAATACGCTTTTTCCCTAAGGAACAGAGCAACTCTGAACGAACATGTCACGCGTGCTTGTCCGCTTCTCCTCGCAGTGATCGTCGATAATCGTCGCGGAGAGAAACCGGGTGGTCTAGAATACGGAACGTGTATCGATGGCGATCAACAGAATGATCGAGTACTCGTGAGAATCGAATGACATCGCGTGATCCTGCTTGTCGAGGAAGGAAGAACGGATAAGAAACTCGAATCGTTTGTTTCTGGCCTGTCTGTACAATTTCTGTTATAACAAAGCCGTTTTTATTGAACTACGAGGAAACAACGATGGTTCCATGATTTTTCATGTGAAAAATGTCGAAGAATTCTTTCACACACGCTCGAGTTATTTTCGATGTCTTCTTCAGCTATTGTTAGAGGTATACAAGTGTTCGAGGCTGTGCGAGCGTGAAGTTTCTTAATTCGTTCTACGTCCGAAAGCCACGAGCAGAGTGCAGTGCACCGACATGATAATTGGTGGTTGTGATAGTGACCAGGTGGAATGAATTGCCATGTCGAGTCGCAAATAAACAGGAAACGTGTCTTCGACGAATAAATGGTGAACAATCATCGCATTCATTTGTAATATCGAAGAGCATTCGGATAGTCTAAATTTGTATTTCAATAATCTGGAAGATATCTGTGCTCAGTATTTCGTGTCTGAAAACAAGGCCGAATATAACTCGTCGAATCCGACAGGATCATAAATAATAACGTAACACCGACGCGATGGAACGAGTGGTCGTTTGACAATCACGAGGCAAATATGTCAAGCTAGCATTTGTCATTGGCTCTCTGGCCAATCTTATCCTGATTACGGGGTAGCCAAGAATCCGTGGGACCCGGGAAATCGTGGGGTCACTTGGGTGTCTGTCGAACGAGGCGCATCACCGAAGAAAAAAGAATACGAGACACTTTTCTACGACGAGGAAATCACCGAATTGGCTGTGTACCAGGGGACGAAACGAAGAAGAGCTCCCGCGGAATCCTCGAAGGCATCCCGCACGTAAAAATAAACTGTGCCTTCTCGAAGCGACGCGAGCCGGTCGCGGGTTTCGACGAAAAACTTTTTAACGAGCACCCGATGAAAACTACGCGGAATCGTACGAAAGAGAGATTACGATAAAAATAAGCGGAAACTAGCGGGGTCAAGAGACGTGCTCGTACGAGACACCTCGAGGAGTTCTGAATAAAAAGTGATCATCCTCGAACAAAAAAATTTCGTACAAGAAATCACTGCTTGTAGATGGAAAGATGAGATGCGTTGATGAAGTTTAAGATCGAGCTGTACCACGGTAACGAGAGATTTCGTCGGTCCACACGTGGACAAATTATGGCGAGGGAAGAACAATCCGCACTGATTCACTCCTCGACAGTGGACAGATTGACTGACGGCAAGGTGAGCGGCAAAAGGAAGTCGCGGTTGAGCGATAGAAGACAAGAATTCATCGTCTTCGCAGTTGGGATGCCAAGGTTTTAGCGATCAGCCAATAACGAGAAAAGTTGATCGTCATCCAGCTACCGACGACATTGAACTCTACTGAGAAGTATTCTTGAACCTCGCACTGAAGAAACGATTGAATATTTGTAGAGAGAACGGGAATAGATCGAATCGATGATCCTGTGGAATAATTAAAGCTTCCAGGAAGGAAAAATGTCCTTTTGCAGGATAACAGGAAGAAGCAGGGGTCTCCCCAAGCCGAATTACTTTCCTCTGTTGCCACCAATTAGCCCGGCTGACGCGAAACGATTCTGTCGCATCACCGGAAAGTCTTATGGTCTGCCTACTCATCATTACATTCCAGTTCTTTTGGGTGTTCACACTCACGACAAGTCAAAATGCAAGATCACGAATGCTTCCGGTCTAGGACCGCATCATTACACTGCTGGCTTCGTTCTGGGAGAGAAAAAGAAACACGTGATCCTCAAGGATTACCGTTACGTATTCCCTGTCCTGGAGGGCCAGGGTGAGCAACAGCAAGCCTTAAGGGACTTGATGCACGCGAAGCAACCACCCGTGGAAGAACAGGATGCAAAGTTCGTGTACACCGTGGAGGAACGACGGTGTAGCCTCGTGTTCCCGTCCAGACTGGAGGCTGCGGTCAGGGACGGGGATGTTAAGGACGTGATGCTGTCCAGAGACTGCGACACGGTACTGTTCAGACTGAAACAGGGCAAAAATGTGTCTGTAGATTTCAAGAACCTGGAGGATTTCGAGAATCTTTATGATGGACTGGGACCACGCGAAGAGGTGCTGAAAGAGAGGGAGAGACATGAAGCTGAAGCTAGGAGAAGGAAGAGGAAACGGCAGGCTGGACTGAATTACGCGAAGAAGATCTTCGAGGAGAAAGAGAGAGCTGCCGAAGAGGAAGAATTGAGGGAAACGAAACAACTGAGGCTGAGGAGTGTCAAGGAAGAAGTAAAAGAGGAGAAGATTGAGACTTGGAAACACGTTGATCTGGAACAGGCTAGGATCAGAGCTTGCGACTTGATCTCTGTGAATAGTCCTTTGAAGGATGCAGCAAAGGCTCTGCCTGAAACCTTGGATTGGAATTCCTTTCAGGATACCGTCAAATCACCCTTGCAGCCGGTGGTGGATAAATTACCCACCCCCGTGAAGGTGGAGCCTCAGATAATAAAGCAAGGCGCCGCGTCCTCGTGCACCAGCCCTATCTCTGAAAGCACAGGTGGATTCGAGGCGATATCCATCGTCAAGCCGTTGACACCACTAAAAGTGGACCCGGACCCGGTTCTCCAGTCGGCTATACAGAATATTCCAGCGAACGAACTGAAGGAGGTGTCGAACGTGAACGTGAAGCTTCTGCAGGCTGGCGAGGTGGCGCTGGAACAGTTGCCCCGAGTGGAGGAGATCCCGGAGCTGGTGCAGAACCTCGGCAAGGGTAAGGAGACAACGATCCACAAGATTAAGGGTCTGAAATTAGACATTAAATCCGCGCAGAGATTTATTACCGGCCAGACTGTGCAGACACCGACCGGGCCTATTTTTGTACCTGGCCAGACTCTGCAGACACCTCAGGGTCCTGCGTTCGTTCCTGGCTTAACCGTGAACACCCCTGACGGTCCTGTTCTCGTTCCTGGACAGATTTTGACCCCTAAAGAACAAAGCAACGAAGATACACCTGTATTCGTAGCCGGGCAAACCTTGCTAACGGAAGAAGGTCATAGATTCCTTCAGGGTCAGACCTTCCACACCAACGAGGGAGCCAGATTCGTCCAGGGTCAGACTGTGCTCACCGAGGAAGGTCCAAAGTTTGTCGCTGGCCAAGTGAAGGAGGATGGAACTTTCGTTCCTGGTCAGACAATCATCACTCCTGATGGACCTAGGTTCATGCCTGGTCAGACCATCACCGATCATCGAGGGGAACAGGTGTTCGTTCCAGGGCAAAGTGTCCAGGTCGGTGAGTCCTGGGAATTTGTCCCTGGACAATGTCTCGAAACTCCAACCGGAGAATCCATGTTCGTTCCTGGACAAACTGTACCCACCAGTCGTGGACCACAGTTTGTACCTGGTCAGTACGTCACTACCAACTCTGGAGAGAATCATTTCGTGCCTGGTATCGGGAAGGACACCGGGGATCGGGTGGAGTTCGTGCCAGGTATGACACTGGCCACTCCCAAGGGTCAGAAGTTCGTGGAGGGTCAAGTGGTGAAGACATCAGAGGGCGAAAGATTCATGCCTGGACGAACTATGATCACGGAGGAGGGCTTCGAATTCGCTGCGGCGAGCAAGTTCGACGAAGTGGTGTTCCACGATGCTGGTCCAGTAGGTATACCGGTCGATCCGAAAACAGCCAACGTTTCCATCCAGCAGAGCGAGATCTTTGGTCACATGGTTCAAACTGAGAGAGGCGTAGAATTTTATCCAGAGAACGTGAAGAAGCTACCCGAAGGAAAGAGAATCGTTCCAGGTCAATTGGTGCGCGGTGGAAAGGATGGTCCTCGATTCGTGCCCGGTGTCATGGCCGAAGATGGTTTCCTCCCTGGTCAGATAGTGATGACAGAGAAAGGTGAACAGTTTGTACCTGGCCAGGTGATCGACACCAGTAGTGGGCCTAAATTTGTTCCTGGCCAAATGGTGGAGACTCGAACGGGTGCCAAGTTCGTCCCTGGTCAAACAGTGGAGACCGCCGATGGTCCACGCTTCGTTCCTGGTCAAATCGTCGAGACTAAGGTTGGGCCGACTTTTATTCCTGGTCAGGTGATATCCACAGAGGACGAGGGGTCCAGATTCGTGCCTGGTCAGGTAGTGGACACACCGGATGGTCCAAGGTTCGTCCCAGGACGCGTTGTGGAGTCTGGAGAGCTGGGTGTGACCTTCGTACCAGGTCAGATCGTTCAAACGGAAGAAGGTCCGCGTTTCGTTGCTCCAGACTTAACGGACACACCTGAAGGAGAGGTGGAGTTCTCTGTTCAAGGATTCGAGGTCACGCCTGAGGAGTTGCGACTGCTGAGGCCCCAGCATCTGCACTACAACCCCCATATTCAGCATCAGGGTGAGGCGAGCATAGACGCTAGGATGCTACGACAGTTGTCGGAGGCTGGATTATCAGTAGGAAGAAAGGTCGCCACGGATTTACCGGCCGTCGACGTTGACGTGGACCCGAAAGCGGCAGCTCTGGAACAGGCACTCGAAATGGCGGAGAAACTTGGACTACACGGTGGGACCGCGGTGAAAATGGCGCAGATAGTATCCACCGTTGCTCAGTTAGCTAAGAACATAGCCGTTCAACAAGAGCAACAACTCGAGGAACATTATCTGGAAGCTAAATTCATGAACGGCAGAAAGTCTCCTGTTACCATGAACGATGAGAAAAACGGTGATGAACGAGAGGACTCAGACTACCAGAACGATTATTGGTTGAAGAGTGCGATAAAAACAGCAATGTCCAGTGCAGTCCTGGCAATCACAGGTCAGTCCATAGATAACGGTAACGAGTCGAAGCAAGACTTAGTTTATTCTTCCATCAGCGAAGCTTTCAACGTCCTCCTCCGTCAGAAGGACACCAGCATAGAAGAATCCGTGGAGGAGATCCTGCAGATACTTCTGGTGCCTCAAAATCGAAGCAACTTGTGTCAGTCTACTCTACTCGAGCTCCTGGACAGCAAGAACAACAAGGTAGACATTCTGAAATCCACCATCAACGGTCATTCCTTGAAAGAAGAAGTGGTGCTCGATAGATTATCTATGGTCCTCGAAGAGGAGCATGGTATAGACTTAGTGGGGCCAGCATTTAGAACCGTCTCCAGGAACGATCCGAACCTGGTCTCTCGAGTGCTTCAAAAAGTATCGGAGGATGTTTCAGCGATCGCCACCGAGAGGGACGCAACTGAAACTGTTCACAGAGCTATCGTTCATGCGGTCAGAGAGTCAAGCGAGATTCGTGTACAGGAGTTACTGAACGATCAAGGAGAGAATATTAGAGAAATGCTTTTGCAAGCAGTAGGTCTAGCCAGAGCCCTGGGCATGTCCACCACCGCGAGTAGCCTGTTGACGGTGATCAGTGACGAGAAATCTACCCGTGCTTTGGCCAGCGACAGAGTAACCTTGGACGTCCTGAAGAGGCTAACCGTGATGAGACAGCTGGCAGAAGAGAGGCCACCTTTTATGAATGTGCTTACGCAACTGTGCAGTGACCCAGAATTGGCTAGAACTGATCCTAGACTCAGGACACTCGTCAGAGAAAGCGCTGCCTTGATGATCGTACCCGAAGAAGGACCACTGCAATCATCCGCTGACATACCAAGCGCTCTCCTTCACGCTGATAATAGTTTAGCTATGGAAGAGTTCCTTCTGAGAAGAAGTCACAAACCCTCGAGCATCTTTATGATATTGAAGCAAGGTATACAGGCTGTGGTTCCCAGGGAAGCTTCCAGATCAGTTCTCACCGGCGAGGTGGCTTACACAGTCCTCGACGAAGATGGCATTCATCATTTTGAACCCCTTCACGTGTTCACCGCGCTCCGACTCAATCGTCCAACTGCTCATCGTTTCTCCATGTACTGTTGTCCGGTTGCTAAAGAGGAGGACGTGGATGTGGAGGTGTTGTCCACGTTCACAGGGACCACCTCTATCGCTAGCAGTCTAGACGGCTCGGGTACCGGGGTGTATCAGAAGCAGGAGAGCAACGGTGTTGTATTGTCCAAGTCGGATCGATCGTTTGGATGTTCTGGTAGCAGGGAGAACACGCCGAGTCTCAGGAGATTAAGCAGTTTCCAGCAAGACAATAGCTGTGAGCGGGTAACGTAAAATGAGAGAGGGACTCAGTAGTAATTATCTATCAGTAATTAAGCGATAACATAACAATCTTTTTTATTGATCTCAAAGGTTGTATTAAGGAATACTTGATGGACACTGGCTTGGTGTATTTTTATTCAAAATTAATTGATCCCTAAATTCATAATTTTGATAATTCGCTATGAAAAAGAAATTTCATTAAAAATGGTAGCGCGGCTGTTTAACAAGGTGGTACATTTGTTACAGAAATCATTGGACAACTATATCGTGGTGAAGGAGTATAAAAGCGATGGTTTCTTCGTGAACGTCGGCGACATCGTCGAGGCCCTGGAATACGCCGATCCAGCAAAGTAAGCAGCAAATCAAGCGGCTTCTTTAGACGATTGGAAAAGCAAATTTCAACATTGTTCAGCGTGTTGGATCGTTGACTTGGCGCGTCTAAGCGTTCGCTCGTGTTTAAAATCTATTTCCGTGTGCGCAACGTGTGCCCGACCAAAAATAATCATCGCCTCACGCCGTATATAGTCTAACGCGTGCTGCACGAATGAAGGATGCCGATGCTGTACGTGATCTGTCACACTCGGTACAGTCTTTTACCGCACCACCACCGTCACGCGTCTCGATTCACGCTTTCATTAACGTAACACACCGCGTTACAAGACCGTAACGAATGGAGCTGATGGCATTAACCGTAACGGTGTAACGTTCACGAGATGCATGTGTTCAAGTGGAGAGCATCAATTAACTCTGTGACACTCTTAATGATTTCGGTTTACATTTTGTAAGGTAATATGTGACAGCACGAGTTATGCTATAAGTTAAATAACAACTTAATGTACACTTTAGGCGACTACATAAATATTTCACCAATATTCTTAACACAAATTAATTTGTAACTTAGAGTGAAGGTATATTACTTCATACTTTTTGAAAGATCAGTTATTTGATATTAAGAATATTGATGAAACGTTTGTATAGTAATGTTTGTCAAATTTTAAGCTTCAAATTCATACGTCACAAGTGTTATTTTATATCATCGATTCTAATAGAAGACGTTGAAAGAACTTTTCTGACAGCAGAAAATATCGAGACAGTAGATCGACGGTGCTTCTTAAAAATGTTTGAAGAGACGCTAGATTGTGCGATTAGAGACAGGACGACGATGCGACGGGAAAGGCGCGGGTCAGTCTGCTTGTCGATACGTGAACGATCGTTCCTAGGATGCATTCCCGTTGATTATTTTCGCAGCGATATTTTTACGCGAGCGACGTATCGCCGGTGTTCCTCGCGGTGCGTTTATAAAACACGTCGACGGCACTCGCGAGTGCCCGTGGCAAATGGAAAATTTCGCAAGGTCCACGAACCTCGATTGGAAACTCTCCGTGTCTATCTTTCGCGAGCGTTCGTGGAAATTAACACTGTCTTCGCGCAACCTCGGGACAAAATAATCACACGTCGTTAGAGATTGCATCGGGGATTCATCGTAAACCACGTTTGAAGAAACGTGTTGTACGCTACTTCGATCGCCTTGACTTGTTGCGCGCTATAAATAACGGGGGCAAAATCGAATAACAAAGAAAGCTGCATACGCCCGGCGATCTAAAACAGGCTGAATACGCTGCAGCACGAACCTCCGTTCCATTTAACCGAACCACCTCGCTAACTGGCTTCGATTAGTGGAGAATGATGTTTAGTCTGCATGAGGCTAAAAAGGCATCGCTGACACGGGAAAGCTTTCGGGGGAGGGTGACTACGCGATCGCCTCTATTTTGGTCGTTTGACCGTGTTGTAGGAAAATCAAGCTGGATCCTGAATTGGAGATCGGCGAGATCGGCGAAACGCTGGACAACTCGGCCGCCTGGCACAAATTGTCCGTTCGACCGCGTCGAAAGTACGCGGATTCCCGTGCACGAAGTCTCCCAAGATCGAGCTCAGAAGGCAATCTCCAGAGGTAAAGTATATCGAGCGACGATCATCGTTGATAATGAAATTCAACGTCAGAATGTCTTGAGCTCGAATCTTTTATCCTTGATCGTCAAAGTTTATGGGATATGAATTTTTCATGTGTCTACCTTAGATCTTCTAGATAGGTTTGAGAATAATCATGCTGAAGAATGATTAAAATGATGTTTGGATAAAGAATTTTATCGTATCTCAAAGAAAATAAGGATCCAATTGTTGAAAAGATTCTATAAAGAAGAACCAGAAGCCATCCAACAGCACTTCGACTGATTCACTCTGAAGACTTCTCCAATGGGACATTGATCCTCAAGACTATTCTAACGACTGTAATATAGTTTCAGCAGCTGCGGAGAATGATAAATCGCGTTCCCTAGAGCGTCACTGATTAGATCCTGATCCGAGGGCAATCGTTTTCTTCTTCGTTAACGTCCACCGAGTGAAAATCAAGATCAATCAGAAGGAAATTGGAAGATTATCCAGCGATCATCAAGAAGCTAAACGACGCGATCGAACCGTGAAAACGGAATTTTCCATCGAAGTATTCGAAGCGAGATCGAAATTCACGTGGACAACTAAATTCGCCGCACGAAATATAGCAACGACAGGTGCTACGTAGCCTGGAAACGTGTCGTTAACGACCAAGCCAACGAACTCATCGCAGGATTACGTGGAAACGGTCGTTCGAGCGGTTACGATGTCGTCCGACTAGGATTTCGTTTGATTTTCAACGCGAGACCCATTCGAGCGTTTATTGCGCTTGCACGCTTTTCAACGACGCTCCTTGTTTCTATGAAAATACGTACTTTATCGTCTACGTAAGTTCTTCCTGGCGGTTCTAAGTCCGGGAGACAAAGGTTAATGCCTGTTTTAAGTTGATCGATTCCGAGCGAAACCGACCATGATTATTTGCGATGACGTTAATGAAGATCGAGCGTTTAGAAGTGTCTCTGTAGCAATAATGTTTTTAGTTCGCGCGATTGGCTGTCGGCCAGTATGGAAGTCGATAATAATATAAATTATGATCAGCAGGATATTGGTAGGCTTTGCGATCGTTAGCTCGATGAATTGTAATCAGATTTAGAGTAACTATAAATGATGTAAGATAGTAACACGCATATTTGTTCACATTAGACTAAACTGATTTGTAGTTTTATAATAGAGAGAGAGAGAGAGATTATAGTCTCAGATAGGATAATTGTAACTGCTCCAGTTTTTTTTTGGATACCAAGCAGAAGTGAAGATTCAAAAATATGTGAACAGACGTGTGAACTATCTTCTTAGACTCGAACAATTAATCATCTTTTTGACGTTGAGCGTCTAAATAAGTATCTGTTGCATAACATAACGAATGGTGTTTTTCTGCTGGCTGGCCGGGAACGCTCGATTCCTAGGAAGGCGAAATATCAGCCAGTTCTGAAAATAATTCCTCCCGAAGGTGAGGTTCAAGCCGAAACTTTAATTCGTAGCTTTGGCAACGGGCGCGTTCAATGAAATTAGAATTATTTATTATCCACAGGGAAACACGAAGAGCGAGAATCTTGAAACAAATAGATTGTTTTGTATTCGAGAAAATTGCCAGAACCGCAGAGATAACGTGTTCGTGAAGTTAAAATGTAAATTATAATTTCTGCTAATGACATTTATGAACTTCTGTTAACTATGACTTTGAAAGTTGATGAAGATAGAACTAATTGGAGGAAAGTTACTGGAGATGCAAATACACTCGGTTATATTATAAAGAATAGATTAATATAGAAACGCGTGGGCGGTAGAAAGTTATATTTAAGCGGTAGTGACTAAGGCAACAGGCCTCCGTGTTCACTTGTTGATAGTTCATTCAGCAGAACGCAAATTTTGTTGGCGGGCTCATTAGGCCTTGAATTTGTCAGTACCATTTAAAGCATACTAATTATATTGGCGGTATTAAAAATACGTTTAGTCTAATTATATGTAGAACGTAGAATTCGCTTGATAACTGATCAGTCACAAGAATATGAACAAGGTATCAAAGATGAAAGAGATATTGAAGTAATACGATCAACGACAGATTTAGAGCATAGAGAACGCTCATTAATCAAAGGACGCTTTGAAAAATGATACGAGCTATTTGTGAAGTAATAATTCAATTTTCGAGCCTAGCAAGTACCTGAATAATATCCAAATTGTTGGAGGTCTACTTAATCATTCAGATTAATTTATTCTAGATTTCATTTAAGGTATCAAGGTTTTTTGATACCACCTTTAAAATAATGAAGACCTTTACTTCTATTATAAATTTTAATTTAGACCCTTATAATATGAATATATTCTAATTGGACATTTTATTTTCACAGAGTGTACGTTCGTACAGCTGACTCAAGGGAAGGATGGCTGCCCATGTCCATCTTGATGCAAACTGCCCTAAGCGAGGAGTCTGCAATTGGACATCGACCGGAAGACTCGCGATATCGAAGAGAGTAAGTTATCTTTATAAAATTGTATTAAATATTCCTTTGATTGATCATTGATTCTTTCAGGGCGGTAGTGAAAGAATTAGTCGAGACCGAGGAAGAATTTGGCAGGGATCTTCAGCTGGTCGTTGAACGTTACTTGAAACCACTCGATAACCCGGATGTTCCAAGGGTCGTCCGTGATAACAAAGACATCATCTTCACGAACCTCAAGCAGATTGCTGATTTTCACAATACGTACGTATGCTCAACGATTCACGAAGAGAAAGAACTCACTGCGACACACTCCAAGAGCATACAAACCACCTTTTATACCAAGACACCATATATATATTTCCACAATTTTTCTTTTCTTTATTTCAATTGACAAGAATCGAAACAGAATGAAAAAGAAACACTTGGACACACGACACACACATCACAAGTGTTCATTTCTCTTTAGCGAAACGATGTGTGAGCAACGTAAGTGTAGGAATATTTTGTGTGATCGTGTGTATCGTAACTAATTAAAATCTTGCACCAAAAGTAGTGCTTTTACAGTAGTTTGTTGCACCCCTCTTTTAATTGTTACACGAGCACGCTTCTGTTCGACACTGCCACTGTGAATTCATTCTTCTAATAAAATTAAATGTAAAATATTAGGAAACTATTAGAAATTATAGATGGAAGAATGACTTCGATGGCTAATCACAGCGTCACTCATTTAGAAGTGTAATTTACAGCCCCTGTTGCCCCAGTTGAAAGATCAAATATATGTTTCGATTCATTCGTAGCCCATCCAAGTGTTAATAATAATTTCATGAATGCTCTCTCGTTGTATAACTTATCTTGATTTAATCAGCACAAGAAGAATCATAATGGTGTAACAAGTCATAATGGTGGTAACTATTCGCAAACCCTAAATGTCGCATTGAAGAGCGGATGCAGTCTTCAGCACGTAGGCATGGTGTGTTCTTAACGTGAAAATTAATCAGAACCTTACTTAGATCGTTCGGCAGGGTGTTGATCGAGGGTGTCAAGTACTATGCGGATCAGCCACGTATGCTGGGAAAAACTTTCCTTAGATTGGTAAGTTCGTCGAACTTTCCTCTTTCTGTTGAATCGCACGATACTGATTAATTGAATCAATTATATTTATTGTTACAGGAAAGAGACTTTGATAAACACGTGGCCTACTGCAGGGACGAACCAGCTGCTCAAGAGTTCATCCAGATGAACGACGTGGTACGAGAATATTTTGAGGTCAGTTGTTTTTTTAAATATACTTTTTACTAACCAAAATATAAAAACAACCCTTTTAATAGGGAAAATGACCAGAGTGACTGTAATACATATCTAAACTATAATATATTACTATGATGAGATCTAGACTTCCACATTCATCAAGAAGGATCATGGATGTAAGGATACTGGATGAGATAGCTGACTATGAATGCAAAGGATCTCCATTTTTCAATGCCCATCATTATAACTTATGGATTATGTTAGTAATTATATACACAGTACACTTTAAGGCTTTCTGGTGTAAGCTTCACCAAAACAATTTAAACAAGCTTAGCTCGATTCAGCAGGATGGTAAGAAAGATTTCTGTCCATGTCTTCATAGCTTACCGTCTCGACGCTAGCGTCTATAATAATGTAGCAGCTTTGCTCCAAATATACATCCGCCTATGATGCTCTTGCAGACATATTCTATATATAGTATTTTAATGACTTTTTAAGAATGTTCATCATACATGTATTGTATATTATTTATATAATTCTATTTTTACTTCTTTTTGCATCAAATTCTGCTTATCTTCTTCTTCATTTTCCTTATAACGTTTTTGCATAGGAATTCTGTAACAATTTCAATCCTGGCAAAGGTTCCAGGATTCTCCATGACAGAAGCTCCTTCGTCTACGTGAATCAAAGGAAATTTCGCAATTACATAACAAGCGGGGGTAAGCGGGCTTCTATCCAGCCCTCGAAATAGCTTGGTTTATTCTTAACGGACGGAACATCTTTCGTTCCTCTTGCTTATGCACGATAGTCTCGCGGTAGGACGCGTGCCACGAAAAGAAAAGGAAGAAAGCCGGCCACGTTATCGGCTGACGACGTCACTGTTGCTGTCATTACACGATGACAGAACTTTGGCGTAATCTCTGCTCGAGGAAAAAACGAAGCTCACGCTGCGAGCGAGCTACAGCTGTACAGTGTCGGTTCCTCGAGGTCTTCGCAAGCTTTATTTCACCCTTCGTCCCATTTCGTAACACGGTTACATTTCCATTATACTTTTCTGCATTGCAATTGTACCCTTTAACTTTTATTTGATATTGTAAACTTTTTAATGTTAGGAACACGATTAACTCTTGGCAGACAGATGCGGAAAAGGAGCAGAAAAAATATTTACCCTTTGGAACGAAGGTCACGGTGATTTTTCTTTTTAATTTTCCTCTAAACTTTTTCTTTGAATCGTCAGATTTTATTTAAGATTTCTTTTTAAGGTCACTTGGACTGTACGACGAATTTATTAGTATCTGCAAGGAACTCTAGGAATTCAAGCGACAGACGCGAAGACCGAATTTATTATAGCAATAAATACATTTCGGCACCGTTTACGACACGGCTGAACTGTACAAATCGATCACGTTAATTTTACGCACGACGAAATTCACAATGAAATGATATTTCTATAAATTCTTGTGAAGTAAGGAGTCAAAGGATTAAACGAAATGCTTTAAAGTCTTCGTTTCAATGAATATGAATTAAAACGAGAATTGTAAAATGGAGGGAAGTTTACTCTGAGAGAAGTCATTCAAGTATTAGAACGTGGGCGACCAGGATATATTGTACTAGCATGTTTCATTAGTTCAAATATGTTGTTCGCTTTTTTCTCATGATTCGTTCCGTTATTTCTGGAACTTGACTCAAAATCTTCACGATTCTCCTGCATACGACGTACTCGCTTCGTATTCATTTAATGACCCGAAATTAAAATTAGATTTTCGCGATACCACTTTGTCGAACGTGTCCGGTTTCAAAGCCAAGCGCATTAGGTGCATTAGAATTTCTCGTAACCCGCTCGTATTTATGACATTCAACCTGTCCACGTGTGCTTCGTTCATAATTTTGTTAAAATTGTTTTTATCTATTCCATCTACCGAAATATCAAACGTGTTTAGAATAATTCATAATAGTATTCTCTTCTACTGAAACGAAGACTTCGGTGAAAATATCACTAGATACTTTGAAAATAATAATTAAGACAATTGAGCTGTGAAAGGGTTGAACGTCTAACACCATACAATTGTTCCTCCGTTATTTTTCGTTCTCCTCGTTTCTGGAAGAAGATCAGGACAGCGTGTACCGTGGCAAAAGATGCCCGCGATCCGGAGGCTGTTCGTGTGTTGTTTTTGAACGTGGTCAGTCCACGAGTTCGTCCGGCGTCTAAGTATAGCCGTGGCCGTATTGGTCTCTCGGCGGGTGTTTTTCGGTAACCACTGACTGTGGATCCCCCTCGAGGAAGAGAATCGACGGAAGAGCAGAGACCTGGTCCAGTCTGCGACCAGCCACAGCATCCTCTTCGAACCAACGACTCGAAACACGAACAGCGGTGTTTACCTCCCTTGACCTCCGTTAAGGTGCGTCGGCCCTTCCAGCTGATTTAATCTTCTTCTTATCTACTTCCCTCATCAACGTTGATCTAGTCTCATTTCCCTTGAATATTTTTTGTAATTGTGCTTAGTTTCTATTGCAAAAGGCATTTGCCATTTTTTATTTTAATTTTTGTTTTTAATTTTCTCCATTTTTACAGTGGAGCTAGGACAGTGTGTGACGGTGGTGATAGTTGACTTGGATTTTTCGGTGAAAGGAAATTATTTTAATATAAGGAAAGGATTTTATCTTTCTATATCGTGTTGGTGACTATATTTTTGTTTTTTTGATAATGCTATACTGTGTGGTAATAGATTGACTTAGCTCTATCGATAGAAGCGAGTGGAAAATCCAGCGGTGTCCAAAAATAAGCAACTCTTCATCCTGGTATCGAATTACGGTAGCGGACAATTCACCGTTTCCATCGACATTCATAAATTTCCAATTGCTAATTTTATAGAAATTCTGCTTAAATTTACTTTGTAGTTTTGTATTAGGAATCAGATTGATACTCACCTCCGTTATCTGAGGAAAGGATTTCATAACTTGTTTTAATATTTCTCAGCGGACCATTGTTAGTCTATTGAACAACTAATTAATAGGGTAAACGTTCCAGAATTGTTGGACATTGTACAAAACGTATGTTTGAAATATTTTTATTGTTTCAGGAGCTGAGCCAGACTCTCCGTGACGACAAAAGTCTATCGGAACACTTGAAGCTTCCGATACAACGCATAAACGACTACCAGCTCCTGCTCAAGGTAACGACGGCCCAGAAAATAACGCTGAAAAATTGAATCGAGGATACTGTTCAAGGGTGTTTTGACAGAAATACAGCACGCCGAGTATATCTTTTGAAAGCATTCCAGCGGTTGTGCATAAACCATCCGTATAACTAACTGTTGTGCAAAGTGGTCGTTGAAATTTGATAGGACTCCTCGCGTTATGCTTTATGCGTTGCATCAGTGTCATAATCCACAATGCATGTACTTTTGTGTTGCATTAATTATAAGTATTAACTTTAACACGTTCCATGATAGTGTAGGTCAAGACACTTATTTTTAATTAAGCAAAATGATCAGTTTGTAATTTGTTCCTAATGCGTTAGAGTCAAAGTAGGCCAAATGGCGATGACGTAAAATACCGTCAGAGTCACGAATACCAGCCGTCAAAATAGCGACACGTTGTTAAATACTGAAGATTTTTGATGGAACAGCAGCTGCTGAAAACTTTGCGTCACAATTCTGTTATCATCTTCTATTTTCTTCGCTTTGTGACCAATTATTATTGAATTTTTGTTAACATCTTTCTTTTTATTATATCAATGTTTACAAAATTGTTTCTATTAACGTCGAAGATAATGATCAATAGTGGCGAGACAAGGCGACCTGTAAAATCCGCACGTGACCTATATCCGCGCCTAAATTTCATTCTGTCAGACAAAAATAGCCCGGCGCTAAAATACTTCCCGGTTCGCCTTGAAAACGCATTCCGAAGAATTAATCGTTTTCTAAACTGATCTCATTTTTAACGACCTTCTGACACTGTTAACGCATACTGTTTTATAGGTAGAGGAAAAAAGAATGAAATGTTTAAACACGTTAATAGTATAAAATGTTATAGAAAATTGATTCGTTATTCGTTATCAATAGCGACTGTGCTGTTCGTTGAACACATAATCCTACTTTATTGCATTTACATAGGTGTGACTTAGGCCATGGATTACTCTGGTCAAATTCTGGGCCACTTGCCCAAAGATGAAAGTGCACGAGCCAAACGAAACCTCGTGGAATGATTTCTCAGATTATCGTCGAACTTTCAGAAATACATAGTAGAAGTCAATATGTTGATTTCCGTAGGGATCACCGATAATAAAAACTTAAAATTGATTAAAAAAAACTTTCGAATATCATTCAAATTTAACTAGTGTGTAATTTAGAAGTTTTTTTGGATCAAATTCCGAATGTCCCTCGGTTGCCGATCAAGATGAAATTTTGAGGGACAGGGGTGAAGGGGGAGGGAATCCCAAATATAAAATGGTATCTTCGGCTTCCTATTAGTTTTCGAGATATTAATTAAAAACTTTCGGTACAAGACATAGAAATTTTTTAATCCAGAATTCAATCCGAACAGCACAGTTTTGTTTCCATGAGAGAATATACAATGTAGATATAGATCAAGGGAAAGCAGAAAAGTTCGTCTTGATGTAGTTGCAATATCGCGACAGAACGTTTCGTCGTGGTGTGCGAACGAGTGGGCGCCGTACGGATTTAGCGAGCTAAAAACGGGTCGTCTTCGCGACGTGTTATCCTTTCCTCGTCTCTTCTGTCATAGAATCACGCTTAAAATCGATGAGAACTAAAGAATGAAAAATTATGCATGTATATTCATAATTCCAGATATTAGAATTCTTTTTCATCTAACCGTTTGGAAATTGAATTTCTTTACTGATTTATCGTGTATTATTAATATTTGTACGCGATTTATAGGAGCTGGTGAAGTATTCGACCCGACTAGGCGAAAATTGCGACGACCTCCAAAAGGCTTTGGAGTTGATGCTAGGTATCCCTCATAGAGCGACGGATAATAAGTTTATAAGTAATATCGAAGGTTACAAAGGGAATATCCATAAACTTGGAAGATTACTCACGCATGTTAGTATGCTTTAAATACACTTGTGGAATCATATCATTCTGTATTCTCAACATTGTACTCTAATTATAATCATTTAATTACCAGGAGTGGTACACGGTAATCGACAAAGACGGCAAAAACAAGGAAAGGTATCTGTTCCTCTTTAAGGCTCGCATACTCGTCTGCAAGGTCAGACGAATATCAGAAGACAGATCGGTTTTCGTCCTAAAGGATATCATTCGAGTAAGTCATCATTTAATCGATTTTATTTATAAAGAACAGTACATATTAATCACTTGGTTGAATTACCGTTCTTCAGCTACCTGAAGTAGAGGTGAAGGATCATCCAGAGGACATAAGGTCCTACGAGTTGCACAATCCAGCGAGTCCTGCGTATCCGATTACTCTAGTAGCTCACAAGGATCCTGTAAAAGCCTATTGGTTGAAGGAAATCCGACAGTACGCGAGCGATGTGGTAGCACTCGCCGAACACGCTGCAGACGATCTACAATTAACCGAAGTACCAGAAACGAAAGAGGAAGTCAAGGCGAATCCAGGTCCACAGAAGGTTGAAGGAAATCCAGGACCTAAAGCAGAAGGTAATCCAGGACCGAAGAAGGTTCAAGGAAACCCAGGACCAAATCCTGAAGAGAGGTCTGTTGAGAAGAGGAACCCGGGAAATCCAGGAAATCCAGATAATCCTGAAGCTAAGAAGGCTAAAGTCGAAGAAGAAGGCGCAGACATGTCGCGAAGATACTCGTCGAGCCGATACAGCTCTTCTTCAAAAGTTGTCGAAGGTAGAGAAGGGCTGTTAGATTCTTGTTCCAAGGATCCTTGCATTTTTATATTAAATTTGTAAATTATTATCAGAGTATTCTGCGGTATCAAGTAGCCGCAGTGCTTATGTGGAATCCAGCAGCGGGGTGAAGATGGAGTCTAGCTCCAGCTCTTACCAAGCTGGTAGCGCTAGCTCTGTAGAAAGCAGAAATGCAGCAACGATCAGCCAGGGTGGTGTTACCTCTGCTGTGGAGACCAAAACCGTAGGAAAAATCACCCAGGGTGGAATAGGGAAGCCCACCTTTGTCAAGACCCTCCAGGGCAGCAGTGTTGAACGTAAGCAATTTTAATTATAAATTAGTACCATATGTTTATATCGAATATAAAATTCACAAACAAATTCACTATGGACATCATAGAAAAATTGTTATTAATTTCACTCGTATGGTAATACAATGTTTTCAAAGCAATCTACGATTACAAGTAGAAGAAACTGTTAAAGCGGATTACGATAAGACACATTTTTACTGTTCTAGCGATACCAGAAAATAACGTGGAATTGATACAAGCCGTAGGTAAAGTGACACGAAATTACTTTCTGATCATCTGCTGTACCGCGCACTTTTCTATCAGTATTTTATCGTACTGTATCATCGAAACGTTCTTCTTATTTTACACTTTTTATTCTTAGCCGGCTGAATAAAGTGCTTCTACACGTTCCGCTAAACGATTGATCAAGCTTAATCGCTAATCCTAGATGTTGTCTCTATCACGTACACAATTACAATACATCTATGCACATCGTTTCACACTTACACACTCTTCTTTTTTGTAATTCTACTTTAAACATTCTGCTTCGTTGTTCTCTGTATATTTTTCAAGTAGTCATTCTTCATATGATTGATCTCTTTTTTTCTCTTTTTATAGATATTGTATTAGCTGTTTTGTAGGAACACATTTTTGTATCTTTTGTGTTAGCACTCTATACTTGTAGCACGCTTCTCATCGTCGATCGAATAGAAGAAAATACAAATAAACCCCATAAATATTAAATAAATGATACTTCAGTTTTGTGCAAAGATATCAATCCCATGTTACCTCAACTGTTGTGGAGCCCTTTTTATTCTTTTCTACAAGGATCAAATACTCTTGTACATAAAATCTGTACCCCTCTTTATCGTCAGACAGATGATAAAAAATATCCTCTGGACCATTTTATCGTTACTTCCTCATTAACTGTTTGCCATTCTCTTATTTAGCTGGAGAAATGGCTGTTTTCGAGTGTACTTTGCTGCAAACCGATTCAACTACCAGAGTGCAATGGCTGAAGGACAATAAACCCTTAGAAGATAGACTGGCAGACCGAGTATCAGCTTCTGCAACTGGGAAAACCTTCAGACTTCAAATTCAGAATGTACTCGAATCAGATTCGGGTATCTATATTGCTAGGGCTATGAACAGCGATGGACAGTCTACTTGCACGGCCCAACTGATCGTACAGAAACGTGTGTACATTTAATTTACATAATTTAATGTATATTATAATAGATAATTCAAAATAGTAGAAGCTAAGTTTTCGGTGAAATTTGTTTAGTTACTCCTGAAGAGAAGAAAGCAAGAGCGGAAGCCAATGCACCCATCTTCCTGGTGCGATTGAAGGACACTGAACTTCTGGAGAACACTTACCTGCGCTTCATGGTTAAAGTAAAAGGAGATCCAAATCCTGACATGAAATTGTAAGCTGTTAATCAACGAAGATCGATATTTTATTTTATTTTATTTTATTTTATTTTAATAGACGGGACAAATCCCATTAGTGCACATTAATGAATTTTACAAAATTACAAAACAAGATGTTATATTATTTTGAAGAATTCAAGTATCACGTTCAAATTATTTCAATTACAGCTTCAAAGATGGTGTACTGATCGACGCGAATCATCCTCGCGTAAAGATCGTCACCGAACAAGCGGACAAAGGCTTCTACGAGCTGGTGATATCAGATGTCCAGAAACAAGACGCTGGCAAATACTCTTGCACCGCGAAAAACAAATTCGGCGAGGCATCCTGCGAAGCAACGGTAACTGTGTCCGACGACAAGATGCTCTACCTCCCTGAGGGCTTCCTGGAACCCGGCATGGAGCCACAATTCACATGGTTGCGCGATGGTAAACCATTCGATCCTGAAGAACGATTCAAAGTGCTGTTCCAGGATAACGAGGATACTTTAGCTCTCGTGTTCCAACATGTAAAACCTGAAGATGCTGGCCTGTACACTTGTGTCGCTCAAACTAGTACAGGTATTTGCAATAATTTAATAAGAATCAAATTGTAAGCCATTTTAACTAATTTATTTGAAAAAATACAGGAAACATCAGCTGCAGCGCTGAGCTGACTGTCCAAGGAGCAGTGAACCAGTTGATGAAAGATCCGGAAAAGCCAAAGTTAGAATCAGAAACGCGATATTCGGAGGCGAGCATCGGCGGATCGGCAATGTTGGAACTGCAAATCAGGGGATATCCAAAGCCAGACATCAAATGGACCAAGGACGGCCAGGAGATCGTTGCCGGTGGCAGATACAAGTACCTTTGGGAGGATGAGGAATCCATGTCTCTGGTGATCAAGAAAGTCACCGCCAAGGATGCGGGTGTCTACACCGTCAGGGCGAAGAATGAACTTGGCGAAGACACCACGCAAATCGAGCTGATCGTGAAGTCAGCACCAAAGATCATTAAGAAACAGGGAGACCTGACTGGCATCGTAGAAGAAACAACCACGATGACTGTACAAATTGAAGCGACCCCTGCACCTGAGGTGAAATGGTACAAAGACGGCCAAGAGATTAAGGAGGACAATCGTATAAGCATCACCAAAGAAGAGAACGATACTTACAAGCTGACGATAAAGAATTCTCGCTTGGACGATGCTGGATCGTACTCGATAGTAGCGCGTAACGAGGTCAATCAAACGACAGAAATATGGAGATGCAAAGTGATAAGTCCACCGAAGATGACGAAGAAGCTGGGTGAACCACAGATCCTCGAAGAGGGTGATACTCTTACGTTGTTCGTAGAAATCGAGTCTCAGGTACCACCTAATATCACATGGTACAAAGACGGACAGGTAATTAGCCAAGACAGTCGCATCAAGATGATTCAGGAAGGCGACAGGTATATCCTGAAGATTACGGGTACAGTAGGCGAGGATGCTGGCATCTACAAAGCGGAAATTAGCTCTGAACATGGTGTGATTTCGGATGAGACCAAAATCCAGGTAAATACTATGCTAAGAAGCACTTTTAGTAAAATTCTCAAGGTGTGCAGGTGATAATTAACAAATATCAACGGTTAACATTCTAAAATGCCTACTTACTTACTTTTATTTCATCAGGTACGAGGCATCCCGCGATTCAAGACCAAAATGAACGACGTCACCGCGAACGAGGGTACAAAGAACATCGAGTTCATGGTAGAAGTAGACGGTTTCCCGAAACCAAACGTTCACTGGTACATCGGCGACGTAGAGATCACAGAGAAGAGGAAAGAATTCACTCGCACCGAGGAAGGGGACGTCTGCAAGCTAACCATCTCGGAAGCCAAGTCAGAATTGAAGGGAAAATACACCTGTAAACTGAAGAACGAATACGGGGAGACTAAAATTAGCTCAACGTTAACTGTGAACACCAGACCGAAATTGTTGAAGAAACTATCCGATTTAAGAGTCAACGAAGGAGATACCTTGAAGCTGATATTAGAAGTATCCGGTACACCGGATCCCGAGGTGAAATGGTTCAAGGATGGCAAGGAAGTGTCAGCGGATGCACGAATCAAGATCACGAGGGACAGCAAACGAAGAGAAAGCTACGACTTGACAGTCACCCTGGTCAAAGGATCCGACGGTGGTGTTTACGAGGTTCGAGCTGAGAACGAGCTCGGCTACGTCACCAGCAAAAGCAAAGTCATAGTGATGAGTAAGGAATCCATTGATTTTCAATCCATCATCCATGAAATGGAATTCTATCGTTGCGCTGCTCCATCGTTTCCGTTCGCTGTTTTCATTTCTTCGTGAGAATCTCAATTCGTCGTTTTTCGTTCAGAAATAAAAGAATCGATGGAGCAGCTCTCCGAACGCGTAACGTGCCAGTACACGTTCATGATGAGATCGTCGTGTTTTCCATTTTACCAGTAAGTAAGCATCAAAGCGAAGGTACGGTTTCGTGTTTCGATTTTCCGTTCGTCGTTACCAATTGTGATTCCGTACATTTACGTACCATTCGTTGGCAGGATATCCCTGCGAGACCGTCCGACTTGTCTCTTTCTCAACGAGTACAAAGAATACACGAACGAAATTCCATGCATCGCGTCTCACACCCGACATTGACCTGTTTTTATATTCTATTTGTCTATTTTGTACGTGTCTTTTTGTCAGAAGTCTTTAACGTCGTATGTATGTTACGTTTCTAACGTGTTCACTCCCCTGTTATCTCACTTATCACGAGTCTCGATCGTCCGCCGTAACGTTGTCTGAATCGTTCCCTAAATGTGTGCATTCTCTAGCGAAAACGGAAGAAAGCGTGGAGGAAACGAAGGAAGTGAAGGAGAGCGTCGAGAAGGTAGAGGAAGAAGAGAAGGAAGCAGAGAAAGTCGAGGAGAAGGTGATCGAAGAGGAGAAGCAACAGGCCGAGGAATCGGGACCGGAAGGTAATCTAACGATCGGGAGAAATAGAAAGATCGTCTGTAACGATGTAAAAGGAGTGAGCTGTATTATAGAAATCTCTATCCGCTATGTAAACGCTTAAAAGCTGTAAATCTATGTCCAAAGGTGGACGCGATGTCGCAAGATTTTGGTAAGATATTTTTCAAAACGAAACCTGTCGCGTTTTTCACGCTCTCACGGATCTCATTTTTTCAATCTTCAACGTAGACGAAATTTGTGTGTTGGGCGCAGACTTACATAAACGTACATACACGGATACATACATGTACATGCTTGTTGAAGTTATTTTTTATTGTCAAAGTTGAGCGCAATTTTCTTTTTTTTTTGTATTTCGCCGAAATCCTTGCGATACATACGAACTTATAACATTGTAACAAAAACAGCTTAGATTGTCGATGGCAAGATAAAACATTTGTACGAGCCTTGCCATTATTTGATAATGTTAAGTGATCGCTGGTTAAATCGTAGAAGGTAGACCCTAGCCAAAAAGAACATGTCTGATAAATTTAGGTCGAGTGAAACTGGAGGCACAAAAGGTCCAAGTAACGCGGAGCCAAGGTGACACTATCACAATCTCCGTCGCCTCCACGACCATCCACGAAGCAACGCTGACAGGTAAATTTCGCACATGCTGAAACAACACATCTCATGTAACCATCCTCGTGAACGCGGATTTTCTGACTTTGAGGGATTCATCTTATTATCATTCTATTATATTTTATAGTATAAACTGTTCTTCTAGCCTTCTCCCAAAGCTAAAAGGGCCAATTATAAATTATTCCCTCGCCTCATAAATTATCCCTTGCCTCATGAAATCCTCGGTCACGAGAGCAAATAACGCCACAACGAACATAGCTTTCACGAGCCGCACTCGAATGTAAAAGCAGTTTATACGAGTGGCAACCAGCCTATCTCGGATAGCGAATCGCGAGTCGCATCGTCGAGTGGCTTCGTCTATTTAATTAGTCAGTAGTCAAAAAGCTTTTCGTGACCAGCCAGAGCGTTCGCAGGTCCCGACGAGAGGCATACGATCAGCAAGATGACCGCGACAAAGGTCGAGTGCCAGGAGATGAACACGGACAGTCCTGGTGTCGAAGAGATCGCCTCCTACACTTACAGCGTCCAAGAAGAGGAATCCGTTCAAAAACCTCAGAACGGTGTGCTGATCGAAGAATTCTCCGAAGCCAGCGAGGATAACAACAGATCCAGACTACAGGTTCACCGTGGAGTCTCGATCGTTTCCGTTTCCGACGACGAGTCGACTTTCAAGGCAATTTCGAGGGACATCAGTACGGAGGACATGCAGTGCGCTGAATTATCCGAGGATACGAAGCTTCTGAACGGTTCCTACGAAGATTTCAATGGAGACAGTCGTTCGGTGGAAGAGAAGAGTCTAGAGAACGTTAGACTTCAAAGAGGATCGCTGATCACCGAGACGATCGTCGAGGAACGATCTATAGATGAGTCGCCGTCTGAGAAATCAATTGGTAAAAGCTTGCAACAACCGCAGAATGCTGTTTTAGAGGAGAACGGTATGGTTAAGCAGAAAATAGAGAGGAAACCCTCTGTGGATCTTCCTGATCAACCGCAGACACCAACGATCGAAGAATGTAAATCAACGAGACAGAAAGCCGAACGAGCTAATTCTATCGACGAGATTAACGAGAATAATGCCGAGGAACGTCGAAAATCCGTTCCAAATGGATTGTCCAGACAGAGTTCCAAGATAGAGCGACTGGATTCTGTGGAATCGAAGAGAGCGAAATCGTTGTCGAGGGAGAGTTCGTTGAAAGGAACTCTAAGTGGAGAAGAAGAGGTCGACGAAGAGCTGGAGGCTCTTCTAGATCGCGTTAAACGTCAACGCAGTGTACTCGATGATATCCTTGAAAAGGAATCGTCCAGAGATTCAGGTACGACTGGATTGCTCCAACGGAAGTTCGAACGGATCTATTCTTGCAGGATCGATCGTCGTACTTTCTTCAATCGCTTTATGGATCATTCGTTTCAATGGCAGCATGATTTTCCTATTACTCGTATTTTCTTGTAACCGATTTGAAGTTTCGCTTAATTGTACGTGTACGTTATCTGTTGCATGTTAAACGTTTCATTCTGTCAAAAACGTTCGCATTGATTCGAATGACACGGTGGATGTTCTGCTAAGAATTTTGTTAACGCTTTTCCATGCTTACTCCAATCATTCGCTGTTTGCATTAAAATCGTGATCAGTCGAGCCTATTCAAGGGAATCTTCGTCCGTTTCAACGAGGTAAGCGATCCTCGAGAATGATGGACAATATTGTTACTTAAATTCAAGTTACACTTTGCTAATCCATCAATGATAATAAGAGTAACAAAATTGTCCAGCATTTAAGCAAATGACTATTTTATAATTAACGCAACTATGCATTAGGCGCATGGCACAGAAACAACTCATAGATGCAACACGTGACTACTCAAGATTTTAATCCTCATTCATTACTGGAGATAATCTAATTTTCACGCTTTTCGTTCAGCTCCTCCTCACATCATCAAATCGACGCTCACCGATAACTCGATCTACGAAACCCAGTCAGTCGTGTTCGAAATTCACGCGACGAGTCTCCCAAGAGCGGACGGCAAATGGTTCAAGAATGCGAAACCGATTCGAAGCGGTGACCGCGTAAGGATCACCAGTTCCGGAGAGAAATTCACGTTGGAGCTGAAGAAAGCGACCCTCGAGGACGAGGGTGTCTATTCGTGCGTGTTCACGAATAAACTCGGCGAAGCAACCGCGGAAGGATACTTGACCGTTGGTACCGTCGATGATCTTCGAAGGCCAAAGTTCATCGAACCCTTGAACGATGTGGATGTAGCCAAAGGAAACTCTGGAGAATTCAAGGCTATATTTACTGCTGATCCTATTCCAGAAATGACATGGTAAGAGATAGATAATATTAATATTAATAATATTAATATAAATTTAAATTAGTAGTAGATAATATATAACACACAAGTTCAAAAGTAATATTCTCTCTTGCTTCCTTTAACGTGAAATATCAAGGGTACGTATTTGATTTTAACTAATCTCAAAAGAGACTGAAACAAATCAAAATTATTCTTGTAATAGGTACTTCAAGGGTGAAGAAATCCCACCAGATGACAGCCGGCTGAAATTCACCATCCAGAACAAACCAGTGGCAGACAAACTGACAGAAACAACAGTCACGTTGAATATACCTAAATGTTCCACAGAAGACACTGGAGAGTACACGCTGAAGCTGAAGAACAAATATGGCGAGGCTGAAGCTAGCGTTAGTACCATTCAGTATCAATAATAAACATTATTTAACCAGAATATATAAATTCTCATCTCACAATCAGGCTTTCCTGAATCTCTTGTTGCGCCCTGAGGTCCAAGAACTCAAAGATGTCACTCAGTCTGTTGGAGATTCTCTCGAATGGGAGGCCATTGTTAAAGGAAATCCAAAACCAGATATCACATGGGCAAAGAACGGCCAGGTTCTGGAGAAAGGGGAGAGATTCGATTTTGTAGAGGATAAAAGGAACAACAGATTTAAACTCATCATCAAAAGCGTCGAGGTTGACGATAAAGGAATCTATCAGCTAACAGCTAAGAATTACTTGGGTGAATCTAGTGCTCAGGGAACTCTGACGCCACACAGTAAGTATCTCGTTGCATCAACAATTTAATATGTAATACAATTTTTAATCGTTCAATCTGACATGCAGCTGAAACACCAACGTTCACCAAGACTCTGGCTAATGTCAACTGCAAGGACCGCGACGATCTGGAGCTGAAGATTCGGGTAACTGGTATTCCAAGACCGACGATCACCTGGTTAAAGGATGGCGAGACGATCAAGGAAGACAGTCGTCACAAGATAACGACCCACGTGGATGGAATAGTTGACAGTACATTCTCCATCACCACCTTCTCTCACAGCGACGTCGGAGAAATCAGGTGTCAAGCAACGAACGTAGCTGGAAGCGCACAATCCAAGTGTAATCTGAAGATGAAATTAATTACACCAACGTTCGATCAAGGATTACCTAAGTCAGCTGAAGTGGACGAAGGAGACTCATTCGAGCTTAAGGCGAAGATTGATGGCAGTCCGATGCCTGAGGTTGCTTGGTTCAAGGACGGAGAGAAGATCGTTCCAGATGATCATATTAAGATTGAAACGCTTCCTAATGGCCTCACTAAACTTACAATCGATCGCGTGAATCCTACCGATTGTGGTGCTTACAAGCTTATAATAAGTAATTCTACTGGCGAACACACTTCTTTGTGCGCTGTTGCTGTTAAACGTGAGTATAACAAGGAACACTGGAATAATATGTATATGGATTTGAAAAAAGAAGTCTAACGAATGAAAATTTCAGCTGCAAGGAGGAGACCGTCTTTCACAAAACCACTTGAGGATACCAAAGCCATCGTTGGACAGCCATTGAAACTGGAAGCCCAGGTGGTCGCTTTTCCGAATCCTCAAGTACAGTGGTTCAAGGATGGAATTCCGTTGCGCCAGGCAAAGGAAATATATTTCATGAACGAACCGAACGGTATGATCGGTCTCAGAATCGACAATGTTCGTCCGGAACACGCGGGCACGTACTCGTTGACCCTCTCGAACTCGCTCGGTGAAACCACTGGTTCAGCGAAGGTCGAGATCGAGGAGAAAGAAAAACGACCAGAATTTGTGGCAACTCTTCAACCACTGTCTGTGGTTGAAGGTTTCCCAGCAAAGATGGAAGTGAAGGTTCTGGGAAAACCTCCACCGCAGCTTCAGTGGTTCAAGAATGGAGAAGAGGTTCGTTTAGAGATAACGAGCCATTTGAAATCCTCGGATAGGCAACTTGAAAACTTCTTTATATTTTCAGATCATACCCGATGGTCAACGTATCAAAGTCGTCAACCTGCCGGACGGAAGTCAAGCATTGATAATCGACAAAGTGACGCCGGAAGACGCGGGCGAGTATCAGGTGATAGCAGGAAACACGGAGGGTACATCTTCTTGCAAAGGTGTTGTCAGTGTCGTCGGCAAGCTTCAATCGGATGTGCCCGAGGAGAAACCTGCCTTTGTCAATCCAATGCGAGACGTGTACGTCGAAGAAGGTCAACCGTTGAATTTATCTGCCTCCTTCATTGGCAATCCGTTACCAGAGGTGAACTGGACCAAAGATGGAGCACCTCTACAGCCTTCTGATCGCTTGACTGTAACCTGTGATGGAAAGAAGACCGAACTAGAGATTAATCCTTGCGAACCTAACGACACTGGTGTCTACGAGTGTCGCATATCGAATCCACTCGGCGATGATTCCACAAAATCCACGGCTAATGTTAGAAAGATCTTCCAGTCGCCTAACTTTACACAAAAGTTCAAGGATCTTCAACAATTGCCCACGTTCGATGCCAAGTTCCTAGCCCGTGTAACTGGTGTTCCCCAACCAGAAATCTCTTGGTACTTTAATGACAAACCAATCTCGCAGGATAATGACAAGTACAAAATTAAACGAGACGGTGATGCTTGTTGCTTGTACGTGAAAGACTGCACTTACGATGATTCTGGTACCTATAAATGCAAAGCGGTGAACAAGAGTGGTGAAGCAGAATGCGTGGCTGATTTGGCTGTAGTTGATAAGATGTAAGCACACTTCCATCCTGTACCTAAATGTTATTGAATTTTAAAGAGTTGTTTCAATACGCTCATCCATCGTTTTCAGAGAAAAGATGCAAAGGGCCGAACCACCATCGTTCTTGAAGAGGATCGGTGACTGCGAGGTGTACAGAGGAATGCCAGCCAAGTTCACAGCGTGCATCACAGGCAATCCAGAGCCCGATTTCGAATGGTACCGTAACGGTGATAGAATATGGCAAACCGATAGAATCAGGACGGAACAGGAAGGTAGTTTGTTGCGTTTGACGATAGCTAACGTCGACGAGCTGGACGCGGGCAAATACACGTTGAGAATAGTAAATCCTCACGGTGAGGATTCTTGCAGCGCAGAATTAATCTACGAATGTAAGTATACCCTATGTCTCGATGGTTTTAATTTAGATCTCCCTGATACAATTTTCATTTATAACTTTAATAGCTCTTGAGCCTCGGGCGAAGAAGTCACTGGGAGACCAATACGCGGACTTCGACAAATACCGGAAATCTGGCGTTCCGTTACCCTTAGCCGACCGTCCGATCATCAGCAGGATGATGGATCGTCACTTAACGCTCTCTTGGAAGCCGTCCATTCCCATCGGTCCTCGTATACCTGTCACATACCAAGTAGAGATGTGCGAGTTACCCGATGGCGATTGGTTCACAGCTCGTACAGGAATCCGTAGCTGTGTCTGTGACATCCGCAACCTTGAACCGTTCAGGGATTACAAGTTCCGTATCCGCGTGGAGAACAAATACGGAATCAGCGAACCATCGCCGTTCGCGCAAACATACCGCGCGAAATTGGAGCCTGATCCACCTAAATTCTTCCCTTACCTGCCTCCTGGCATCGATTTCCGTCCAGAGACCAGCCCCTACTTCCCGAAGGACTTCGACATCGAGAGGCCACCTCACGACAACTATGCTCAGGCGCCAAGGTTCCTTCGTCAAGAATACGACACCCAGTACGGCGTGAAGAATCATAATTGCAATCTATTCTGGTTCGTTTATGGTTACCCGAAGCCGAGGATGAGCTACTATTTCAATGATCAGCTGATAGAGTCTGGTGGCAGATACGATCAGAGCTACACCAGGAATGGTCAAGCCACGTTGTTCATCAACAGGATGCTGGAACGTGACGAGGGAATGTACGAAGCTGTGGCTACCAACGAACATGGCGAAGCTAGGCAAAGAGTTCGTCTACAGATTGCAGAATATCCAACGTTTATTCAGAGACCTGAAGAGACTATCGTGATGATCAGGAGGACTGGACAGTTGATTGCTCGCGTCACTGGTGTACCTTATCCGGAGATCAAATGGTACAAGGATTGGAAGCCTCTTACTTCCACTTCCAGAATAAGGGTTTGTTTTTTTATTATTTATATAGAAAGAAATTTAATTTAAACAGACTGTATAGTGTAATTCGTACTTTCTATTAGATCGAGTTCATAGAACCCGACACTTCAATCATGGTCATCAGCGATACTATCTTGAAAGACGAAGGTCTCTACTCGGTCAGCGCGAGAAACGTAGCCGGATCGATATCCTGTTCCGTTATGATTCACGTGGAAGAGAACGAACACGAGTACAGCTACAGAACGTACAAGAGGAAGGCCGATATCCAACCTCGTCATGATAAACCCTACGAAGACTACTACGATCTGGGCGACGAACTTGGCCGTGGTACTCAAGGCGTAACTTACCACGCTGTAGAGAGAAGTACTGGAAGAAATTACGCGGCCAAGGTGATGCACGGAAGAGGAGAAATCCGACCGTACATGTACAACGAGTTGGATGTGATGAACAATTTGAATCACAAGAAATTGCTGCGACTACATGACGCTTATGAAACTGATCAATCTGTTACACTCGTCTTGGAACTGTATCCTTTGAGAATAACGAAATCTTTATCGTTTTATTTATATTGAGAAGATCATAAGCAATCTTAGAATCTATCAAATTTCTTAACTATGTAATAGAGCTGCTGGTGGCGAACTAGTGGACACTTTGACGAAGCAGGCATTCTACACTGAAGCAGAGATCGCTGGATACATTCGTCAATTGCTGTGGGGATTGGAATACATGCATTCTAATCACTATGCTCATCTTGGTTTAACGGTTGATCTTTATTGCAATAAAATGATATACAGTAGCACCGTTCTAATTATCAAACATTTACTATTTATTTTTAAAATTGTTTCTTCCAGCTTGGAGATCTATTGATCTCGCACACAGGAGGCGACGATTTGAAGATCTGCGACTTTGGCCTAGCCAGAAGAATCTCACAAACGAGATTGATGACACTGGGGTACGGAATGCCTGAATACGTGGCACCAGAAGTGACCAACAACGAGGGAGTATCATTCAGCGCAGACATGTGGTCTGTTGGTATCGTCACTTACATCCTGCTGTCTGGAATCTCGCCTTTCAGAGGCAACAACGACAAGGAAACGTTGCTGAAGATCAGAGAAGGAAAGTGGGACTTCGATGATCGTTGGACGAACATTTCTGACGACGCGAAAGATTTCATTCGTTCGTTGTTGATGTATAACGCTGAAAGACGAATGGATGTAACAGCTGCTCTGGCTCATCCTTGGTTAGCCTACGCCGACAAATCTCCAGCAGATTTGTACAAGATTCCGTCAGAAAATTTGAAGAACTACTATAAACTGTATCGGTTAGTATCGTAAACAATCCTTTGTACTATTGAAATGTAGGAAGTGTTACAACGTTAACATGATTTTTTAGTGACTGGTACAACAACGCATCCTGTCGCACCTGGTTCCGCAGACGCAAATTAAACACAGCTTTCGAGCATCCATCGAGAATGGTTTATCCACCTGGCCATAAATATACTCCTGAACCCAGCGACGATAGAACGTACAGTCCTTTGAAGAAACCCTTGCCTAAACCCTGGGAGAGCAACATACCTACAAGGGAACCGATTGATACTGAGATTGGAATTATTAAGAGTGAAAGCCAGTGAGTTAATTCGCTCTGTAGATCTCTGTTTAATTTAAGCAGACATTGATTATACGCGTGATTTTTCAGCTATCAAAATGGACCGGACACCTATCTCCTTCAACTTCGTGACACGGATTTCCCTGTACGTTTAAGAGAGTACATGAAGGTTGCGTGCAATCGTAGCCCTGGATTCTCACGTTCCATCGCCGATGAGAACTTTGACTGGAGGGTAATTTGTTCGTCTTTATTTAGATATTAAACTCTTCAATTTTATTTAATTATCACAATTCTTTGTATTCATCTTACAGACACCTATTATACACGAACGTCGTCGTTTCACGGACGTGATGGATGAAGAGATCGATGACGAAAGGCGAGCAAGAATTAACAGATACGGATCACCGGACGTTTACACCCTGAGACGTTTGAAACACGAATTAGGTACACGACTCGATAGTTACGTAGAGGCGGAGGCGATGTTGGAATCCAAGAAAGAAGGACACTTGCCATTCTTCCGGGAGAAGCCCCAAATTAAACCCATCGAGGAAGGAAAACCGGCTCAGCTAGTGTGTCTGGCAGTAGGAAATCCTAAACCACTTATTCAATGGTACAAAAATGATATAATGATTCAAGAAAGCAATAGGGTAAAAGTTACCGAAGACGAAGACGGCAGATCGATACTCAGCTTCGATACAACTAAGGAGCACGATGTAGGCAGTTACAAAGTTGTCGCGAGAAATTCCTTAGGACAGACTGTAGTTAGAACCAGAATGGTAGAAGCGGCTGTTCCTTCCGGCCCTGATTCCCCCGAGGCTTCCGACGTCTCCGACACTGAAATACTTCTACGATGGAAACAACCCAAGCACGATGGTAACTCTCCGGTTTTGTGCTACCACCTCCAGTACAAAGAAGGCGATTCGATCGAGTGGATAGACGTTGCCTCCAACATCGACCACGAATTCTACTTGATGAGAGACATGAAACCCGACACAAGTTACAACTTCCGTCTAGCTGCGCGAAATCGTATCGGCTGGAGCGAAAAGGGTATCCCATCGAAGCTGATCAAAACCAGACCAACGGGATGTCCAAAGGTACAGATCACGCGAGCGATGAGGCATCTCCAAGAGCTGACGGATTCTGGACAGGAAATAATACCCGACGAAGACAAGCCACACGTGGATTACTCCGTCGAGGAACACCCTATCGAGTGGTCGACCGACACGAATCTCTCTAGTAAATACAGCTTCATCTCTGAGATATCGAGAGGTCAGTTTTCTGTCGTAGTGAAGGGTGTCGACAAAACCGCGGATCGCGTGGTGGTCGCTAAAATCTTGGAGCTACAGCCGGACACAGAGAAACAAGTGAACAGAGAATTCGAGGCTCTTCGTTCGTTGAGACACGAAAGGATAGCGATGCTAGAAGCTGCGTACAAGGCACCAGGTTCTCCAGTCGCTGTATTTATACTTGAGAAACTTCAGGGTGCTGATATTCTTACGTATTTCTCCAGCAGACACGAGTACACGGAAAATTGTGTAGCCAACGCCATTCTGCAGATCTTAGATGGTTTACAGTACCTTCATTGGAGAGGATACTCTCACCTTGATATACAGCCTGATAACGTTGTTATGTCTACCGTTAGATCGGTTCAAGTCAAGTTGGTTGATATGGGTTCCGCTCGATTCGTCAGTAAATTAGGCACATCGGTACCAAAAGCTGGCCACCCCGAGTACAGAGCACCCGAGGTATATAACGAGGAACTGGCTCATCCTCAGACAGATGTTTGGATGGTCGGTGTCTTGATGTACGTCCTCCTGTCTGGTGTATCACCCTTCCGTGGCAAAGATCCTGACGAGACCAGGCAAAATATACTGTTTGTGAGATACAGATTCGAACATTTATACAAGGAGTTGAGTCAAGAGGCTACCAGGTTCCTTATGCTACTCTTCAAACGGGCACCAAAGTTCGTAACAGATATATAATAACGTTGATGTTTTGTTTCATTCAACAGGATTTAATATGTAGGATTTTATTGTTTCAGTAAAAGACCATTGGTGGAGGAGTGCCATGAACACAGGTGGCTGCAGCCATCAGACTTTATGACTAAGAAACGAGAACGGGCCGTGTTTTTAGGCAACAGACTGAAAGAATATAACGAAGAATACCACGAAGAAAAATTGAAGTTAGCGTCACAGAATCATAGTTTGGCTAGTGAAAGCCTACTAGGGTCTACGCAAAAACTTATTAGATCAACTAGCATACAAGAAGAACTGCTCACCACGTTCTAACGGATAAGATACGGTTAAGCGATTTTCCAATTTTCATTATCTTACGTGACCGTCAAATTTCACGCACGTGTCTAGTCAGTCTCTTAGAGAGCAAGGAAAAATAACCAAAGAGAGGATACCGAAATAAAAGAGCTTTCTTTCCTTGTTCTCTTTTTTGTTATTATTTATTTGTTACTTTTAATTATTTTAACAGATACTGTCATCCGCTCATACGTTGCTGGAAAGATATAAAAGTTAAAAAGGAGAGAAAGAATCGGTATTTAAAATGTAACGTAAGATACATCAAGTTTTAACGAATTAAGGTACAAACCGAACCCTTTGAAATTGTACAAAAACGATGATTATATTCTAATAAAATCACCAATAAATACCGAATAATTAAATGATCGTTTAAAGAATCTACACACTGGGATGAAATTTTATTATTAAATATGTAATTTATTTACAAATTATGATCTTCCATCATTACAATGCTCTATAAAGAAGGTAAGTATATTGTACACAAGACACATTCTTTTGTCCTCATTCCTTTTACCATTATTAACATAAATTTTATCTCAACTAGAATGAAGTAATATAACAATCAAAAGCTGCACATGAATACAAAAACAAAAATGATGGTAACAAATACAATCTCTTTAGAATAAGAGGACTAGTAGCAAAAAATATTAAATAAAAAAAAAAGGTATTTAAATTTCATGTTTTTGTTAAAATAAAAAGCTAATTTCATAAATGTACATTTACACTGTCGTAGAATTGTTCATTAATTTAAATCATCTTTTTGCATACTGCATAACATAATCTTTTACCCTACTTCTAAAAGATTCCTTATCTTTTATAAATAAATCAGCTGCCTCTCTATTCAAAGGATCATCAAAATTTAAAAGATCCTGTAAGAAGAAAAAATATGAGCTGTGTAAATGTAAAAATGTTATATATCTTCATGAAAACTGTTGAAAACTTACAGTAAAAAGAGAATTCAAACCCCATACAACATCCTTAAGCTTTCGGGTCGGTGCCCAACCCATTCCATCTATACTACTTTGTCTTAATATTGAAAGACATACATCACCATCTTCGCTTATATTTGGATGCCATAGCTTTGTCAAGCACTTGACTTTTGGAGGCTAAAATAAAGTATTTTGTTTATATTTTATATTCATTGTAAACAGTGATGTTTTAGTGTAAATAATAACATATATTTACAGCCATGTTATAATCTTCGGATATATAAATCTGAAAATAAAATCTGCCTCCAATCCAGTACCCTTCATCAGGAACAATCAAAAGTATAAATTCGTGTAGACAATGAGGATCATGAAATTTAACCTGACATGTACTAGGTAAGGTATGTTCCATTTCTTGTACCTATATAAACGAATGAGACAATTTAAACATTTTTAAACATCTGCAACAAATGAGTAATCTACTTATCATTGTTTTAAAATTGTTAAAACAATTTCATACATCTCTATATTACTATTACCTCTTTGATTAATAATTTATCGCGTATTGAAACGCGTTTATTATAGTCTTTATTTTTTGAATTTGCTATGTCACTCTCCTTTTTCAATTTTCCTCTTAAAGTAATCATATTTTCAAAAATCTGGAAGCAGATAAATCTAAAACTGTAAAATACAGTAAAAACTATTAATAATTGATCAATACATATAATCCACCGGAACAACAATTGTGTCGATTATTTAAGAACAAAATATTATTCGTAATTAAATGTTAACCCCACATTAGTATGGATGCTAGAGAACTAAAGATCTTGTTATTTTAAAACAAACGACTTGTTATACCACTCTGCAATCTAATTAAAAATGTTTTTATGTAGAAATCGCAATAATGATGCTGTCAAATATCACTTATGACGTTTATTATTAGACAACACGAATTGAAGGTTAAAATTGTTGAATACGCTTAATTTTAAGAAATTGTATCTTACACTATAAATGTTGTACTATTTCAGTATATATGTTGTCTTTTAAAGTGTATTTAATCAATACACATTTTGATAATTCTCATTTTAAGTTTTTCAACTAGCAAACATTTAAAAGAAAACGGTAAATATTTAAGCGCATCAAAAGTCTGTGTTTCTTACTTCAGACGGCGCTGGTAGTTGAAAATAGGAAAAACAAATTGTTATTATTAGTAAAAAGTGCTGCTTTTGTTTAAATTAAAAGTACTGTACGAGTACATTATCAATAAAATATCATTATAAATATGTATTATCTTATATACAGTTATGAAGAGCTTATTGAACATTGAATATGTTGAACAGACACATATAAATACACAATGATTAAACAATTTGAACAACCGTTCAAAGAAGAAATTTTACTTAAGATGATCATTAATTATATTCATTGTCATACAGTAAGGAAAAAAGAACACTTTTTATAATGCTTTAAAATTTACACAATTCTTTCATACATTTATTTATACTTATAACTTTTTATACAAAAAATGATGCTCGAATACAATTACTTTTTTTATCCAAATGCATGTCACATTTGTAAAAAATTTGGTGAGGAAATCTCTTTAAAACGATGTGGCAATTGCACAATGATCTCTTATTGTTCCAAGAAGCATCAGAAAGAACATTGGTTAGAGCACAAAGATCTGTGCAATGCAATATGTACTGTTTTAAAGGATAACCAGGTATCAAGCTTTTTAAATAACAAACAAAATCTGAATACCGAAAGTTGGACTGAAATGAAAATGAATTTCATGTTATTAGTAGCAATTAAGATTGGTCGCAAATTAAAACACTATGAAGAAGAAATGTTTAAATTTATTAGATCATGCGCTGTATGTCATGAGCAGAATTTAAAAGTTTTGGAAGATTGTTCCAATTGTCCGAATACTAGCTTTTGTACAAAGCACAAAAATGATATAGAACATAAAAAAGTTTGTTATCTCATAAAGTTATGTTACACTTTAGATATAGCTTCAATAATATACAAAGAGGAAATACCTAAAATGAGGGTACCATCTCCTACAGATCACATAAGTTTACCACAAAATATTAAAGATTTAATACATTATTATATGGAACCACGTACAATTTCACATTTGTCAATTGAAGAAGAAACAATGATTCACACAGAATATCTCACAAGACCTTTAACTCTTCTTTATGCATTACAAAAATTAAGATATTCATTAAAGAACCGTAGTATAGTTATTCATGTTATTGCAGCTAATATAATAGATATTGATGGTATAGAATTTGGGGAAATTCTGTTACACTGGTACCCAAATATAGAGACAGCAAATATTGTATTAATTGGACCTGAATTATCTACAGGTTCTATACCAATAAACCTTTGTAAAGACTGTCAGTATAACAACAAACAATTTTTCATTGAAATACATGGTATACTTTATGACGATTTTGCCAAAAGTATTTCATATGTTAAGCCAGATATTATTATTGGATATAATGCAGGAATTCATGAATGCGAAGACTTTAAATCTGAGAATGATACATGGAGACAATCTTTGCAAATCATAGCTAAACAAGAATGTCCATTTATTTTAACATCTTACACTTTAATAGAAGCAAAAAAAGAACAAGAAAGACTGAATACTGTTTTAGGTAGAGATATAGAATGTGCATTTTGTGATCAAAATCCATATTGTAGCTTAAGACCATACAGAGATTTTGAAACTGAGAGAGTATACTATCAAAATCAATACTTACTTATTTATGCAAACTTAGAAGCATTGTAATATTTGAATATTTTGAATAACTTTATATGAATATTTAAATAACTTTTATTATTATATTTCATGATCTATATTATATGCGAATATAATTTGTATAAGTATTTACCATTTAATAAATGATGGATTAATTTTGAGCTTTTTATAACTGTTTTTAAAAAAGATTTTACAAAATTTCCATCATTGTTTAATTCATTTATTTTATTATTTTTTGATTATATTTAATCTATAGTATGAGAAGATAACTGTTCTATAGTGTTCCGAAGTCGAATTGATATATGCCGAAATAGACGTGCTGATAAGCGTTTTCGCATAGTCTTGTCAAAACTTTTGTGAATATTAAAAAAAATAATTATTTATATCAATATTTGATATTTTTGAGATCTTAAATATTCAAACGATAATGGCAGAAATTGAATGGCCATGGCAATACAGTTTTCCACCCTTTTTTACGTGAGTATCATTAGGTTATATTGATGTATTAAAAATTGTAATTAAAAGTTTTTTCAGTCTTCAACCTCATACAGAAACTAGAGCCAAGCAAATAGCAGCCTGGAAAAGTTTAATTTTAGAATATTATCGTATCACAAAACAATCCATTATAGATATACGTGAAGTACATTCAAGCCCAGTATTTAATAATGCAACAATTAATCGTATCCTTTTATGGTCAATAAATTAAATAAAGTTATCAATCACTAATAAAATTTGGTCCTTAATACATTGAATAGGAAAGTTACCATCAGAGATGCTATTATTAATATTAGAAGAATTATCCAAATCAGGAAATGCAACTCCATTAGATAAAACAAAGCAAAGATGGCTAGTTTATTGGCATACTTTAGAAGAATGGGGTGAAATAATTTACAATTGGGCACAGGAGAATGGATTCACAGGGTCTGTATGTACTTTGTTTGAATTAACACAAGGAGAGGATACAGTGAATCAAGGTATGTATTCTTATCAAGCTTATACATACATATAAAAAATATTGTTTAATTAATTGTCTGTTTATTTTCAGAATTTCATGGGCTTGATACAGAAGTATTAATCAGAGCGCTTAAGACATTAGAAGCAAATAAAAAGGCTGAGTTGATTTTGTTTGATGATAATCAAGGTGTTAAGTTCTTTTAAATGTATAAATGAACAAAGAAAGTATTTAAGAAGTGTAAATATAAGTTTTCATTATCATTAATTGATACTTCTGTGATAAAGGAAAAATATTTTATACTTTCTGGAAGAAATAATTAAATGAACTGAAGGAATTCATAAATTAAAATGTAAGTAAAGTTTAATTACAAAAAGGATTTAAAAAGTACATTTTTATGTATGTATGTTTACAAGCAATTATTTCTTAAAATTATGTTATTAAAATTCATATAATAAATATTATGTACATATAGAAGTAATGCCAAACAGTATTGAATATGTTTAACATATTCAACAAATGTATGGAATATTTTAATATGAGTAATGTAATAATTTGATTTCACATAAAGAAATAATTGCAATAAAACATTTTTGTAACGAAAAAACAAAAAACAATGTATTTAATACATTTGTGAAAGTTAAAATGAGTCAGAACTTTTGAAGTACATTAGTGCTCAAATAATTTGCTTTCATTAAGTATCCAAATAAGTATCCTGCTAATTACATATTTAGTAATTAATTACATTGATTAGATATGGATTACCATATAAAATTTGAATCAAGTATAAGTATACATTAGTACAAATTATTGACTGTGAAGTATACAAAAAATTTTACAAACACAATTTTATTGTGTTTATATAATATAATGGCAAAATCCATAAATTATGCTTCTGCTTTCCTCACTCTGGCTAGTTCGATTGTTTCTTCTTGTAAATTTGCACTTGCCTGAAGTTCTTTTTTACTCATATGTTCGACGACATAAGCACCTAGCGCGTCGCATATGACATTTATCGTTGTTCGGAAGCGGTCCCTGTATATAAATTCAATAATTTAGAAATAGATTCATTTAATAGAAACTATGAAAACAAAATACTCACAAGAGCCAATCTACCGCAATAATAAGTGTTACATCTTCAGCAGGTAAACCAACAGTATCCAGTACCATAACCATTGTAACAAGACCAGCTTGTGGAATACCAGCAGCTCCTATACTTGCTGCAGTAGCTGTTATACTGTAAAAATATATTAGAATATTACAATTACTAGGACACTATTTTATATATTAGTTAATTAATAATCAACAAATCAAATCAATAACTACCTAACACCAATGACACTGCCAAGAGTCAGTGGAACTCTTCTGACTTGAGCTATAAAAATTGCAGCCACAGCTTCATACAATGCGGTACCGTCCATGTTGATGGTAGCACCAATTGGAACAACAAATCTTGTAACTCTAGGATCTACACCTATATCATCTAAACACTGTATCGTTACTGGCAGTGTAGCCGTGCTATATTCACAAAAATAGATTATTCAACAGTTTAAAACATTTTCTGACGTACTCTATATGTGTACAAGTTACCTTGAAGAAGTACCAAATGCTGTGGCTAGAACTTGACCCATTTTTCCTATCAATTTAAATGGTAATTTTCCGGTACAAATGAAGAAAATAAGAGAAAGAGTTCCACAACCATGTATAAGCAAACCTAGTAATACTGTGATGAAATATAAACCTAACTGGCCTACAATAGCACTGACATCTTCAATTTCTAAAAGCTTTGAAGTAACAAGGAAAAGTACACCAATTGGAGATAGCCTGTAAATAAATAACAATTTAAAATACATGTTATTTGAAAATTAATTCAATAAATGACTTGTTTTTATAGGTTTTTTACCATATAACCCATCTGGTAATTAGCATCGTTGCTTCAGATAAGGTATCAAAGAAAGTTAGGAGAGGTTTTCCAGCTTCTCCCATTTTACTAAGTGCAATTCCAAACACAATTCCAAAAAATACTAAACCTAAGGTATTCATACCCTCTCCATATTCATGAGATATATTCCATTCATATATACTATTTACTAAAAACAAACATTAGATCACTATAGCACATACATTATTTGAATAACATACAAATGATTAATGTAAATAATCTTTACCTCCTGTTGCATTTTCAGGCTTTACTAATATAGTACGATACTGTAACAGAATATGAGCAATTAGGATATACCTTGAACACCTTTAGTAATTATATAAAACATCTTATTCTTATACATACCTGAGCAATACAAGCTTGTATAAGATTTGGTGGGAACACATTTCTAAAAAACAGATTTTATAAAAAGATAAGAACTTTTTATAATAAACTATAATATTTTTTTTATTATTTCAGCTATTATACCTGACCAGATCTAATAGCGTGTCTATAGTAGTAACATCTCTAGGCGCTTTTGCATCTCCTATTGCAACTAAACTCTGTGTACTGAAGTTTCCAGGTTTAATAAGTAGAACCAAAATTATACCAAGAATTACAGCAGATATCGTTGTCGCCGAATAATAATAAATGGATCGTATACCAATTCTTCCTAGAAAATGCATATTACTTGTTTTCAAGTTACTACATTCTGATACATATATGCAGTATTTACAAAGAAAATTGTTATAATTCTCAAACAGAACAATAAGGAAAAACTTGAACAGAAAAAAATCAATGATAAGACATTTCATTTATGAAAGCAATAATAAAACAGTCTGAAGATTCTTCTTCGTCTCATTAATGACTACAAGTCAATAACTCAAAAAGATAAAAGTTGAACATCCGTTATCAGTATTGTTCGCGTTTCTCTGGTACCGAGCTAAATTACGCCAGAAAATACTGGTAATCTGTGATTTACCATACCAAGTATCTTCACGCAAACAAGTTTGTACGCCCACGCAACCCCCCTGCTTACGAGTAATGAGATGAAATCTTCCTTAAAGAAGACATATACATATCAATTACCAGATAAATTAAGGTCCAAACCGCCGATGGCACTAACAATACTAGCAAGAATTAATGGCAAGATAAGTGCTTTCAACATTCTAAGGAAAATGTCTCCTGGAAATTGGATATACATGATCTCTCTTTTCGACCATGGTTCGCTCTTGGCATTCCTTAAAATGAAACCGAGAATAACACCGGCTATAACTCCAAGTACTGTAAGCATCGTTAACATATTTTCTGACATGAAATTTTTCCATTTTCTCGGTCGTGCCATGTTGTCTACTGAATTGATCCTAAAAGAAAAGAAAAGAACATATGTGATGGCTCAAAATCCAAGTAAATCTTCATCTTGATACAAACGAACGCCACGATTCGCAGAAGGATGTTGCGCAAACTTTTCTTTCGATATGATAATTTGATATTGCCCCGGGAAAGATACATGATGTAATATATAGTATAATACGCGAACAGTGTAGACTTACCAACCCAATTATTTTATTATCTTTATGTGTTATTCTGTCGAAGTTTGCATCGCTTTCGTGACTCTAAGAATAAATATTTGCAGATGTTTGTGGAAGACAATGATAAGGTTGACGCGTGGGAGTGAAAGTGTGGATAAGTTGGAAATATCGTGAAAGGGATTACAACGACCCGAGTGTCTGCGGAAATTTTGAAATGATTAGCCCAGGTAAATAGACTGATTAACTTGTATTCATACACATTTTTAAACGGTGGCGGTCACTGCCCCTGGTACTTAACTATACACCAATTAAACTCTTTATCTATTACGTGTTGTGGTTCCAAGATATAATTAACGTATTTACATTTTTTTTTTTTCATTTTTGGCATTTTTTCTGCCATGTATAATGATTCATCCATTTATTTAATTCAAACTCGCAATTCAATATTTTTTAATCTTTTAATTAAAAACTTGCAAATCATATTACCAGTCTAAATTAAAACAAAAATTATGTAAGTGTTTAAGACATTAGCGATCTTTGTTATTATATTTATAAAGTATCCTTAATTAAAAGCCTTGTAAGACGTTTTCTCGTTGGTATGTAAGTACAAAGCATATAGTTATCTACATAATTGCAAAATCGAATAGGAAAAACAATTTACGGTTTGAACTACGAGACATGATGATTCTGCATACTAACTAGTTGCACTACGATGAGTAATATTGTAATCAATTATATAACATAAATGATACGAAATATTCATAAATGGTAATTGCCGGTTTTGTCCATCATTCGCAGCGTCTCTTGTTAAGTACGTTAGCCCCCTGACAGTTTCAATTAGTCCTAAAAGTACATAGTGTTGAGTTTATGTTCATTCTCTAATTCAAACAACATCCGGTTTCAGAAATTTGAACCGTGAAAACTGATACCGTAACAATTGTAGTGTATTAACTTTTAAAAGAAACTTGCATGTACAGCGTAGGATATTCAATTTATTGATAACACGATGGTCGGAATTAATTAATGAATAAGAATATAAATTAACGAGTCGAATTTTTCTGTTTGTAATGTGTTTACACATGCACGTATATCTTGCAGGAACTGGTATTAACCGGTTCATACTGTCCTGGAAATCTGCCTTGTGTTTCATCCACCAACAAATTTGACTCCCGCAGAAATATCTAGTACTAATTCTATTATTGTTCTGTCGTAGCTTTTCACATGGATGCACCCGCCGAAAAGGGAAAAGGGAGTAGAAAGGTGAAATGTAAGATGTGATTCGAAATCAACGTTGAACCAGCAACCAAGCACGATGGGAAAGTTCGATTTATAAGCGCCTATGCGCGAGAGCAAATGAAATCGCAGAACGAGAGGCAACACGTGCAATTCTTGTTCGGATTAGCACAAGAGGAAAAGTGGTTACTTGATAAGGAACGCGCGGTATTTAAAAAATTTCAAATGAATTCGAGTTATTATTCGTTCATTAACAATGAACAATCGGTAACAATGAACTACTGTGCAAAGTATAGTTGAATGTGTGAGGTATAGATAAAGCTGAGCAATATATAGATAAAATTATGAAATGTTTCTATAAAAAACGATCCTACGTAGACGAAACATCAGTCTTTGAAATGTTGTCAATTATATTGACTAAAATCTGTTTTGTTATGTCAATACAGTAACAAGCTATTAAAAGTTTTCCTTGAAGCAAAAATTGATTCTGAGAAAAACATCTCGTCAGCCGTAATTCTGTCCGAAATTTTGTTTCTCATGCACGTGGACCATTGTAAGTTAAAATGTTCAACCCTCTTTACTACCACTACCATAGTAGATACATGTATCAACACACAGTAAGAAATCTCGTCATAGTTATCAGCAGAACAAAGGAGATGAATGCAATAATGTATGATTTTATTTAATCTTCGACTATCGTCATCGCTTTAAGATGTTTTGTTCCTCACATTTACTGCAATTTGATCAAATTTTCTTTCAAATTATTGTATTACCGAATGCTTTATTAATATCCACACATTCAATCTGAAATACTTTCATTAGTATATTTATGAAAAGTGACTCGCACTTGTTAGTTGAGAAATTTAAAAGAATGACTTACCCGCTAATTTAGATATATCTAGGATAGATAGTCGTTAGAAGTTGTGCACGCAGCAATGCGATTCCACTTCGATTGAATCACGTTGCTTGCGTGCTGATATTTAAATTTGGATGCTGAACACGTTTTGGTTTAGACAGCGCGAAAAGTCGTTCTTCCCGCGAGCGCGATTTCGTCGTACTGTCGGTGCGCTGCGTTCTCGCGGAGTGCCGGCTATCCCATGAAAACGTAGCCCTTCGTCGCGTGGATGCAATATGTGTGCGTCAGAGATCATGTATATCGTTCCCTCTCCATCACCTTTTTCGCCTGTATTCTATTTCTTTTTGTGCCCCATCGTGTTTTTTATCCCCTTTCGCCGAACTCTCGATACGCGTTCTCCCTCCTCGCTGTTATTCTGATGTACCTTTGCACATGTAGCCGTAGATCCTATAATGACACGTGCCTGCGTGCGCAACAACATACACGCGGTTTACGAAACCGCGTGTACCGAGATCGCACACGCATTCAGAAGAACTTGAATGAATGGTTGTACCATATGTGGGCAGACACTTAAAAGCAACCAGTATAAACACGATACATTAAATCGTGGCTATTATGAGATAATAATTATTTTCGGAGAAAACTATTCAAGATAAAAATGTGCTGTTGCGTTACTGATTATTTATTCATCGTCTTTATTTAAATATGTTTATCATATAAAAATGTTTCAGTCTCGATTCAGTTCACAGATAATACTTTGATGTTCCTTATGTATAGCACAGTATTTAAATTTCGAATTTTGTTAATCACTTGTTTCCTTGTTACTAGATACAAATGGTAACGAAATTATGTAATAAAAGTGAAACGAAATGTACACGCAACATACGTCAACAATATAAACGATGATTTAATTAATGTACAATTTACAAAAATTAGTGTGAGAATTACTTGACCGCTAGGAATGATGTTTGTATAATTGAATTGAGGTCAGTCACGTGATTCTTTTAATTACTCTGCCCCTCCCCTTCTTTCTCGTATATTCGGCTAAATTTGTTTCACTCATTTTTGCTTTGCGAGAGGGGAACACACGAATATTACAAACATCAAGGCTACTTCATTTACATTCAGGTTTGGTTTTTTCTTTTAGTGTTGAAAATAAAGTAAAAACGTAAAATGTTAGTTACAAATGTTTATTTAAGAACTGACAATACAAGTTTTATTTATTAAAAATAAATGAAAATCGTCTACTACTAAGACATAGAAATTAGCTTTGGAAAATACTGATAAAGTAATATTGAAGAAAGTATAATTAGAGAGCAGAACTTAAATAAAGTTATGTGTAAAATAAACGCATTACTTAATTCAATATAAATGTAAAAATCTTCCGGCAAAATATTTAATAAACGCAGAATTTAACACCTAACTAATAATAATGAAGTCTCGAATTAGTATGTAGGCTGTTAATGAACTTAGAATTTAAAGGCACTTTTTTATAATACATCATTCTTGTTATACATAAGGAATGATTATTCTAAATGTAACATTAAAGTATACCTTAAGAATAGGCACATTAGTGCAAGGCACTCTATAATCACAAATGTTATAAAGATTTTCCTTATTCAGTAAATTCTTAATAGAAACTGATTCTGCTTTAGAACTGTGATTTCCAGAAAATCAATATAATCTGGTATGTTTCTACTTGGGTTAAATTAAATGAAATACCAAGTTGTCATGGTAATTCTAAAGTTAAGAACAATGTATACTGCAGTTAAAAACTAGGGCATTCTATAGACATATATACAGAACGTTTTGATGATATTTATAAACGATTTTGTTGAAGTAATGAAAGTAAAGAGATTACACTCAGGTTACAACACAGAATTTTAAAAAACGTTATATCTTCTACGATTAGTCAGTTTTGAAGTGAAATTTTAAAAATACTTTAGCATATCATTGATTTTTTAGAAATCAACGGATTACAAACTGTCATAGCTGAGTTTTTGTATGAATATTAACAATGATCTGAAGTATTATTTACAAATAGATATAGTTATGTCAATGTATTTAATTCTCTGGTGCTGGTGATGTTATTTTTCTTTTAAATAATAAGATATGTGGCTCTGAAACATACAAATGTCTTTAAATGAAACTGTTCTCTTTTCGCGTTACAAAAAGTTAAGGAACGCAAACAAATGCTTTCATTGGAAATTAGATATTAAAAATTTAATAATTTAGTATACCTGGTTTATGGATCATGTAATGTACCCATCCTTGGCTTTGTTGAACACCCATAGCTCTCCATTCTTGTTCACGTAAGAGACGTGTGGTGGGTACTGATTTTACCATTTCCTTTGGTAGCACTACGTGCCTAATAACATGCAATATATCATTATTAAATGAACTCATTAAGAATATTTCATTGTTATAAAATTGCATGCTCTTTTAGTATACTGATTTCAAATAAGCTAATCAAATGTAACCATAACCCTTCTATTAAAAAAGTTATTTAACAAATGGGTTTAAGATTACATATCTTTAACTACATAAGTGTTCAATTTATTGTTCTGGATTTTATATGCAAAAAAATTATACTTGAATTACTCTTAAAAGTTTATACTACTACAATACAAGAAAATAAATCTATATATATGTTGTATCAGTTAAGGATAATAGACTAACAAAGTGAACAAAAGAATATGCCAGACAGCCATTTAAATATGTTACATTTGCGTGCAAAAATTCTACAAAAAAATTGATACTTGATAAAATAATATTTGTCAAATTAAATTTCTCAAGTTAAATTAAATGATTTTCTATTAAGCCCATTGTCGTAAATATCAGCATAAATGAACACCTAGGAAGTTATTCTTTAACGTCTATTGGAACGATTCAAAATGGCACAATTGACCAAAATCAAAATCTAAATGGAACATTATGCTTTGTCGTTATTCATACCAACCTGTATTCGTATTTATCGTCGTAATATTTACCCGAGTAATAGATTTTATCCGACATCTTCGTTCGCTTAAATTAATTATAACCTTTAAACAATAACTTGTATAGCCAGCCAACAACACAACCGAAAATCACGCGTGAATTTTCGAAAACCTTCCAACAGCGTATGCCCCCTAATTTGAAAGTTTAACGGATGTAGCGTCAAGAAGATTGAAGGAAAGATACTCGTTAGTCGTTGATAGTCAGTTTAAACAAACTCATTCATAAAATCAAAGAAGTAATAAAATAATTTTCACAAATTCCTATTATCGTTGTGAAAATGTTAAAACGCACAGAATTTGTTATATTTTATCATTATGTTAACAACAAACGGAAATTTAAACGTAGTAAACCGGAATCAGCTGTTTAAAATTAAACAATGGCGTCTGAAGTTGCTGCGTCGAAGATCATTTTCAGAGGTTAAGTGTCATGGTAACAAAATACGTGATATAAAATATCTTATACGAAGGAATACAAGTAGTATAATTAAAAATGGAGAAGTACTCTCATAGAAAAGATTACAGTAAATCAAAGAAAGATGATAGAGATCGCTATAAGGATAAAGTTTCACGCAGGGAGAGTGACAGTGATTATGATAGTCGTTCTAAAAGTTCAAAGCCAAGACATAAACTCTCTAAGAGTTCCAGTCAAAAATACAAAAAATCCAGGCATAGAGACTCTTCAGAATCACGTGCATCCCGTAAGAAATCTTCAAAACACAAAAGCAGAAGAAGGTAAGTAAAGACAAATTATCGTTGAGGTTATAATTTTGTTATTCTGAAATTATCTTTCTTGTTTTAGATCGTCGTCATCGTCGTCTTCAACATCATCAAACTCAAGTGAATCTAGTAGTTCAACCTCTTCTAACTCTTCATCAGATTCTACGAAACTTTTAGAAAAGTTACAGAAACAACGGCAGAAGCAAATTGAAGAAAGAAAGCGTCAAAAAGAGTTAATGAAAGCTACAGAAACACCAGAAGAGAAAAGATTACGTCGTTTAAGAAAGAAGGAAGCTAAAGAACGCAAAAGAAAAGAAAGAATGGGATGGGATAATGACTATTTACATTATACAAATACAGATAATCCATTTGGTGATGGAAATTTGCTTTCCACATTTGTGTGGTCTAAAAAACTTGAAAAAGAGGGTTTACTTGGTGTAAGTAGGGAAGAACTAGAAATTAGAAATAGGTACAAACAGGAAGAGAATAAAAGGGAGTTAGAGAAAGTTAAAAAAAGAAGACAAGAAAGAGAATTAGAAAGACAACAAAGAGAAGAGGAAATGACAATGTTACAAAGAGGGAAAGAAGCTGCTCAGCTGGAACAGTGGGCAAGACAGGAAGATCAATTTCATTTAGAGCAAGCAAGATTAAGATCACGAATTAGGATACAGGATGGTAGGGCAAAACCAATTGATCTTCTTGCAAAGTATATAAGTGCTGAAGAAGAAGTTGATGCGGTAGAAATGCACGAGCCGTATACTTATTTGCGTGGATTGCACGTAAAAGATTTAGAAGATCTTATCGAGGATATCAAAGTTTATAAAGAATTGGAACGCGGTAAAAATTTGGATTATTGGAACGATATTACGGTGATTGTAGAGGACGAGTTACACAAACTACGTAAATTAGAAAGATCAGAATACGAAGTTGGTAAGTAATACAATGAAAAGGTTTTGTTAATAATTTCTCATATAAGATATTAATAAACATACTTTTTTAGCCGTTGGCCGAAGAGAAGGAATACACGAATCAGTAGCCAAAGATGTGACTGCTATTTTCAAAGGAAAAACGGCAGCGCAATTAGAAGCTTTGCAATTACAAATCGAGGCAAAGATTACAGGAAAACCTGAAGGTGTTGATATAGGATATTGGGAAAGTCTCCTATCCCAACTGAAAGGTAAACATTACAGATTAGCTATATAATTTTAATTATATTATTTAACGTGGATGTTTCTACTAGCTGTTTGTTCTCCTCAGCGCACATGGCGAGGGCACGGTTAAGAGATCGCCATCAAGAAAATTTGCGCAAGAAGTTGGAGGTTTTAATTGCTGAACAAGGAGTAGCGCGAACGGAAAATGAACCCGAGAGTTCGCAAGCAAATGCTGAACAATCGGGAAAACAAGAAGAATCGTCTACCAACACGGTTGTAGAAAAGAGTGAAGATAGTCAAACAGAGTATGCATTTGTTTTATTCCATATGTATACCCGCAGTTTACCAGAGTCCATAACTGCGAAAAGACCAGTTTTCGTTCTTTGCGCACCTCCAGTGCGCATCTTCGCCCTGATTGGCGATACTCCCAAACGAAGTGGAAAGCGATTAGCAGAGAGCTCGCTGCGTTCCCCCACCATTTTCCAACCTGCGCTTCGCAGTTATGGACTCTGGTGAACTGCGGTATATGTATGTATATGCATAAAGTAGAAACTCATATGATTGTATTTTATACAATTCTAGCGATGATCAAGAAACTAATAATGCAGCGGATGACCTCTTATCAGAATCCTTTTGCGAATATGAATCAGGAGGTTATTCTCCAAAATATATACTTTATTCTCAACTGGAGCCAGGAACGTTGGTTACTTTGGAAGAAGATGATAATAAACGATTAGAGTATGCAAGAAATCAAGTACTTAGTACTGGACGTAAAATTCAAAATGTAATGACCGCAGAAGAACAAGCAATGCATAGAGAAGCTCGAAAAAATATGAGCTCTGATGAAGCGCAATTCAGTGTTGAATCATCTTTGGAAGCGCAAATTTATCTATGGTCTGATAAGTATAGACCGAGAAAACCAAGATACTTCAATCGGGTTCATACCGGTTTTGAGTGGAATAAATACAATCAAACGCATTATGACATGGATAATCCACCACCGAAAATTGTACAGGGTTATAAATTCAACATATTTTATCCGGATTTGATAGACAAGAATACAACGCCTGAATATTTTTTGGTAAGATATATTGTTTTATTTACACTCTTATTAATATTAATATTAACAGTACTATTGTAATTTTCAGACACCCTGTGCGGATAATAAAGATTTCGCTATTTTACGATTTCATGCTGGTCCACCTTACGAGGACATTGCATTTAAAATAGTTAACAGAGAATGGGAGTATTCGTATAAACGTGGTTTTAGGTGCCAATTTCATAACAATATTTTCCAATTATGGTTCCATTTCAAACGTTATCGATACCGTCGATAATGTATCAATATTGCACACATTATGTATTTCTGTATATACACTACTAAATCTAGGATAGATTACTTAATTTTTATAATAACTGTATCAAGTGAAAAGTCATATTTTTAATGACGTATTTAAATAAAATTGCGCAATTTTATGCGCAGATCTATATAAATTTATTTTCTACGTGAAACTTACCCGCATGGTTGCAAGTAATTCTCACGAAATTGAAATCATTACTTTAATAATCAGTCTGATAACAAAATTAAAACATGTAATAACTTTTAATTTTGTTACGATTTGATTTATTGAAAAATCATTTTAGTTATCAGAATATTGGTCCGTGTATAATTGACGCAACAAAATCGTGACGTAAACCCGATTTGAATGACCCGACATTGTAATAATATACTTAAGCGTGATGACGAAAATCTATACAAAGGAACCGCGACATAGTTGTTAAACCGTGGTTGTTGGATCGATTTTCCTAGCCACCTGTATTCTTACACAGTCAACCACAATGAGAAAGGTAAAAGCTATATGTAGCCAATGGCAAGGTAAACTCGAGCATAGTGCACCGGGTGTTTGACTGACAAAGGGCTACGCGTTTAAAATCGTGTTTCTTCCACAACAGTCGCGCACAATTCAAAGGGATATAAGTTTCTGGATAAAAAATACACAAGAACTATTTTAATGATCTGTAGTTTCTAGTAATCATCCAATATTAAAACGTAATTGTCATTCTTTATTTAAAAAGTATTTAGATATAAGGTACATTAATCATTAAGTTAAATACTAATGACCCTGTCGATCACCCGGAAAACGTGTAAGAAGATTGATACTGTCAACTCCTGTTCATCATGAGAATTACAAGAACAATTAATGTGACATCATGAACATACCGGCGTAAGCTAATTTCAGTGAAGTGTCAGTGAGAAAGAACAATCCATTTGTTTGTCGCGATAACCATAAATGTCTCAGAGTTAGAAAATTTCATCTGATCAGATGTGTCTAATTACTATCTAAATTGATCGGATTTTTTAGATTTAGTTTATTTGAGGGCCCGGCAAATTTAATTTCCGCAAGTAATTATAATGAAATCTTGAATGTTGATCTCTTAAAATTTAAGATAAACATTTCAAAATTTCGTATCGTGTTATCTTTCAAATTCGAAGTGTTAAATTGTTGCAAGTATATTTACCGGAAAAATCATGAAATGGAAAAAGGGACCATCAGAGTTTATGTCGGAAAAAACATTTCTGGTAATCAAGGATGATCTGGATATATTGAAAAGTGAGTAAAATCTTCCATTTAATTTCCTAATAAACATACTTTATTTAACAAGAATTTTAGGAAATTATTGCTCAATCCGCGCATGTATTTTTGCGCACGAGTTTAAATTCAAAAATTGAATTAAATTCAACAAATCCGTAAAGATTAAGAAATTACTTGTAAAGAGGAAAATTGACTGTTTCAATTTTTCTAAATCATATCTTTTACATAGATCAACTAATAAAACGATTAAACAAGAGTAAATGTAGTCAGCAGCCATTTTCAAACAAATCTTTTCTTACATTGCAACCAAACATCGATTATCTTGAATTCCTATTATTTTATCTTATGAAATTAATACTATACATAAATATATGAATCGTGCAGAAAAGGGGAAGCAACGAGAAAAGTCGAAGACACCGGACACCGGCACCTGGCCACCGAAAATGAAGCGTGGGATGTACGACCATCCGGAGAGACCAAAGACCGCGAATCTCGAGAAGCCGAGCGTGTTGGACCCGGATTTAGTCGATAAACTGGACATGTCTGTGTTGAGCAAAGAATTGCTCGTCCACTCTATGACAAGGTTTCGCCTGTCAAAAGCAATCGGTGGTGGGACGTCGTCGTTCCCATCGTCGTCAAGGTGTCGGCAAGACGTCACTGTTGGCGAACAACACCAACCGCAGAGTCACGCGTCGAACGGTGCTGCGTGGTGCAACGGTTCCTTATCCGCACGCTACAAACGACGTAGTTTCGAGCAAATTTTAGATTCGAGGTTGGTCAACTTGGATACGTTCGTTGAATCACCGAGAATGCAAAAACAAGCAAGGATCATCAACCAGGAAACCATGACGACGAAGAAGAATTCAGACGGCAGGAAGTTGGATGACAATAATAATAGGTTCATAAATATTCGCTTAAAATAGTTGAATTTTGTGTTTGCAATATTTAAACAAATGTTATTCGTTAATTTAGAAGCAAACCGCCCAGCCACAAGGTACCCTCATTGTCAACGTTGAAGAAGAAAAATTCAAAGCCCGTCATTCAAACTGAATTGGAGGTGTTCACTTCCTCCTCGTCGAAGAATGCTCCGGAACCTTGCAAAAGTTGCGGGAAACCGGACCAACCGGAGCGGTTTCACAGTCACCCGAAAAGCGGTCAGCCTAAGACGAAAGAGAGTCCGGCGAGCACGAAGACGAAGGCAACGGTACCAAAAACCGTGCAGAAGCCCGTGGCCTTGCACTTCCGTAGCGATAAGAGCAAGAACAAAAGCGAGGAAATGGTCGCTGTCGAGGTGAAGTCGAAATCGAGCAATCCATCGCACAGACCGTCGTCGGCACCGATTAAGAAAGGACCAAGGACCATTACTTGTTACATATGCGGACGTGAATTCGGCACCGCCAGTTTTCCTATTCACGAGCCAAGATGCATGCAAGTAAGTATTTCCAAATCGATAATTAGCTGTGATTAGTTTCATTTCGATTTTCATTTCCACGTTTCATCTTTGTTGAATTTAGATACACCGGGCTAACTTAGGACTTCCAGGAATGCTAACATTAGTATAGGGCAGATCTAATTTTATACTGAACTTGAACTGCATCTATTATTCATGGTCGCGATAACGGAATACGATGTATGAATATTATTGAATCACTCGGTTCGGTAGCACGTAATACATCAAGGCCCTTTGTAAAATCGATAGGAACATATGTGTGTCGTATATCCTTGCGGTTGATATCAAAGGCATTTACATACACGTGAACTGATGCCTCCCGCTATAGATAAACCGATCGGTACTGACCGTGTAATTTGCACGTGAGTTGCGGTTTATGTACGTCCGGTTCGATATATCCATACAGACGACCTCAACTGCATCCATATCCATCTACAAAAGAACATTAATTATGCCTCGTGGGTAGATCGATCGTTTTATCGCGAATCATTATGAAATGAATATGTACCATATCCTGTGGCGAAGGGTTGCATTCTCATAATTAAAATAATTGAAATATCCATGCACATCGATTATAATTCAAATACTAATAATTGTTGGTTTATTTGCAGAAATGGGAACGAGAAAACAACGCGTTACCGGTGAATCAAAAACGACCAACTCCTCAAAGACCCGACGTTGCGATCAATCATTCAGAATGGAATACAGCAGCATGGGAAGAAAGTCAGGTATTGCGCTGTCGTTTAAACGTCTCCTCAAACATGTAAATTGCGGTTATAGTCTTGTCGAATCGGATATCTTTTCATTTTTAAGCAACGTTAAGAAGATCGACAAAGTACATCATAGGAAAAACGTGTTTCCATTATCTGAATGAGTCATTACTATATAAGGCCTGATGATTTGTATTGAGCGGTGATGTAATTACGACCCGTTACAGATGAATTCGGTCATCAACAGTGTGTAATGGGTTTAAGTATGCGCATATGGATTGTTTATTCCAACATTTAAAAACTTAGGAGAACTTTAACTAAGCATAGGATTTCAATTTAATCAAAATATTCTTAAGTGTTACATTTATGCTACAACAAATTATTTATTCAACGATATGCAATTATTCTGCCCCTTTTTTTATAGTAGAAACATGATTTTAAATGAGGGAATCGATTATAGCATGCGTAATGAAGTGACTCGTTAAAGCTCACCCTTACACGTTCCTCATGCATACGTATATATTTATGTGCATATGCATAGAAATACAAATACCAAGTTCCATACAGAGAAAACATATCACGCACTATAATCCTCCAACCCTATCGTGTTCAAGGTGCTGGCCTACATTTATCATAAAGGCTTAGTTATTTAAGACTAACGGCACGTTTGATCTAAAAACTGAAAACCGCAATGCGACTCGTTAAGTTCAAGACTGAAAGGGGCTCTCTATGTAATTTGTGAAATCAAAGTACTTATATGCAATTTTGTATTTTCAGGCGCAGCTGGTCCCCTGTCCAAAATGTGGAAGAACATTTTTCCCAAATCGCTTAATGGTACATCAAAGAAGTTGCAAAGCTCCACCAAAGGTGAATACATTGTTTGATTCATTAAAATGTCGTATTTATAATTTATCAGGATTATAAGACTAAAAATCATTTTGTCCGTAGAATTTTGAATCAGAAAAGTCAGAAAGCCCCATTCTGGAAAAATCTGTCAATGTCTCACGGGTGACTCCACCTACGGTCACTTGTAAAATTTGTGGTCGAAATTTCGGCACGAGAAGCATTAAGATACACGAGCCTCAGTGCATGAAACGATGGCAATTCGAGAATAACAATCAATCAATGCATTTGAGAAGAAAAGATTCAACTGGTCAACTGAAGTTAGAACCAACAAGCGTACAAGAAAATGTAATCAGCCCAATAGGGGTGAGTCGTGTTGGAAAGCATGCTTATATACTCCAGTTTGTTTGAAATCGTTCCAATTGCTCGTTGAACACGTGAAGATAAATCTTTGTTAATTTTTTAATATTTCTATCAAATTTTCTGTACAGAATTGATGTTGATCATTGCAAATAAATTATTATGCTCTTTATGTTTTGTGAGTTTTGTTAATCGAGGTTGATATTCATTCGGGGCCAACTGATTTTAGGACAACGGACTGAAGAAAACAGTCACGTGCTACATATGTGGCAGAGATTTTGGCTCCAGTAGTATAGCCATTCATGAGCCGCAATGCTTGAAAAAGTGGCACGTGGAGAACGACAAATTGCCACCGGATCAGAGGAGGAAAGAACCGGAGAGACCTGAAACTGTTTACACTCGTAAGTCATTATTGCATTTGATATCTTATTTATAAAATGAAACAGTTTCAATGAGTGCGATTCATTTGAATACGGGTATATGATTTTCCTCCTACTATCTATTTAAATAGTTTGTATAGATTCCATGAGCTTCGTTAGTCTAAGTAGTCAACGAGTTCATTATGTGAGAAAGTTAAACACTGATCGCGTGCTCTGATGCTTTGCTAGTGAACTTAAGGTCAATGCGATTATATCGATCAAAGGGTGGCGTGGTTGCATACCGACAGGGGCAAACCTGATCTTTATTAAACACTACAAATAACTTTTAGTGGTTTAAAGAAGGTGAAGGCTTGAATATCAATTAGGTTTCTCTGCATATACGCAAATAATAACAAGGCAATTATTTTAATAATCATTATTGAATACATGCACATAAAAATATTTGATATTCATGCACAGGCGATCCAGCATCAGGAGATATGGTAATTGACATAACAGCAATGGCTGAGGCCAGCTGGAGAACACACTTGCGTCAATTAGTCCCATGTAAACGATGCGGAAGGACATTTAATCCTGATCGCGTAATCGTCCATGAAAGCAGTTGCAAGGGAACCCGTTAATTAAAGGATCATCTCTTGAGCAACTAGAGCACCCCTACACATTTATTTCTTACATAATATTTAAAAAGGTTTTGTATGTTTCATAAAATGTAAAAAGTTGTATTTTTTATTCACGTTATTGTTCTGTTTATGTTCTAAAAGATACAGTCCAGTAAAATGCACATAATTTTAAAGAAATCAATATGAAAATGTAGTTAATGATCATAGACACAATATTTACACTCTTATGAAATGAAATACTTTCACCGTATGTATATGTATAATATATGGATGAATGTACATTGCACAGGCAACGTTCCTAAAAATGAATATTTTATAAGAAAACGCACAATCGTTACAATTTTCTTAACAAATAAGTAATATCTTTTGTACACAATAGCAATAACGCAGATTTTCAGTTATGAAATGAACGCAGTATTTTGTACTAGTAGATCAGAAAGTAAGAAAATAACATTTAACGATAAAATATATCCGTATATAAGCAGTGGTTCTTGTGTAATCTTTGAACTTTTTGTATTTCACCCTTCATCTTTCTCCCTCTTCTTTTCCTATACTTTTGCATAATATAGAGTTCATACCATTGAATGAAATCATTTTATGTTAATATTTTATTTACATAATATATGTAGGTAGAAAAAATAAAACAAGAATACTGATGATTTCTTTATTTGAATTTAGATTTAAAGTAATAAGAGGGCAGCACCAAACGTGCAGTTTCTGTAACGTGGACCACACAATCAAAGGTCTTCTGCGTACGCAACATACGCCACGTGGTAGGGATTACAAAATTCCAATTGGTCCTTATGCACGATACGAAAATCCACGACATCGAGTGCCCTCTATCGTCCATGAAACATTTGTCCCTTTCACGGAACTCCTGTTCTTTCCCAGGGAGTCCGCCATTGTTGGTGCACGTATATTTCTGACCAGGCCAACGGAAATCGGATAACATCCAAAATGGTATGTATGATCGTTATAAAGTATTACGAACGCGTAAATCTGTACAGTGTGTGGAGTGCAGAGGTATGAATATTTTTGAAGACCAAATGTCACCTGGGTTTGGAAAAATCGAAAACTGCTGGATTACTTGGGATTGCGCAACTCCTTTCGAAGGCAGATTTTGAGGCTCGCGATGGATGTGACGGGGCAAAGATCTCCGAAGGTTCTGCAAATATTCTGGCGGAACATTCCTGAAAATTTTATACCGCAATGCTTCAAAGTTATCGATGTTCGAAGTTCAAATATGTTTTGCCCCTTGTTCGGCAGACAACGTGTCATGGAGCTTCGTAGAGCTCTTGATACGAGTCAGCATGTTCTCTCGAACATCTTGAGTCTGAGAAAAAGATTTAGAAGGGGGATGGTTACCTGAATATATATTAATTATCATTGTACAGAGTAAAACGTTGAATGCTTGGTATAATATATATAGAAAATGAAGAAATTATACCTAGGGCCAGAAATTACTATAGCACAAAAAATGTGTAGCTACATGGAAGATACTTTCTTTTCTTGTAAATTCATAATTATGTATCAGTATGGTTGACCAAGATTTGTGAAGCATTAATCCCAATATGGTCAGTATCAAGATTATTAACTTTTTTAAATCTTATGCTGTAAAACGATATACAATAAACTGATTTAACATTTTTATTATTTTAACAATAGAATTTGTTAAACACGAAATCCTGCTCTTTATCATAAAAATCCAAATCTGTACTTCATTTCAGTTTCTGTATTTATGCTTTATACTAAGTAAAACATTATTTGTTTCAGGTGAACTTCACAGTAGATGAGATACGTACCATGATGGACAAAAAGAAAAACATCAGAAATATGTCCGTCATCGCGCACGTTGATCATGGAAAGTCAACTCTGACTGACTCCCTTGTGTCCAAGGCTGGTATCATTGCTGGTGCCAAAGCTGGTGAGACAAGATTCACAGATACACGTAAAGATGAACAAGAACGTTGTATTACGATTAAATCTACGTAAGATTGTAGTAAATACTTTTGTTAAATGTTAATTTTTAATCTATTTTTTTTTATAATTTGTATTAAATTTTTTTTTTATAGGGCTATTTCTATGTTCTTTGCCCTTGACGAGAAAGATTTAGTTTTTATCACAAATCCTGATCAACGTGACAAAGATGAAAAGGGTTTCTTGATTAATCTTATTGATTCACCTGGACACGTTGATTTCTCTAGCGAAGTAACAGCCGCACTTCGTGTAACTGATGGAGCTCTCGTAGTTGTTGATTGTGTATCTGGTATGTATTTTAGAAATTTTTATTTCTATAAAATTCCCTTCCAGCACTAAAAGCGTTACTCTGTAGTGTACAAACTGGTTCAACTGGTTAGTACACCTGGACAGTGTTAATGGTGCATCAATGGAAGAAGATCAAATAAGCAGATGTGTTTAAACGCTGTTAGTGGACCTCTATCCTTATGTCCGTGACTAATATGCTACGACACAATTGCTACAATTTTAACATACTATCTAATCATTAAAAATTATATAATCGTTATCTTTTAATTGTATCTAGGTGTTTGTGTACAAACGGAAACTGTACTTCGCCAAGCTATTGCCGAACGTATAAAGCCTGTACTGTTCATGAATAAGATGGACAGAGCATTGTTGGAACTTCAACTTGATAGTGAAGATCTTTATCAAACTTTTCAACGTATTGTTGAAAACGTTAACGTTATAATTGCTACGTATTCAGATGATGATGGCCCTATGGGTGAAGTTAGAGTAAGTTACTAATATATTTCTATATTTTTCATGTAGAATTTCATTTTTGTATTAATTTCATGTTTGTTATAAATAGGTAGACCCAAGTAAAGGATCCGTCGGTTTCGGTTCTGGTCTTCACGGTTGGGCATTTACGTTGAAACAATTTTCTGAAATGTATGCCGAGAAATTCAAAATCGATGTTGTAAAGCTAATGAACAGATTATGGGGAGAAACTTTCTTCAATCCTAAAACTAAGAAATGGAGCAAACAGAAGGAACCAGATAACAAACGATCCTTCTGTATGTACGTCTTAGATCCAATTTATAAGGTATATTGACGCTATGTAACTAGTTTTATTGCACAAATATTGTTTTGTCTAATACTAATACATATGAAACTAATTAATAGGTATTTGACAGCATTATGAACTATAAAAAAGAAGAGGCAGATAACTTACTGCAGAAATTAGGAATTGTTCTGAAGCCAGAAGATAAAGATAAGGATGGTAAAGCTCTTCTGAAGGTAAGATTTCGTTTGGTTCAACTATTCAGTTTTATTTTTTAAGGAACATTTATGATGATTGTTCAAAAAGCTTTTCTGACGCCTCTTCTGAAATTTTTTGAATGTTATCGTGAACTTTACTGACATTTTAAATTTAAATATTTTTAATTATAATTTGTAATGCACAATTATACATTAGTACTTCTTTGTGGATTAGGTTGTCATGAGAACATGGTTGCCAGCTGGAGAAGCTTTACTTCAGATGATTGCCATCCACTTACCATCTCCTGTTACTGCTCAAAAATACCGTATGGAAATGTTGTATGAAGGTCCATTAGATGACGAGGCTGCAATTGGTATTAAGGTATTTATATTTCCTATATTTTTATATTACGTGATTTATTATATATATGATGAATTTATTTACAGACCTGTTCTGAGTTATATATGATAGATAATAAATAAGTTACCTGATAAAATATGTAACCGAACTTTATGCATTCTAAAATTAATTATCCTTTTTAACGCCAATTCTTTATATTTGTACAGAACTGTGATCCAAATGGCCCACTTATGATGTACGTTTCAAAAATGGTACCGACCTCGGATAAAGGTCGTTTTTATGCTTTCGGTCGTGTATTCTCTGGTAAAGTGAGCACTGGTATGAAAGCACGTATTATGGGGCCTAACTTCCAACCAGGCAAAAAAGAAGATCTTTACGAAAAAGCTATCCAGCGTACAATTTTGATGATGGGTCGTTATGTTGAAGCTATTGAAGATGTGCCTTCTGGTACGTAAATTTCTTTAAACGTCTGAATTTAAGATCCAATAATCCGGTGATGATTGTTCTCATATATCTGTACTGATACCTATTGATCGACACTAGAACGGCCAACTGAAATTTATAAGTCAACGGTGTTGAAGTATTAGAAAATTATTTATATATAATTACTAATTAATCCATTGCGTTTATCCAGGAAATATTTGCGGACTTGTTGGTGTTGATCAATTCTTAGTAAAGACTGGTACTATTACTACATATAAAGATGCGCATAACATGAAAGTCATGAAGTTCTCAGTATCACCCGTTGTGCGTGTTGCTGTCGAGCCGAAGAATCCAGCCGATTTACCCAAGTTGGTCGAAGGTAATGTCCATTAACATATTCAGTGAAATAAAATATACTAGAATAAAAGGATGAAATTTTACATTGAGCATTGGGTTATGATAAACCGTGATTATAGTTGACATCTGAATAATATTTACTGAAATTGTATTTTACATGTAATAAAAAATTTGGTTTAAAGAGATGTTTGTTTTCAGGTCTCAAACGTTTGGCTAAGTCAGATCCTATGGTGCAATGTATTATCGAAGAATCTGGAGAACACATTATCGCCGGTGCTGGAGAACTTCACTTGGAAATTTGTTTGAAAGATTTGGAGGAGGACCATGCTTGCATACCCATTAAAAAATCGGATCCTGTTGTATCTTACAGAGAAACAATTTCAGAACAATCGAATCAAATGTGTCTTTCAAAATCACCTAATAAACATAATCGTCTGTTCATGATGGCATATCCCATGCCTGATGGTTTAGCTGAAGATATTGACAGAGTATGTGTTTCAGCTGCTTATGAATATTATGAATAATATTTTTTTTTATAAGTAATATTTGTAACTTCTATAGGGAGATGTTAACCCAAGAGACGACTTCAAAGTACGTGCTCGTTATTTGAGCGAAAAGTATGATTATGATGTAACTGAAGCCAGAAAGATTTGGTGCTTCGGACCTGACGGAACTGGTCCCAACATACTTGTAGATTGTTCGAAAGGAGTACAATATCTTAACGAAATTAAAGATTCAGTTGTAGCTGGATTCCAGTGGGCTACGAAAGAGGTATAATTTTTTTCCAAATAATGAACATTAATTATTATTATTTATACTAACTCAAAATATTTTTTATAGGGTGTACTTTCGGAAGAAAATTTGAGAGGTGTACGTTTCAACATTCATGATGTGACATTACATGCTGACGCTATTCACAGAGGTGGTGGTCAAATTATCCCTACCACGAGACGTTGCCTTTATGCATGTCTTCTCACTGCCTCTCCTCGACTTATGGAACCAGTTTACTTATGTGAAATTCAGGTAAGCTAAGCTTGCCGAAAAATTGGTAATAATTATCCATTCGTTGTTATTAATAAAATTAAATCAATTCTATATAGTGCCCAGAAGTAGCAGTTGGTGGTATTTATGGTGTGCTTAACCGAAGAAGAGGACACGTATTTGAAGAACAGCAAGTTGCTGGTACACCTATGTTTGTAGTTAAAGCATATCTTCCAGTAAACGAGTCCTTTGGCTTTACTGCTGACTTACGTTCTAATACTGGAGGACAAGCTTTCCCACAATGTGTATTTGACCATTGGCAAATTCTACCTGGTGATCCAATGGAACCGAGCACTAGACCTTACCAAGTTGTGCAAGTAAGTTTCAGGAGTTAGTTTATAGGTGCTACAAACATGAACCACGATCAAAACTGGTGGTAATAAGTAACTTTAAATACATTACCATTTTTAATCTCGTGGGAGAGAAACTTGTTTTTTGTTTTGGTGTTCCAGTAGTACGTCCTGGTTTGCCTGAATAGGGAAACATACAGACGTTTTCTTCCTGTATACCTATACGCATTTGATAACTAACGGGTATTAATTATAAATATTTTCATTTTTACAGGATACACGTAAAAGGAAGGGATTGAAGGAAGGTCTCCCAGACTTGAACGCATACCTTGATAAATTGTAACCATAGATTCGCGCACCATATTTAAATATCTATTTAAATATTGTAATTCAATTAATATTGCTCGGACCGTATACAATCTATATCGGTTTATTATGAACTTTGTTTTGCGCAAAGAACCGTGAGAAATACACAATTATAAATATGGAAAAAGATAATAAATTGTAATTATAACGAAAACTATGTATGCTAGTGCAAGAAGAAATATTTTATACATTTATTTAATTAAGTACGCCACGTTTATCGAGATCTAGTGGCTTTATGTTTTTTAGCATATCAGCAACAAATAAAGACTCGATTGTTATTTTTATTGTGGTGGCAATGGGTTGCCAATTTCGTATTAGAAAAATGAAAAAAATTGTAATTTTTACATTGCTTTTTTACTACAATTAGTCTGTTATTTTTCTGTTGGTGTTTTCAAATAATTGGACGAATCCCGAAGGTATTAATGATGAAAGAAAACAGCAATGTACTCATACTGAAAAACCAATACATCAAGAAATTAAAGATGAAATTCAGAAACAAATGTCTTTTCAGTGTCTTGATTTGTTAAGAATACCCGATCATTTTGTGTTAATGGAGTCAAGGCATTTTAGACAAAGTAAAGTTAGAATAACGTAGAGATTTGCATGAAATTGCAAATTATGAATTTATTTTATTTTAATTATAAAATAAAGTATATGACCATATCGATATGCTTAATTGGAGTGTGATGAAATACATATAACAGACCTATTTTTTTAATATATTTTTCTTTTGTAGTCTATTAATTTTTTTTGTACATATTGCCACATATAATTAAAATACACTTTTCAATTTATAAATACTAAAGTTAGTAAATATGCCACCTTAACTGAAATGAATATCCTGATTTCAGTGATCCATTAAAATGTTAGGTACATCTTAAAAGTACGAGCCTAAAAAATAAAATCTTCATATTTGATTGAAGTATATTATAAATTAGTAAAATTGTATTTACAAAATCGCAAGATGTTGGTAAATTGCATTGGCATCTTCGTAAAGATTTACACCGGATTAATCGTATTTTTGTAAATTCCAGCTAGCGATTGAACGGCTAAAAGTATAATGTCTCTTCTAGAAATCCCGGTAAGTGCGTGATGCCATTCGTTATGAGGAATCTTAAAAAATATATTTTACGTTTGTATTACTAATAATATTGTTTAATTTTTTTTTTTATTTCAAACACACCTGTAAACTGCTCGCCATTAAGCTACCGACAGTAACTGCCAAGCCGGACCATTTCAGAGGATAATCTTCAGGTGTAGCCTCCTGTGCCATTGTCACTATTTGGCTTGGTACTGGCGTCATTTGGGTGAACGTTTGTAAATTCACGTTGCGTTTAGGATCGTTCAGAAGTACTACACCTAAATCATACCACTTGTCTTCACCGACTTCTAACAAAAAATTTTCTACAGCAATTATAGGTATATCCTTTGGAAGTGATTGAATATTTCGTGCAAAATTGATTCTCTCTTCTGCTCCTTTTACTCCAGCAGCAAAGCCAACTGGTTGTGCAGCAACAGCTGAACTTTCTACTGCTACACCACTACAAAATCACTTGTTCGAATAAGTATGTACATGCAATACTAAACAAATTGAACCACGCACCTAAATTCTATATCATTACTTACGTCACTGTTGCTTTTCCAAAAACGGTCTGGAAAGCTTGACGCACAGGACTTATTTTCGCATCTTTATCAGATGCGACCACAATCTCCATATCACCACCAGAATCTGAAATGTACATTTTCCAAAGAGCTCGTATATATTGTACATTGACTAACATGTTGTACAGCTGCTGTGTGTTACTGTGATGTTTTTTTCATGTATGTACAAAATGAAACTTATATACTCTGTTCCTTAAATTTTTGTTCCCATAGCTGTGTATGTATACTGTTTTCAAAGAATTGTACACGAGGCTGCAAACTTGCAGTCAATACAACATTTTATTTGCAACATTTTTTGAATCATAGCCTTAAATTATTGCTGTCTCCATTTACACTGTAATTTATGGAAGTTCTATGTTTTGTATATAATATTTATATCACTGTTAAACGTGTACAGAGGCACAGTTTAAATTATTGAATAAACAGATAATAAATGAAGTATTTTATACTAGAAACTTTAAAAATTGTATTGTAAATGACAGCTGAAAGAGTGTACACCACAGTTCATTGAATTAAGATTGGCTTTCAGTTCATCCAAAAATAACATAGCACATATATATATATACACATTTTCTTCAGTTATGATGCAATAATATAATTGCACACAGACAGTGATAACATATTGGAGTACAAAACTTGAGGAAACAGAACATCGATGAAGTTAACAAATGTACAAACTAAAAGAAAACTTGAATCTGGTATGCCTTAATCACTAATTGTTTACTTACAAATGAACTCACGCATCTGAGGATCTAATGTTGTGATCATTGTGTTCATACTGTTTTTTGCTTTTTCAGCAACTTTACTTAAAACATTGCTATTCACTACTGTTTCTTTAACCCATGATAGGAGACCACCGCCAACAATTCCTGTATCCTGTATCAAACTTTCTGGTGGCACTGTATTTTGCACATTTTGTATGGACGGAGTTACAGTAGTAGATGTAGTCACCTGATGTGGTTCCTGCTGCAATACCTTAGGTTGCATGGTGGTATTTAACATTGATTTATTGGGTTCAGGTTCATGATGTTTCTTTTGCGTTGGTATTTGCAAATTAGTGGATTTTTCGGATACTGTCATTCCATGATTTGAAATGAAGCTAGGTAATGCACTAGGCGGTGCTACGTTTGATAACAAATTTCCGGTAGATGTTGATACACCTAATGGCATTAACAAAGATGTGGATGAAGATAAACTGCTGAAAGAATCTGAAAATTATATCGCTTTAAGTAAGAATTTTTATGCCGCGAGTATATGTATATTTTTATTTGTCTTTCATCACGCTTTTTACGTTTTTGAACTTTTTAAAATTGAATTTCTTGCAGTTTTTTGTCTACTGTATAAATCATTATAACAGGCAATTATAATACATCAACTTTTTTTCAATCGTCAGAGTTTGACAGATACGCAGGTGTTTATGTTTTGCATTTTAATCTCACCTGTTTTCACAATTTCTCCCGATGCGGATGATTCGTCCGTCTTTCTTTCAACAAATTCGAATGTTGATTCCCCATTGGAATCGTCGGTCATTGCTGGTTAACTTTTCTAAATTTACACGTAAAGATATCCAAAATTATGGTGTGAATTTTCTATATGCACTTATGTATGCAAAAGGCATAATACTTTAACTGTGTGTGTGTTACTAGTAGCGCTAGTAGCTAACTTCATTATTTTGCACTTACCTGAAGGTAGGATTCTTTAGGACTGACACTACATCCTCGAAAAAATCACTAGGATTAAAGCGAAGAGTGGCGAAGACGATATAAATATCCGTGTTGCACTGAAGCGCATCAGTCTGTCTTCGGACGCGGAAGAGGTAGGAGGGTTTACGGTTGTTTATTACAAGTGGCGCCATCTATACAAAGAGGGCTCAAACTACTCATCAAGTTACCGATCGATTTATCGACAGGGCAGTCGGTAACTTATCTTTTAGTTTCAAACGCTCTCCGATAGTTGGCGTTAGTGTTCCCTGAAAATCAATCGGTAAGTTGTCATGTAGTTTCCGCCGTTTTTGTATAGATTGTGCTAGTGTCAGATTTAAAAACATTTAATTTATGGCGGTCTTTTTAAAATGCAAGTTTGATGGATTGGCCAAGCAGACACGACTATAATACAAACTGGGTATCTGAGACCCCCAAAACTTAAAACCTCTTGAGAACAAAGACATGCCCAGTCATTTTGTCTCTGTAACCACTGCTGTAATTGTACCTTCATATTTGATTGGACGTATACACGGTTTTTGAACACATTCAAACAATGCTAAGAACAATTTTCATGTTAATGTGAACAAAGAATTGACAATTATTAAATAAAAAAAATATAACATAACTTATATTACTAATTTCACTTATTTTTATACAAAATTTATAGGACAGTTATAAATTATATCGTTTAACTTGACAGGTAATTATTTACGTTATTTATAAAAGAAAATGTTGGATTTAAATTGTAATAAAAAATTATATATTAATCTTAAAAAGGAGAACATATGTTATACTTTATATATACTTTTGTAGATGCATTTTTTTGCCATAATGAAGTAATTTAGATTAAGTTAACCTAAGCTAAATTTATTTATTTAATTATTTTAGTAGTTATACTATGAAATTTTATTTTAAAGATAAGGAAGTAAGCATTGTAATGGGAGAAAGTCCTTGGAAAGATTGGAGACCTTTTGTTTATGGGGGTTTAGCTTCAATTGTTGCAGAATTAGGTTTGTAATATTAAAATTTTATAATTTTTCACGAAAGAAAACTATTAAAAACATTATATAATTTTTATTAATGTATGTTTTCCAATTAGGTACTTTTCCTTTAGATACTACAAAAACTCGATTACAAGTTCAAGGACAGAAATTAGATAAAAGGTATACTCGCTTAAAATATTCTGGTATGACAGATGCTTTGCATCAAATATCACAGCAGGAAGGATTTAAAGCTCTATATTCTGGGTAAGTGTACATATGATTTTATAATATTTACTTGTAAAAAAGAACATGTAATTATTTTTTTTATTATTTTAATGATATATTCTAAGTATCATATTATTGGATTTCATGTTATTACTAATATTTTTGTTGTATAGAATTAGTTCAGCTATTTTAAGGCAAGCTACTTATGGAACTATAAAATTTGGCACGTATTATTCTCTAAAAGAGGCAGCCATGGATAAGTGGGAAACAGATGATTTAGTTGTTATAAATATTGTATGCGCTGCATTAGCAGGAGCTATTTCAAGCGCAATAGCTAATCCTACTGATGTAGTGAAAGTTCGTATGCAAGTAACTGGGATTAACTCAAATTTATCATTATTTGGTTGTTTTCAAGATGTGTATCATCATGAAGGTATTCGCGGATTATGGAGGGTATGTAAACCATCTATTAATTTAATTACAAGTTCCTAATATATTCTGTTTTATTTGTATTTAAAATTTTATGCACAGGGCGTAGGACCCACAGCTCAAAGAGCAGCAATTATTGCAGCTGTAGAATTACCTATATATGATTATAGTAAAAAGAAGTTTACCACTGTCTTAGGAGATAGTGTTGGTAATCATTTTGTGTAAGTAAATAATATATTTATGCAAATTTATTTCTCTTTCATGGGGTACAATTTAATATAAATATCTAAAAATCTATGTATTGTTTATGTTACTACTATCACTAAAAAAGTAATGACAATATTAAGTTTAATTATCATTGTTGAAGTTTAATATAAAATCGCAAGGGTTGTACTCAACCCTTATCCAGGCTGTTGGTGTTCATCATGTATTATATTCGTTATATTTTTATTATACTAACAAATGATGAATGAAAACAAATTTCAAGTGCTCATTTATAGTAAGTGATGTCATGTGAGTATACTTGAATCAGAAGCAGTTTATTAACCATTTATTAACGTTTTCTTCTGTAATATTACAATTAATTGTTAATGTTTTTGAATAAATTATATAATAAATTCTTTAGTAAATTATATGGTATTATTTATCACTAATGATTTAATATTATGTATGTTGTTATTATAAAATAATATGATAAATTTTACTAACAGAAATATTTTTATACTTAACAAATAAAATTTTATGACAATTTTATTTCGTAGAAAATGAATAAAGTGAAAGATAATTAATGACATAATCTGCCCAAAAATATTTATACTGTAACGTTAATTAGGAAGGAAGTAATATTTTTCTAAAAATGAAAAATTTTATTTCCAGGTTCTTTTACACTGTCATGCACATGGGCACATGCAGTACGTGAACATTGAGATGACCACAGAGATTCAAAATGGAAGTTGTATTTAATATTTTTTATTTCATATAAAAATCATTACACAGATGATTGACCATCTTAAATTGCATCATGAATTACTTTTTGGTTAGCACTTATACATAAAATTTACAAATAATCTGTCGCTTAGTTTTTATAAATTCATACTTTTCTTCATTGGTTCTATGTACACCGAATATTTTCATTCTGCTGTGTTTTATTAGTAAGACAAAAATGCAAGATTCAGTCTGGCAGACATCACAGTTCATATATTAATTCACAGTGCCTGGATAAGGGTTGTTCTAATGGAATAAAGCCACAATGAAAATTGAAGTAAAAAAAAAGAACTATATAATTGTGCTAATGTAAATTTTAACGTTCAAAAATGATATGAAGTATATGATACATATCGTATGTCATATTAATATATGTTTTAGGTCCAGTTTTATAGCTAGTATGGGAAGTGCAATAGCTTCTACTCCCATAGATGTTGTTCGTGTAAGTTTAATTAATCAATTAATATCATATTTTGAGTTCTTCTTACTGTCATATCAATAATGTTTTAGACGCGCTTAATGAACCAAAGGAGGGTACATAATACAAGTGGTATATTACAACCTCATATTTATAGTGGAACTATAGACTGTTTTGTTCAGGTATGTAATATCAAATATTGAATATCGTGATACCTTGAATATCGTTAACAATCATACATATACTTTTTGTTTTTATAGACCTTTAAAAATGAAGGATTCTTAGCCCTCTATAAAGGTTTTGTACCTACTTGGTTTAGAATGGGGCCATGGAATATTATCTTTTTCATAACATACGAACAATTAAAAAAGTTAGATCATTCGAACTTAGCGTTAAAGAAAATATTTGAAAACTCGGATGAATAATTATAAACGGTTGAAAATAGGTAAAATAAAGAACTATATACGTGTGTAGATGTGACAAAACAGTGGTATAAATGACAGAAAATACCTTAAGTTTATATTGTATAATTTATTTTTATGAACATTAGATATATGTTAAAGAAAAACTATCTAAGAAATAGTATAAATAGAATTTATTTTTTCATGATGATTAGATTCTAATCATTAATGAAAATATATTTACAGTAAACGAAATGTGATGTGCTCTACAAAAAGATATTATAACTTTTCTATTTGTTCAAAGTCAGAAAGATTACTAGTCAATATATAATTCCTAATAAATAAAAATCATAAGACATATCCCGTTTGTATTTTATATATACGTTTCTACGACAATTTTAATTTCATAAATCTTTCTCCATTTAAATACTACCCGTAATTATATTACTTTTATGTTATTTGTGTTTGTATTAACTTCCTCAGGAAATATGTCCAAAGAACGATTTACTATAGGGTGAAAGTTGTAAAAATTGAAACAAAGCATATTTTATAGAACAAGAAAAACAGTATTTTAAACGTAACATGTTTATATTTATGATGTTTTATAAATTGTTAGAAATGTACAGTGGTACAACATAAAATATATTAAAATATTATAAACTTTGGAACATAGACTATTAATGAATATTGTAACAATTTTAATCGAATACGGTACAACTGTTGTAACTTATAATCAAATAAATCCTTGAGTCATAATATAAGTATCACAAGAAGAATTATAACTATTTACAGTTCCATATAATTATCTTTTTATCTTTTCCACCGGTTAAAATTATATTATTTTCTGTCGATACTGATAACGCATTAACTGGTCCTAAAAATAAACATCTTTTTAATTATATATATTAATTAAATAAATATATACAATTCAAATATACCCTACCATCATGACAATGTATTTTTGTTATAAAAGTTCCACCTTGACGATTCCATACATTAATATTTCCATTGCTATCTCCTATCAATAAAAAGGTTTCAAACCATGATAACGTTAGAGGTTCGTATTCTAAGGTTGTACGATAAATCTGAGTACTTGTAAAGACATCAATTATGTTCAATACTTTGTCCTGTGCAGAGGATATTATACTTCTCCCTTCTTGATCAAACAGCATTGCATTTATTTTACAAGTATGAGCTACACAAAAATTCAACGTTATTATATGTTAGAGCAACAAAAAATAATTATTTTTAAAACATACGTTTCACAGTGAATTGTAAGTCATATGTATCCATATTCCACAAAAAAATTTCGCCGTCTTCTGTGCCAGATACTAATAATGTTTCATCTCTATAAATGTGTTTAGGATTAAAAAAATTTCACCAATGCAATATTTAATAAAAAAAATGCAAGAAGCTTACCTTGAAACATTAATACAAGTTACTTTAGAATCATGGTCTAATTGTGCAATAAGGCATTCTGCTGGTTTGATTTTAGTTCCCGAAATATAGCTCTGCCAAAGTTTTGCCGTACAGTCCCATGAACCAGATATAATAATTTGACGCGAGGAACTTAATGCTAAACAAGAAATGGCATCTTCGTGTCCTAGCAATGTGTCTATTACTCGTCCAAATTCAATATCATAAAATATTCTATAAAATTACGATGATTAATGAATGATTTTAAATATATGAAATATACATATATGTTGAAATATCGCTTACAGTGAATTGTCCCAGGAACCTGCAACTAATATATTGCGATGAAAAGATGTATAATATGATATGCAAGAAGAAAGTGGTAATGGTGATAAAGACACGCTACGCCTTAATTTTTTATTTTTTATACTGTATAACTTAAGCATTCCATCTTGTCCAACAGATATTACTTCATCAATCTCTTCTTTAATTATTATTGCAATGCTACTCACACTGTCTTTGTGAGATTGAAAGGCCACTGATTCACATAATTCAAACGTCTTTGTTTGATTTTCATCATTTTCTATAAAAGATCGACGTTTATTTACTCAACTAACAGTTAATTTAAAAATAAAAATTATATATAGCATACCTGTTTCATTTTTAACTGAAGTTAAGGCAGTTTCAACATACAATTTATCCAACAATGAAACAGAACGTTTAGGATGTGGTAAAGTAAAAATCTGTTTTGGTATTTGACCAAATTCCATAATCTGTATTTCTAAACCGTGTCTATCGTTAATATCACGAATGGTATCTAAATCTACTGCTCCCTCATAGCACAAATGAAAAAATACTGAAATACAGTGAGTTATCAGATAATCATTCTTTGTACATGAAATTTTTTAATTAAGTATCAAATTACCATTATCAGCTTTATCTGCCTCAACTCCTCTTTGTTTGTATCCAAAAATTAAGTCAACCCAATGATGAAGATTTTGAGAAACATAATCACTCTCTAAAGCATTTCTTAATACTTGTATAAAATGAGCTGGCCCTAAAATTTAAGAACCAGTTTGTATTTATATTCTGAACAATTACTATTTCCAAAGAGTAAATGTATACCATTTGCCCATGGTGGTAACTGTACATCTCCTATTTTTGTACCATCATGTCGGTAACCGAAATCGATACCGTAACTATTTACTAAAAAATCTCCACCATTGTTCGTGTCATAAAATTCCGGGATCAGTTCTTTAAAGTCAGACATGTTCACCAAAACATTTTTCCATACGTCAGCTACACTGTTAGGTGTTTTTGTTGGTAAGAGTGAAACAAAAAATCGATTCTGCAGAGTTGACAGAGTAATTATGTACTTTTTACAGTATAAAAAGCAATTACCATAAAATTTTGCCTTGTCTGTGCGATTTAAAATTATGTTCACATGTATTTAATATAATTTACTATATTATCGTTTCAGTTGTAATGGTATAAACGATTCTCTAATGTTTATCAATTGAAATTCATACTTTTATAGCATCATTACAGTGTACACTTTCATAAAAAAAATACATACATACCTATTAAACATCCTATCTGGATGATCAAATCTTCCATTTTGTAAACAAAGCATATACTGAGGATATTTTCGCACTAAATAAAATAATACGAATCCTGGCGCACTGTAATGAGAACCATACAAAAATTTTGGTTCTGACATTTCCAAATATCGTTCCTATAATATAATAATATCTTCATTCTATCCTTAATCTATTTTAAATTACTCAGCATAAAAGATGAATACCTTCAACCTTTCTAATCGATTTTTTTCAAGCGCACCAATAGGTTTTGAAAGATCCCTGTAAATACTAGAATCATTTAAATCCAATGTGGAAGATGTATAATCTTGTATTACCCAAGGCATTACTGGATACTGAGTCAAATCATGAAATGTTCTGTCTGCCAAACTAAAAAATGTATATATAACCAAAATATATCAAAGTAATTTTTTATTACAATTAATAACGATATAAAAATTACCTATTGATGTATAAAAGGTAATCATAATTTGATAAAGAACCATTCTGCCATCTCATAGTCATTTGATTCTGGGGAACCCTTTCCAAAGAAACTGCGGACTGATTTAATAAACTTGTATACAATTCATCTCTATCATTTGGATTTTTTAATGATATAAACAGATGTTCAACTTTATTTTCCGGATGTCGTAACCATTTAATTTCAAGTCCCTGTTATAAAAAAAAAAAATGCTGTAGATCAAATTATAAGTATGATTGTACACTGATGTACAATGTTATACTTACAACTTGTCTTAAGAGAAATCTTCTTTTAATAATATTAATAATATCCTTTAGTTGTATCTTTAGAACTGGATGCTAAGAATTACCAATCGTTACTATTGTTATCATTATGAATTATTATTATCATAAAGTACACACCTGATCCAGATTATTATAAGGCTGAAAATAAATCCTTGAAGTTGTTAGAAGTATTCTTCCTGGATTTATAACAAGAGGTAATACTTTATTCGCTTGAGTCTCTAACACTACTTGTTCATATAAATCTTCCAACCATGATGTATCAAATGATACTCTAGATTGTCGCGAATGCACAATAGCCATAATCTGTACAATAATAACAGTTTAATAATTTCATTTTTCAATGTAATAGTAGAAGTGATGATTATTGAAATTACCATAGCATTTTGTTCAGCAGTTGGCAACGTAGCTGCTCTGAGTAGTTGTAAAATTTGTGGAAGACAATCATCCACTTTTGCATAATTAAAATAAAAGTAGAAAGTAGCATTTTCATGTATAAATTTATATGGTGCAAGTATGTTTTTCTCTAACATTTCAACATACTGCTTACATTGAATCATTAACACATTACCACATCTGACAAATAAAACTAAATTTATAAAATCTTCAATGTACTGTATACATGTTTTTAAATTTTAAAAAAAATTATATATACTAACTTTGCGAGGGCAGTGTTAGATTTACATTGATCAACTGCTATAGTTTCTTTAAGTTGAATTTTAATTAAGGGCTGATTAATATCCTTATTTACAAATACTAAGGATTTTGAACATAATTTTAATCTTCCATCTATCCACTGATCCTGTGAACTTGAAATATCAAGTACCTTCATCTGGACACTATAATCTTCAAAAAATATCTCCCCTGGTTCTAAGAGGAGCATTGTAAACCTAATACAAAATAACCCATTATATAAATATATTTATAATAGTAAACTCCAGTATATGGTAAATTATAATTAGTGATATAATTTTATATAATTCCATTACAATTGTAGACTACAACTAACAACAAATGGATAAATAAATTTTATTTATAAATACAATTTTATAAAATATTAAATACCTACCTCTCTTTCTCCATTTTTATATAAATTTAATTATACCTATAAATTATAATAAATGATACACATGATTTATTGAAATATTTCTTACATATCAAATTTACATGATCATTTCTCTACAAATAAAATAATGTTTTATTATAGGTTAATGACAGTATGAATCATTATCAGTGACTACAGATAGTAAAAGACTGGACATGCCTTTGTTCTCGAGAGGTCATGATTTTGGGATCCCAGACACCCCCAAACGCAGTTAGATCTTATGTGCGGAACACAGCCAGTATAATAATCGTGCCTGTTTCACCAGTCGGAAAGACCCAATTTTCACTCCTTTTGATTCTATTTTTTCTTTAAATCAGTCGAAAGCAGCACAAAACTGAACAATTATTATTGTAACAAGACCGAAAAAGACATGTTTCCGCATTATTAAAAGGAAGGATTTGCTGTATTTATCTTCTTAGCTTATTGAATAAACTCATTAGGAGCATGAACGTGTTGATTTTATTACATCTGTGTGTCTCGCTTATTATTTTATCCTTTTATTCATTATTTTACCACCGTCCCAAGTCATTTATTATTTTATCCTTCTTCGTGGGCTTCGGCTCAATTATTTATTATTTTTTTGTCTTTAAGGGCCTCGCGAGGCCCAATCCTTTATCACTGCATCCCTTACATGTCTACATCCTTAACATCCCTGTATCCCTTATATCACTACATTCCCTATATTCCTGCATCTCGCATATGCCGATATTCCTTATACCTCGGCGGCATCCCTTACATCTCTGTATCCCTTACACTCCTGAATTCTCCCTGCATCTCTTGTATCCTTTCAACCCTTATAATAAATATATTATAAATAATATACTTATGGCCACTGGTTCGAATACAGGTAAGTAAAGGTAAGTAAAGGTAAGTAAAGTCTCGTGAAAAATAATTTTAAATTTAATTTGTGGCAAAATTTAGTTCCCTTTTTGCCACCAGAGGGCGCTGTTTCGACCTCGAAATCTTAGTTCAAATTTTTCCCGCTAGAGGGCCAAAATCTCGGCAAGGTTTAGTTCCTTTTTTTGAAACCAGATGGCGCTGACTCGACGTCGAAATTTTAGTTCAACTTTTTCCCGCTAGGGGGCCAAAATTTCGGCAAGCTTTAGTTCCTTTTTTGGAAACCAGATGGCGCTGACTCGACGTCGAAATTTTAGTTCAACTTTTTCCCGCTAGGGGGCCAAAATTTCGGCAAGCTTTAGTTCCTTTTTTGGAAACCAGATGGCGCTGACTCGACGTCGAAATTTTAGTTCAACCTTTTCCCGCTAGGGGGCCAAAATTTCGGCAAGCTTTAGTTCCTTTTTTTGCCGCCAGGAAGCGCTATAATGGGATGCATACAAAAGAGATGCAAGGATGTAATGGATGCATGGATGCAGGGATGTAAGGGATGCAGGGGTGTAAGGGATGCAGGGATGTAAGGAATGCAGAGATGTAAGGGATGCAGGAATGTAAGGAAAGCAGAGATGTAAAGGATTCTTTTTTTTTGAACGTGGGGAAATCTTTCATAAGATCCCCCACCGACCCCTGGGGGACAGCGGGGGAGTGTCAGATTCCTCCTGACTAAAACCCCACGGCGACCGACACTGGCGCTAATCAAGTGGTCATCATTCAACGAACGCCTTAAAGTTAACGCAAATAATCTTTACAACATTTACAAGTGTACTTTTCAATTTATTTATAATACAGTTACAATACAATTATTCATAAGTACATGTTTAAAAAATAAATAACAATAAGTTAGCATAAATATTGACATTCTCCAGAAAACAATGTTAAATTCCCACTTATATAGCTATAAAGTATTTTGTACATTATCAGAATTGCTACAGAAATGTGATGTATGCATTAACACTTACTGAAGGTACTACATATAATACTTGAATAACTCAGATCTTGATTTATTTATTAATAGATAAGAATTTAATAGGCATTTGTTCAGTCTTAAATAGTATAGACATTGGATGGTATACAAAAATTCATCAATCACAATATATGAATTTTGTACTTTTTAAAACTGCATGTATTAAATATTAAATATTTATATATTACTTATTTTAACAGATTCTAATTTAGTGTAATACTTTTTGCATTGACAAAATGACAAAACAAATCATACATTTCATAATGTTGAAATACTATATACAGGAAATTATTGTTTATTCTTGAACCGTGTATAAAATTTATTTTCTTACTTTAATATATGTATGTAAGAAAATACTGTGTCGCTAAAAACATCCAGCACAATAAATATTTGTTACAATATTACTTGTTTCATTATCAAAAATATTTCTCAATTTGAATAACATAAATAAGAATTTAATTATTAAATTAAATATTCTATTGTTCAGAAAAAATAATATTCATACCGCAGTTCACCAGAGTCCATAACTGCGAAAAGACCTGTTTTCGTTCTTTGCGCTTCTCCAGTGCGCATCTTCACCCTGATTGGCGATACTCCCAAACGAAGTGGAAAGCGATTAGCAGAGAGCTCGCTGCATTCCCCCACCATCTTCCAACCTGCGAGTCGCAGTTATGGACTCTGGTGAACTGCCGTATAGAATAAGTAGAATAGTTAACATAAATAACAAATAAACAGAATCACTGCAGAGTGTTGTACAACAGTTTGTAAATTGTGTACACACTACCACATTGTCATACTTTAGAGTTAAGTTATTAGAGACACATGTACACAAATATCAATATTCCATTTAATATTCCAATCAAATAATTCACTTGCACCCCTGATGTTTTTGGAAATCTGGAAAAAGTTAAAACATGTTACAAGAATATTTGAACAGTTCCTGTTTGTACATATTTTTATTAAATATAGTCAAAACTCTTTCAAATTCTGACTTACCTTCGATTAGAAGGACTAAAAGGGGAAGGCGGATTGATACCAGGAATACTGCTATCTTTGTAAATTATAAACCAAGTAAAACCCATCATTATGAGACCACATACTGCTGCTCTTATCAACCATCCATATGTTTTAACAACTGATGTCATCACATTCAGAACATCATCGTATTGACTAGTATTAACAAACTTTTCATTCACAGTGGTTAATTGTTTTACATTAAATTCTGATACACCAGATGTATATGATAAATCAAATACATTGGAGATATTTGAAAACATAGTTATTGGTGACATTATATATTTAAAATTATTTTGTAGCTGGACAATATTCCCTGAAGAAATTATATCAATGAATCAAAAACAATGATTACAAAATTGTTCATTACATGCAATGCTGCAATAAGCCAATTTGTTTCTATAAAAATGATGTTTCTAATAATATATAGCAGATACTAAATATATTTTTTTTATAAATTTAGCAATGATCAATGCAATATTACACAAATTTAATAGCTTAATCTATAAATTTTACAAAGTTTGAAGCTTGTCAATACGAAGATCTTGGAAAAAGTAATCACACATACTGTATTTTCTGTATTCTGTCAATATCATAGCAAAATAAATATACAAAACAAATACATAACAAACATGCAACACTTATTGACAAGCATTAATCTTACAAAACATATCTTTAACAGAAAAATGTTATCTCTATACAAATTATCACTTACCGTAATTAATATATAATTTTCCCAAAACAATAGACAATGACATTATGAAGAGTAAACAACTAAAAATCCACTCATTTATTTGTAATTTTCTCCATAACCTTACTGGTGCTGTATAATTTTTATTGATTACTGACTCTCTAGTTCCATTAGAAAATAAATATAATTCCTTCTCGGTCATTTTTAATTCCAATTAGAAACAAACCATGTATTCTCACCAGCCACTCAAAAGATCAGAAATGACAAATGATATGAATCTCCAAAAATAACAGTGAATAATAACATATGTGTGTATGTGTATAACGTGTGATTCATATACAATACATATATATATATACATACATATTCACATTCACGTGCATGTGCATATATTCACGCATGCGTTTAAGATTCTCAGGATCGTATCATACCAAACACAGAAATCTAAATTTAACAATATATTATCATATCATTTTACGTTAAGATAGGTACTTATAACAAATAGTTTAAAAGCCATATAAACTATTGAACAGATTAAAGCTAAAAATTAATACTAATTTCAATTTTTTACCATATTATATACGCAGATATGTATTATAATATTGCATATGTATGTAATTATTTCTTCAAACTTGTTGCTAATTGAGGTTACCAAATATTGTAAATATGTTCCTGAAATATCATATTTAATTTATCATCTAAAATGGTAGGTGCAAAAAAAGATAAATAATACATACTGTTGTAACGTTCCTGCGAATGCTACAAACTTATGGAGGGGCGAAAGATAGCTTGGAGTTTTCAACTAACCGTATTCGTCATTCGGTTAGTGGCGGAGACAGTGGTAAAAAGAGCTGGTTCTCGACTAGGTGATAGTGTATGCGTTTACTTATATGGAACCATAAATTTTACATGATCGTATACTATTGAAAAAATGGCAGCGCAAGAAGAAGTTGGCATCGGAGATTTGGTTCTTTTAGATGAAATTACCGTAGAGAAGGTTGTAGACAACTTACGGATAAGGTAAGATTATATTCTAAGCAGTATTGGATATGACAGTAAATGATAAATTTGGCGGGAAATCAGGAAATGTATGTTGACCTTTCCCTCAATAATTATCGCAGGTGTTTTGCAAGCGTCCCGGTAATTTGTAGTACTTCATAGATCATCCACCAAGAGGGCGTGGCTAACCATGTATTAGCAGGTGGTTGCAATTCGACTTCATATATGTATTCAGATTTGAACTTGACCTAAAAACTTACCCTGAAAAAACATACCCCCGATTTGTAATAAAATCATCCGTTGATAAGAGGATTACAGAATTCGTCATTAAACCTACGTATCAGCGACAATAAATTTGAATTTCTATATATTTTGATTATTTTTATACATAAAACTTGTAATTATAATATAGATTTGATCGCAATGTGTATTGTTACGCAATACAACCGTTAGTATATATTCAAACATGATTAGGTTTTATAATAATTGTTTAAATCTTATCAGGTTCTCTTGTCTATGAGTCATCGTCTCCGGTTTGTATTTAAGCTTTACGATTTGTTTCACTTTGTCGAAACTATTTTCATTTTTCCCATGTCATATGTAGCTACAGAACATTTTTGAATATTATTACTTAAAAACAGTGTGTTTGTTTTATTTCATTAAACCTCAGAAGTCCATGTATTACGTATGTTTGAAAAAAATAAAATAATTTTAAACCCAAGATAGAGAATGCGAATAGATAAGACTTAGCGTGTTAAATGCGGAACCTTCTTGTTAAATATGTAATGTTTCCTACGCAAAAAGAATTTTAAAATAAAGTACAAAGTTATATAATTTCTAGCGCGTATTAAATAAGAAAAAGTAAAAATTAAATATCTCGTTATATCACCTTATCCTTGATAGAAAGATAAAGTTTATCTTTAACAAATAAAAATCGAATTCCAATTATCAATTTTGTCATAGTATAAAATACATAAATTTAAATTATCTTTTGTCTATTAATTTACCATTTTTATGTTATATTTCTAAATTTATTGTTCTAGGTTCAATGGTGGTAAGATTTACACATACATTGGTGAAGTATGTGTCAGCATAAATCCTTACAGAAGTATAAATATATATAACAATGAGCATATCAATAAATATAAAGGTAAATGATCGTACTGCACATGTTTTATATTTAAGTAGTATAATAAAAAATGATATGAATTTAAATTTTAGACAGAGAATTATTTGAAAATCCACCACATATCTTTGCAATTGCTGATGCAGTACATAGAGAAATGAAACAACAGGGTCGTGATACCTGTATAGTAATTAGCGGAGAGTCAGGATCTGGGAAAACAGAAGCAAGTAAAATCATTATGAAATATATTGCTGCAGTCACAAATTTAAGTGGTCAGCAAGAAATAGAAAGGTATATCAATTATTCATGAATTATGAATTACTACAATTAAATTTTTGTAGGTCATTGTGGGTTACTATAAGCAAATAAATACAATAAAACAGTTATACCTACTTCATTTGCTTTTAGGATTTTATAGTTTTTAGCATTTAAAATTATTTTTTCTTGTATGTCAGAGTAAAAGATATTCTTATTCAATCCAATTCCATATTGGAAGCCTTTGGAAATGCAAAAACAAATAGGAATGATAATTCATCACGGTTTGGAAAATACATGGATATAAATTTCAATTTCAAAGGAGATCCAATTGGTGGTCATGTTACTAATTACTTGCTGGAAAAGTCAAGAGTTGTATATCAACAAAATGGTGAAAGGAACTTCCATTGCTTTTATCAGGTATCGATCAGTTCTTTTTATTCATTTATTTATTTATTTATTTTTTTTAATATTATATGATATATATTTTATTTTAAATATATAGTTACTAAATGGGTGTAGTGAAGGAGAATTAAATAAACTAAGGCTGGTAAGAGATCCAGCTGCATATTTCTATGTTGGTGCTGGAAATTGTAACAAAGCAAGTCCAAATGATAAAAGTGATTACAAAACAGTCATTTCTGCTATGGCTACTCTTGGGTTTACACAAAATGAAGTACAAACAATCTGGAATATCATTGCTGGCATACTACATTTGGTTCGTTGTAATTGATATAATTTAAATATAAAAGAAAGTCAAAACTTCATTGAAATAATATTTATGTATTTTATAGGGTAACATTACTTTTAAACTTGAAGAGGATAAGCTTTCAATTGCAAACAGAACTGCCTTAAATGATACAGCAAATTTGTTTTCTATTAGCCCACACGAATTAAGTACTGCTTTAACTCAAAGAGTTATTGCAGCAGGTGGAGAAGTAATGCAGAAAACTCATACTTCAACAGAAGCAGAATATGGAAGAGATGCTTTAGCAAAAGTAAGGATCTTTATTTGTTAATAAACATATGTATGTATTATGTATAATAATTTATACCGAATGTTTCAGGCTATATACGAAAGGTTGTTTACCGAAATAGTATCACGTGTCAATAATGCTATTAATGTAAATGATACAGAAACTTATCAGAGATATAGAACAGTGATTGGTGTTCTTGATATATACGGATTCGAAATTTTTGATGTAAATAGTTTTGAGCAGTTTTGTATTAACTACTGTAATGAAAAATTGCAACAACTATTTATTGGTAAGATAGTCTTGCGTAAAATTATTACATTGAACATTTAATGTAACATTGATCTCTAATGTTCTAGAATTGGTATTAAAGCAAGAACAGGAGGAATATCAAAGAGAAGGCATAGCATGGCAAAATATTGATTATTTTAATAATCAGATAATTTGTGAGCTAGTAGAACAACCACACAAAGGAATTATAGCAATTATGGATGAAGCTTGCCTCAATGTTGGCAAAGTCACAGATGAGGTCAGTCTTTGTAAATTATTTCACGTGTATTAAAAGAAATTATTTATTTTATAATAATATTTATTCCAGATGCTTCTGGAGGCAATGGATAAAAAATTGTTTGATCATAAACATTATTCTTCTCGGCAATTAAAACCGATGGATAAAGAACTTCTGCATAAAGTTCAATTTAAAATTAAGCACTATGCTGGAGATGTAATATATAATATTAATGGTTGCTTAGATAAAAACAAAGATACATTATTTCAAGATTTTAAACGGTTACTTTATAACAGTAGGAATTCAATAATTAGCAAAATGTGGCCTGAAGGAGCTCAAAATATTTTAAAGGTATAAAAATACATTCATGATATTGCAATGTATTAAAATGCTTATGTATTTATATTCATTTATTTCAGACAACAAAAAGACCTTTAACAGCTGGAACAATGTTCCGTAATTCTATGATACTTCTGGTTAAGAATTTGACAAGCAAAGAACCATTTTATGTTAGATGTATAAAGCCTAACGAAGTTAAATCACCGGTTGTGTTCGACGAAGAAAGAGTAAATCATCAAGTACGATATTTAGGTCTTGTTGAAAATGTATTAGTCAGGCGTGCTGGTTTTGCGTATCGGCAACGATACGATACATTTTTAAAACGGTATTATCACTTAAATGTACATAATTATTTTATGATAAACCCGTACCAATAACAAAACTGTTTTCATCAGGTACAAAATGATATCTCAATATACTTGGCCAAACTTTAGAGGCGGTACTGATAAAGATGGTGTACGTACATTAATGAATGAAAAGGGTTTCAATAATGATGTGAAATATGGTCATACGAAAATATTCATTCGCTCACCTCAAACACTCTTTGCATTAGAAAAGGTTTATTAATTGATTTTCATTAATTCAATTACTTTATTTAAAATCACCTATACATATGAACCATAATTATATTTATAGGCACGTAGTGATTTGATACCAAGTATTGTGATATTATTACAAAAGCAATGGAGAGGATATTTGTGTCGTCAAAAATATAAAAAAATGAAAGCTGCACTCGTCATAATGAAACATTATCGAAAGTATAAAATACGTACTTATATCAGGGAATTAGAGAAAACCTTCCATAATGCAAAGACGATGCGAGATTATGGTAAGCACTTGGCTTGGCCTCGTGAGAATTTTGCCGTAAGACATGTGATACCTGCTCTGAAAGTTATGTATGGAAGATGGAGGGCATGGATGATTCTCCGACTTATCCCTAGGGAAGATTGGCCTCAGTTACGATTAAAAGTATGTATATCTCACGAAGATTTTTGATTTTCAATTTCAGTGTATAATATTATTATGATAATAGATGGCTGCTGGGAGTGTTTTGCGTTCAAAACGAGCTTATTGGGGACAAGACAGACGGTGGGAAGGAAATTATTTATCCAAGCCAGAAGAAAACCCTCAAAGTGATGTTTTCAATGCTTCGCTAAACAATCTTCGCAATACGGATCATTTTAAGACAGTTTTGTTCAGTGCCTTCATCAGAAAAACTAATAGGTTTGTGTCAAATATATTAAACTATGTGTATTTTATTCTAAATAAATTGTACTTGTAGATTTAATAAACCAAAAGATCGCGTACTAGTAGTTACTGAGCATGCAATATATAAACTTGAAAATTCTAAATTTAAAAATATGAGAAAAGGTATGCCAATAACAGAGATTACTGGTTTGAGTGTATCACCCGGAAGGGATCAACTTATAACAATTCATTCAAATAGAGGAAACGATTTCATTATGTCTATCATTACTAAAGAGGATAAAGTTGGAGAACTTGTTGGTATTTTAAGCAATAAATATAATCAGTAAGTATATATTTAAGATCATTTTTAAAGAAATCTTTCGTCACGACACATGCTAAGAAAATAAATTCTCTATTAGATTACGTTCTGCTGACCTACAAGTTATGGTGGATGTAAAATTTAAGTGTATGTTAGGAAATAAGAGCAAGGTGCTGCGAGTAGAAGTACATCCGGAAGTTATTGAACCAACGTTCAAAAAAGATGGAGATAATATTGTATATGCCATTCCAGCATCGATTGGTATAATCGATGGAAATACTAATGCAAGGTTTCAAACTAGGACAACTAATTAACATAGTAATTTGTTTGATATTCAAGCAGAAGCATTATAGATAAATTATTTTTAAAGCTTCTATGAAAATACTTCGGGATTCTTATTCGTGCATCTTAAAGGTTGTTTTAAGCATTTCTAAATGTACAAATCCTATTGAGTCATTATTAATAAGTTGAAAACAAATGAGTATACATTTATCTGATAATAAGAAGTATTTTTTAGTAAAAAAGATAAACGAAATAATAATTTACGTAAGTAACTTCACCCGGCATGAACCAGATAAGCAAATGAAAGATATCAGATAATTATTGTTTAACAGAATTAATTCTTTTATGTAAATACATATCAAAATAGATTCATTAAAAGTAATGCAATACTTTGCAAGTAATGCAAACGATAAATGTATTACATATGTGAATAACTTGTAAATTATAAAATTGGAATGATATATATATATATACATATATGTATACATATGCATAGTATTTAAGAGAATTTAAACAGTATTGCCTTAAGAAAGTATCATTTTTTGATACACTAGCTTTATTTACGATTGTGGCCTTCTACTTAAATGTTTATACGATATTTGAATACCTAATGAATTTTGTAAAATACGATTTATATTTAATGTTAAAACTGCACTTTATATTGTTCAAATTTTACATTCTTAAGCAAAAAATGTTTTACAACATAAGAATTTTAGTATTCATAGAAGGTTTGTCATTATTTAATTACAATATTGAAAATTTATTAACTATGTTAACATTATAGTTATCTAACGTTACTGTAGTGCTATTGACAAAAGTGATAATAACTTTGTACTTGAAAGATTATAAAGCGATTTTGCACACTGTAAAATGGTGCCATTGTTATAAATAAACTGATCTTTTTATATATTTATATCTGTATAAAATTATTGTATTAGAATGATAAACAGAAACAACACCGAGTTTATTATAAACATTTCACTGCAAGCTAAAAAGTTAAAATGCTTTTCTTGTACTTTTTATTGTTAAAGTATAATAGAATACATTTTTTATACAAAATAATAGGGTGATCTAATCAATGCGTTGATATAGATATATGTATCCTAATTCTTTTGGTGGATTTTCAGATAACGCAACCTATAATAAATAATACATATAAATCTTTTTTAAAGGCATACAATTCTTTACACTTACGACACATACCTTGTCATCATTGTATATTACCCATCGGCCTTCTTTTAAAAGATGACACACATAATGTCCTACCATTGTGGACGTTCCCATGTGAGATATAAATCCCAATAATTTATATACTAGAACATAATACAAAAGAATTAAATACAAAATTTCAAAAATAACAGATGAACGTGATTCAAAAAAGAAACATCGTACGGTGATTTCCATCTCTGAATGTCTCTTCGGAATGGACTGATTCATCTTCAACTTCTAAATTATCTAACTCAGCTTGATGACTAAAAATCCAGTCTGCTGCACGTTCTAAATTGTTGTCAGTTGCTTTAAGAGCTTTCGTTGCTTGTTCTCTTGTGAAACCCATTCCCATTACCATCGCGAGTGCCTCTTCATTCGGCGTAAATCTTTCTTTTCCTAAGATCAATCCAATAATCTCATTTCTGGTATTTATCAATAAATTTAAACCAATGCTAAGTTACCTGATTTTGCGTCAACTCCAGGTGGTACAAACGGCTCCGCAAAATCGGAATCCATAATGTGTTCCATGAGCCAATTAGTAGCTGCTTCTAAATTACGATTCACCGTAAAGTATAGGGCCCTTTTGCAAGCTTCCGGTGGAAATCCCATATCTATTAACTGATTCAATATCACGGTATCGTAAACTGGCGGAGAAGGTTCAGAACCATTTGTTTCTGGCAGTAATTCTTCTGTTGGTTGTAAACCAAACCCACGAAGAGAACTTAAATCCAATATATCCGGCATTTCAACTGCTACATCTAATTTAACAGGTATCCAGGTTTCTTCTCGTGTTACCATGAATTTTTTCAAGTGGATTAATAAATAATCCGGAAAAGTAGCGAGTCTAGTTGTTCTATGAAAAAAATACATTTATTTATTACGTGTAACGTTTACCGTATGAATTATAACTTACTTTTGTGCAGTAGTTTTCTCGTTCAGTGCTGAACTGTAAAATTGTTCTACTATTTCAGACCGAATAAACGCTTGTAAGCAAGACGAAAGCTTTATACGTGGTCTGACAAATGCATTCGAATCTAATTTCTGTCCTTTTGCCTCAGCTTCTTTCTTTGCTTTCTCGTAAGCTTCAACTTCCTCCTATATATTAAAATAGATATAATATATAATGCTCAAACATATTTTATAATCAAACAGTTATATAATTTACCTTGTTTATTGCAGCCTCTACAGGTATTGACAGTGGCAGTAAGTATTCCGGACGATAAGTGTATTTTACCTTATTAGAACGACTGCATTGATGCCTTTCTTCCACTTTAAATTTGAAACATTCGGTTGGATTTGCCTGGTGGCGACTGTGACGCTATGTGATTAATTTCCTAATATTAGTATCATAATTTTATATGAAAGGAAGAACTATTTTTAATATAAAATTTCAAACTTAATTACATCGATAACATTTATAAGGTGAAGAAAGAATTCTTGTGCATCCTGCTGTCCGGTTGTAGAAAATCCAGGATGTTCACGGCAAACTAACGTTTTAAACATCCGCGGAGGAATACCTTGACGCGATTCATTTTCATTATTTGTACTTGGTGGTATTGAGTATTTACCAGACAGTAAACCAATCCCAAGTTTAGCCCTGTAATAGAAATCATTCGTATCTTAAAGTTCTTTAGATGCAATTCTTTTTGTAACTTACATTTGAACGTTAAAATCATTTGCCGGATCGATGTAACTTTGCTGAAATATTGACGGTGCATTATCTACAAATCTGAAATTAATTTCAAATTATCACGTGCTATGTGTATACAAAACAGAGTGAAATATAAGTGTTAAATTCGAACCTTTTAATGAAATCTGGAATCACAAATAACATTTGCATAACACTATTTAAATAGCAAGAATTTCCTAAGTTGGCAAGTCCTGTGTATTCAGGTCCATACAAAGGTGTTAACTTGCTTGCAGCCTCTTGCAGTGCAACCCATTCACCAAATCTTTGATTAAGATCTAATTCAAGCTCCACCATAGATTTATCAGATTTCTCCATTTGACCAATATTAATACCCCAATGAGCTAAATGAGATACCAGATACGGATCCTCCACTATATCATCTTCGTCATATGAAAATACATCCCCCTTCCCTTCTTTAGTTATAGTCCCTAACTTCACAGCTAAAGGATAACCGGTAGCACAATAATGTTCAACAGCATGATCATTTCCTCCAGTTCCATCATAAAATTTACGTCCACAAAGAATACTGCCATCAGTTAGATTGAGCCACAGATTCTGGGTCAAATCACATTTCTCGCATTTCCATCCACTTGGAGGTATCTTTTTTCCAGTATCTAACTGCTTAAGATTTGCCGCATGTCTAAAAATAAAACAAACGGGTAAAATGATGATGCAAATATTTTGTATTACTATTTCAATTTTTAACCTCACTTTGAAACTGCTCTTATTTCTCCATCCCAAGTTCCAGACAATGCATTTACTTCTGCTGCTTTTGTTGCAGCTTCTGCTTCTAATACACCTTTGATCGAAAGCTCTACCTATAAAAATTACATAAAATTTATACATCATTGTTATTCTTCAATCTATTGTTATATGAAACTTACTTCTTGTGGTAAGTCATCTGTTGGATAAGGTATTGATGTGAAATTTGGTAAAATAATGATTTGGTAAGTTTCATGGTAAGTATATTTTTGTATATCTGGTGTAAAACCATCAGCTGTTCCTATTGCTAATCTTGTAATTTTCTTTTCAGGTCCATCTCCTTCATTTTCAGAGGGGATCTAAAAACACAATTGTGTTGTACATTCTACACATACATTTTAATATAATTATATTCTACGAATAACATACTTCTTTTCTTCTTCGTTTAATGTGTAGAAATACAGGATTATTTGTTAACTGATAATAATGCTCTACATGATCCTGACCAAATCCAAGAAATGTGGTGAGATTAACATACAGGCCAGTAGAAGAATCCTTAAAATGAAATAATGAAAATTATTATTATTATAGGATACTTTTATCTGTAATTATAAAATCGTCCTGACATCTTACCGGATTATCGAAAGAATAAACACACTCATCTTTGTATATTTTATCGTTCTTTTGGGGTATCCTTATTTTAGACAAATTTTTCATCAACTCTTCCATCGCAAATCAAATGAGACCGCTGTGAAAATATGAATCCGATCACACAGAATATTTGTATTAAGTTGAAAATAACCTATTTTAAGATCGCCGGTTTTATCGTATTGATGATATGCGTGATTTGAGAAATAAGACAAAAAGGAGCGGAACGTATTCGACTCTTCTTGTTTCTCTTTAAAAACCAGTGGTGCTCAACGATGAACTACGATACTTTCATGATATGACATAATTTACTATAATACATCATTTAACGAAGCATCATGGATAGAAAAACATTTTTTGACACATTGCTCTATTAAATAATTCAACAAAGTTTCTTAATTATAAAATAGGACAGTCACTATTATTCGTTCAACGAAAGACCGCACCTGTTTTGCGCAGCTCGGGGGTTCCCTCTACGCTTACTTTTAGCTTCGTGGTCATGTACACGGTGGACAAAAGATATTTGAATAAAGGAAAGAAGAGATGATGTGCAAGAGTATACTAAATAAAAAGCCACTGGATATGTATGCTTGGTGCCGCAAAGCACTTGCGCATATGAGGCATGCTTGAACCGATCAGAGCTAACATGGGCAGAACCAACGAAAACTCATTGTATGATAGGTATGATCTCTCTGTATATACCGCAGTTCATCAGAGTGCATAACTGCGAAAAGACCAGTTTTCGTTCTTTGCGCTTCTCCAGTACGCATCTTCGCCCTGATTGGCGATACTTCCAAACGAAGTGGAAAGCGATTAGCAGAGAGCTCGCTGCGTTCCCCCACCATCTTCCAACCTGCGCGTCGCAGTTATGGACTCTGGTGAACTGCGGTATATGTATACATATGTATTTATATATGTAAGTACATACAATATACCGGGATCAACATGGTAGCTTCTATGGCTAGATCTTATATTCAATTTTGGTAGGTTTTTATACATTGTAATTTTGTATTACTCATGTTTTCATATCATATTTTAATAACTTCATTATGGAGTATATGTTACTTATGATGTTACCTAAAATATATATTATATAATATATTTAACCTTCTTTCATAAATGTAAGTAGAAATTTAATTTGTTACTTTATATGTTTACAGTTTGCCAAGACAATTTTTGATGGATTCTATATGGAGAGAACAAAGTATAAATAACATTTTACAGACTTTTTGTTTATCACAAGCACATTACCAATGTTATCGTACTTCATCCATCTTATTAAAGAAAAGAGGTTATAAAGAACAAAAGGTTTATATAGATATATTTACATATACATTTATTAAGTGTACATTTAAACAAGAACTAAAATATTGAATTATTTTTAGGATATTAAAATATTATTGAAAGAACAGATTTTGAAAGATCCTACCATACCTCTTGAAGAGCCTAAAAGACGAATTTTACCAACAGTAGAAATATGGGATAATATGACTGTTACAGAATTAGCAAACTCTTCTAAAAAGGCTATTAACGATGTTATAGACTGCCTTTGGATTAAGCACAAAAATATGCATTTCGATGAGAATACTGTTTTAACAGTGCCTTTAGCAGTTGAAGTAATTAAAGCGTGTGGTGCAAGAGCAAAAGTTATAGCACCAGGAAAGGTAAAGAAAGAATCAACATATGAGGATGTTAAACGGTAATGTAAAACTACTTTTTAAAAATAATGATACAATATTAATATAATTCTATGAAATATTTTAAATTTTACCTAGGCTTCCACCTGATAAAAGTCAGCTAGTAAAAAGACCACCTATTGTGACAGTTATGGGACACGTTGATCATGGTAAAACTACTCTGCTGGATGCATTAAGACATTCAGATGTTGTAAAATCAGAATTTGGTGGAATTACCCAACACATAGGTGCTTTTAATGGTGAGTAGTAGTAGTAAATACCAAATGAAATGATAGTGAATAAAGTGAATTTAATAATGATTTAATTATAGTGACCTTAAAATCTGGGGAACAAGTTACATTTTTGGACACTCCAGGACATGCTGCTTTTAGTTCTATGAGATATAGAGGGGCACATGTAACAGATATTGTGGTACTAGTAGTAGCAGCTGATGATGGTGTTAAGGATCAAACTTTGCAAAGTATAGAAATGGCAAAAGATGCCAATGTTCCTATTATTGTAGCTATCAATAAAATTGACAAACCTAATGCTAATATTGTAATGTTCTTTTAAATAATAATTATTTATTTTTAATATCGAGCTCGAAATTAAATTCGGTCAATTTTTAAATCCATAATTTTTGTTTTAGAAAAATACACAAAACGAGCTTGCAAAGCAGGGTATAATAGTTGAGGAACTTGGTGGTGATGTTCAGTGTATTAAAATATCTGCTTTAAAAGGAATTAATCTTGAAGAGTTAACAGAAGCAATAGTGTTACAAGCTGAAATTATGAATTTAAGAGGAGATCCAACAGGATTAGTTGAAGGTGTTATCATTGAATGTACTAATGACGTTGGCCGCGGAAAATTAGTTACAGCTTTAATTCAGCGCGGCACTTTGAAAAAGGGATGTCTTTTAGGTAAAGAATAATGCGTATAAATAATATAAATTGTCATTAAACAAATAAGCTATTAAGTTGATTTTGGTTTTTTTAAGTGTCGGGATTAGCATGGGCAAAAGTGAGAGCTATGTTTAATGACTCTGGCCGTCCAACTTTGGAAGCCAAACCATCAGAAGCGGTACAGATCATTGGTTGGAGAGCGTTACCTGATGTTGGGGATGAAATATTAGAAGTGGAAAATGACAGAGTACTGCATAATATTCTCAAGCATAGAGAACATCAACAAAATCAAGCGTTAGCTATGGAACATAAAATAATGGCTGAAAAGAAAGAAGAAAAACACCTGAAGGTAATATCAACAAATGTCGAATTATAAAAAATTATTTACATGATAAATGTTTCGATGATTACAGGAATATAAGCAATTTTTGAAAGTAAAATGGTTGTTTGGAAAGGACAAATCAGCATTAAAACAGTTACAGCAAAAACGACAAGAAAAAAACAAAGAAAAAGAGAAGGGAAAAGAGGAGGATGATTTACCTACAATTAACGTCATTATCAAGGGAGATGTATCGGGGAGTGTTGAAGCATTATTGGATATTTTAGATACTTATCAATCCGATAAAATCTGTCGTTTAAATATTGTTCATTACGGCGTAGGCCCTATTATAGAGACAGACGTACAATTAGCAGAAACATTTAATGGTAATATAATATTTAAAACAAATATTGTTGCATTGTTAGAAATTATTTTAAATTATATATTTTGTTTAGCAATTATTTATGGTTTTAATGTAAATATACATAAGAAATTGGAAAATGAAATTAAGCAAAAAGGTATATCTCTTCGATTTTATAACGTCGTGTATAAGCTTTTTGACGACCTCAAAGAAGAAATCAATAATATATTACCTGAAGTTGAGGTTGAAGAAGTCATAGGTACCTACAACGTAACAAACTAAATGTTGCATGTAAAGTTGTGAAAAACATTTGTTTACCATTTATTGTTTTAAATATAGGTGAAGCAAAGGTACAACAAAAATTCGAAATCAAAGAGGGAAAGAAAAAAGTATTGGTTGCGGGTTGTCGGTGCGTTAAAGGTGTTCTTTTAAAATCTGAATTGTATAATGTAATCAGAAACAATGAAATTATTTACAAAGGTAAATATATCATACAGGCTTGTGTATGTTAATAATAAATAACAACTGAATATTTTGTTGTAGGAAAATTAACATCAATGAGGCATTTAAAAGATGAAGTATCTTCGATAGAAACTAATCTTGAATGTGGTCTGAGATTTGAAGATCCAACTATACAATTCCAACCCGGAGACACCATTGTATGTTACAAACTACAAACTCAGCGTCTAACAGTTGACTGGGATCCTGGATTTTAAGTCTATATACACTGCTGGCCAAAAGTATGGAACCATCTGATCCAAATGATATTTTTATTAAAATCAGATGATTTTTATTTTTCAGTATTTAGAAAATTTCACTGTTCTTATCAATAGGCGGTGCCATACTTTATGCTAGTGGTACACTTGCATTTAAAAAGTTACAAACTAATATATTCACACAACATAAAATAAAAATAAAAAAAATTAAAATATCTTGTCTTCCTTCTATCAATGGGTAATTAAGTTATTTGCATAAAATGCATGTTTACAAAGTGTAAGTACAAATTTCTTTATTATTACCTTTGTGATGCAGTACTGTGGTCTTTACATTTTATTGATTTAAACGAATATACGAATCATCATATCATTGTTAATGATTGATTGTACTAATTTAAAAATGTTTCATTTTCAGAAATCAAATTTTTATATCTATCATTGTTATGAAGTTAAAAATTAGAAGTTTTTTTTAATCTGTAGCCTTGATATCCTGATTTAAAAATATAAAAATACAATCGCCTTCGTTAAGAGGCGTAAGTTTCACGAAGACGACGTTGAAGATGATGGTACGCGTTCAGAACGCCGCGTTTTTTTTTTTGTAAACGACACGGTGCTGATTCTTGATTAGCCATTGCAATTTTTGTATCCAAAGGCTCGATGGGGATATTGTCGTCCGGATGTACGAAGAATGCAATGGAATGGCGACCCCGGCCACAGAGTTCCGGTACAACAACACGGTGTCTTAATGCTGGAAGTTGATTGTTGGTCCAATTCGCTAAAATATCACCAGTATTCACCAAAATAGCACCAGGAAGATGACCGACTCTTCCCCATCGTTCTCCGTATGGAGTTTGTATTTCCAGACCACCTTCACAATCCTAAAAATAATGGTAATATTTCATAGACAATCTGTTCTCTTATGAAGTTTACTATTTAATAAATTTCATTGTATAGAATTAATTAGAAAAATTTATCTCATATGACAGCAGTGATTGCTTTATCATTGTTATACTTTAATACAAGTTTTATCATTTGTCTAGCTTGCTGCGTCTACATACTTGTGCCAACAAAGTGAAAGTGCCGTAATCGCAATGCGCGCCACAACGAGCCAATCCTGGTACTGGTGCACCGAGAGGTGGATAGTAAAGCAGACGGAGGGTCGTCTTGTTACCAGGTCCCAGCATGTGTGAATGCTTCGAGAGCAGGAAATCATGGGATTGCTCTAGGCCCACGGCCAGAGCCTACAAGGCATACATCACATACATTGGCCCCTATTTTTACTTTATAGTACCTACTGATAGCTGTAAAGCAACCGAAGAAACCAATCGCGTTAGTTCGACCCTCGGACAGATTGGTTTGTAGGGTTACTCACAGTGAAAGCAACTCACATTTTTTTATTAAACGAACTGTCCATGAATTTTCAAATCGTTGTTTAAGTAGTGTTCACTTAAGCGCGATGATTTAACTTTAGAAATACAGAAAGAATACGAAACTAACAAAGGAATTACTTATGAATCAATCTGTTCAATTCAATGGAATATTTGCTCTAAATTTAACAATTGAATTTTTGTAAGTAGCGTAAAGAGAATTTGATTCAAGAGCCAGATAATTCTACACGTTCCTGATGTTCTTTATGTATCGTCAAATAATTAAGAAATCTTATTAATTGATTTAGAAGTAACCAAATGATGAAACACAATAAACACTGACTCTTGCATCAGAGTAATTGTTTTTACATTAAAAGATAGTTAAAAATGGCTCATTGGTTTTTCGTATCAACGTCGATTAATAGAGAAAAAATGTCTTTACGGTTAAAAGCATGGCGGATAGTTGCTTGAAATCACGAGCAAGTTCATCGACCGCTGATCTGAAGCCGGACACCTCCTCGTCCGGAAGAGTACCCCCGCATCCGGTCACATTGAAAACATGACGAGCTTCTTTCTCATCAGTATATCTGCACAAAATTCGAAAAACTTGATGAGAAATATTCAAACGTGATCACGGATCACAAATGTTAAATCTTACTGGGATGGTCCTGGTTTCACGTATCCGTGATTGCCCGACGAAGCCCGCTCGTATTTGTTCCGAACTTCTTCTGGTAGCTCGCAAAAGGAATCGAAAGCTCTGTAAGCGGCCTTCATCTGTAAGCAGACATAAAAGATGTTTGTAATAATATTTGAAAAGGATTTAAAAAGCCATAATTTCTTTTCAAATTATCATAATCAAGATAATTAAATTTTATATTTTTCTTTCAAGCATTCTTTCTGTACTCAGCGATTCTTGCATAAAATATTCCAGCATTGCACCTGATCGAATGTACCATTATGTAATTAACGATTTTACTTGCTATTGGAAATATGTCACCTTGGCAAGTGACATCCTCGAGTTCCTGATAACTGGTGACGTTAAATTTGTCATCGTGGTGATAAGAGCCACTTTAGTTAGTGTGTTGTAAAATTGAACAAAAGAAAAAAACGACCTACGTTTGACTTATAATTTGAAGCCTTCTTATTTTCTAGGAGCCAGAATTTTTTTAAAAATTTATATATCATGGTTTTTATAATCGACAAGCTTACTTCGGTAGATATAATTTGTTAATTTTTGTACATCTTTTTTCTTCATTATCTTTACTTCTTATATGATTTTATCTCGGCGACAGCTGTTTTATTACTGATATTAAGAGGCATATGTGTACGTCATCAGTTGCATTGAATAGATAACGTAAGACACATATGGTGCGTCATAGATTCATTTTCTTAAATTGGAAATAAGTAGCAAACGAGAATTATATTATAATCAGAACATTTCTTACGTATTCACAAAGTTTTGTAATTTTAAAAATTTTCTTTATAAATAGCGGCCAGGGTACCCTTTTCTACATTTCACTATAGATTAGAAAATATAAAAAATAGAATAATGTTCTTATTATGTGAAATAATAAATAAAAATTGATACTTCTAAAGAACTTGGTCTTCTTAGACAAAAATCTTGTTTCTCCTTCTCCTCCTCCTCCTCCTCCAATAATTCTTAATCTGATTAAAGCTAAAGGTAATTAAAAACGATAGGTTCGTACAGGCCAATTGAAGCATCTGTGAGCTTATGTACATACACGTTTGATAACGAAATATCATGACGTCAATGTAAACTGCACAATTATTGAAAATCAGTATATGAGAGGGAGAGTATAAGAGGAGAGACACTAGAGAGGTAATAGACAACGTACCGAAGCTTGTGAAATAATGAATGCTGGCTTCCTAGCTATTATCGATGTTGTAATATACCTCTTACGTAATGTTTGATAAAAAAAAGTCATTACAAAGGTAGAACCAATAATTTCTGACCGTAACGAGTGTAATTCTAAAAACACGTTCGTTTCTTAACGTGCCTGCTTTAAAGTCTGAAAGATTCTATTCACTTGTGGATGAGTTTGTCAAACAGCTTTTCATATATATTTTTATATAAATTGTATAGATAAGATAAAAAAGAGACGCGTCTGCGATGTCTGGATGAATTTGCTCTTGCAGATATTTTGAGGGTGATAGTTATAGACGTTCAAAGAGTTTATATCATTAACTTGCAAGCATTATCTATATAAGCTAAATAACACTAACGAATTATATTCTTCTATTTAAGGAATTTACAGGAAGCAAAGAATTTTATGTTGAATATATATTACAGTAGAATTAAAATTTTAGAGTGTTTGATAATTATGGAAGATTTTGAAAAATCTCAAGTTTCAGAGTAGCTCAAGTGCTTAGAGTAGCTATAATTTCCAGTTGCATCCAGGTGGCATTCGTTATTCCTTAATTAAGTAAATTGAATGAATTTTCTTGTTAAACAAGGTATCTTGTTAAATAGAATTGTTTTTTAGCAAATTAATTTTCCATAATTTTCAAGCTTCCAATTGATATAATACAAATACTATTTCAGAATACTTTTACATTATCAAATCATGCTAGACTGTCAATGTTTTGAACTGGGGCACCCTGAGTAATCATGGAAAGGTTGACAAGAAAAATAGTATACAAGACAATTAGTCAAAATTGTCTGACTAAAATGATCACTGATAAGAACAGGAAGTCATAGACGTTCTTCGGTATGTTAACCCCTTGTTGGATATCGGTCACTGAAAGAATAGCGTAAACGCAATGTGTATAAGTATGTACTAAATGAATTAACGCATTATACTCGTAGTAGCGTGAAGATACACGATAATTAAACGAACGTATTTATAGTAGAGCACGCGTCATAATTCTCGAATGAATTATCTCGGGAAACTGTAACAAACCGGCAATGATAATGTTCACCATCGCCTCGACAGAAGGTCTTCTTCAGTCGGCAAGGTCATCGCGAGATTCATAAGCTTTTATCATCGAACCCTTTACAATTATTCATTGCACAATCTGTCACGACGAGGACGCAGCAAATCACTCGTTAACGATTCTTTTAGCGAATCGTATCGCCGCGCGGACTCGCAAATTCCGCTTTTCCTTCAACTCGTATTTTCGCCTTGACTCCTTTAATTCTGGTTCTACGCGAGTCAGTAATTTTGTAACATAACCGAGGACGCGTGTTTCGTTACAAGGTAAGAGCTCATAGTGCGTGTAACACGAGGAAATCAGTTTATTTCTACTTTAACGGGTACAATTATTGAAAATAATCTATGAATATTGGTAAGAAATATCAAGTTCCATCAGTATCTTTTATTCATAATTTTAGTTAAACTTCGGTCTTTGATATTAACCCTTTTTTACTGAAGTCACCTTTATCGGAGAGTCGGCGACGCACGGTACTTAGATTACCATTTAACTATAATCTCTAACGAGTAAAAGGTACCTATCAAACTTGACATTTTTCAGTATTGGTAGTTCGATATATTTTCCTGTAATAAATTAATACAGTAAGTTGATTGAACTTTGCGTGAAACTAGCCGAAATAACGGTGTCGAATGAAATTCGTTGAGTGAAACTGTATCAAGTAGCTGTAATTAGAGTAGAGTGGAAATGTTTTTATTAACTGTTCGAAATTTGATTCGGTTAGCTCGTATTATCCCGCAGAGTCGAGTGGTCAAATTATAAAATTATTTTTTCCTTTCGATGGAATTACATGCTCTTGCGACTTGCTTTTGGATACGATGATTATATCGGACGTGTATCGATAAAAATGCGTACCTTGCATTCCGGAATGCCGTGGTTGACGAGCAAGGCCAGTCCTTTCTCGGACAGCGCCCTTACCAGCTTCGAAGCCACTTGTTTCACGACACCCTTCTGAGGACATCTCGCAGTCCCTGGAATAAGAAGACGGATAGAGTGAGAGGAAAGAACGATCAAGAGATAAAGGATTTCTACGTAGCCTACGTGACTTAAATTAGATTCGGTATTTTTCATCGAATTTCATGGATGTAAACGTTTTACACGGATACAAAAGAAAAAAGGAAACGTGATTATTCCGTGGATTTTTTAGCGATCACACGTGTCGCGAGGCGAAATCACGTTCTCACGAAGAAGTCCCGAGAAAGCAATCGTGTCGCCGCGTGGCGTTGTAACAAGATCTCTGTGATACCGTTTCTCTTATCAGGATCTGGCGAAAAACGAGAACGCTTGCTTCTCTGAACTGGTTGAAACTGGTACCGTTTTGAATAAGTTTCAAGTGTGTTGCACTTTTGCATAGAAATTATCTTTTCAGAGGATTTGTAATTAAAATCTTTGAAAAAAAAAATGTGGTCTTTAACGAAGTTAATCAAAACGGTTTGCAAGTTTCAGCTTCTTGATTAGCATTAGTATCACCCTGTATACAGTGAACTCATGCTCCAAAATGTCCCAACTTGTGTATTTCCTATTTAGCTCGCTATTTCTGTGACGTCTCGACGCTCGAGGGACAAAGAAAGAATGAGAACAGAGCAAAGATCGGCAAAGAGAGAACGAGAGAGGGCATTTCCTCTTTGCGTTTCTATGTCCTCGAAAAGATCGCTAATATCGCCAGGGCATCAGGCCAATTCTACAAAAGTCGAAACCAGAAAGAATTAAGTCTTGAGAAATTTTTGAAGTCTTATAAGAAACGATTTATCATAAAAGTCTTCTAAGCGACGGAATTTTTTTTCTTTTAATTATCACGGTATCTAGAAATTCTTGTGTCTCATTGCATTGCAAAAAGATCGAATGATTAAACGTTTTAATCGACATCTTTTATCAAAGTTTTATCGGTTATCTATAAAGAAAGTAGATTTAATTTCTTAACTTAAATCCATGGATTTATGTTTAAAAGCAATTTTTCATCTCCAGGGATTTATCATAATTAATGAAACATTATCATTGATAATTCTTAATGCGCATTATTTATAAAAGAAAGAACAAGATAATTTCAGTAAGGACACATTCTATAATCGATTTTTATACAGATATCAAAGGTGTTTGGTGTTATCTTTACACCATATGTCCTCTCGACCATACTTTTAGGTTTTTGTGAAAACACAAGTGGTTCTGTAAATATTTCTAATTTAGTACATAATTACAAATATAGTGAAATTACTTTTACAAATCATTAAGTTCAAACTATTATACCTTTCAGCGACTCTAACTTTCTTTACAGTTCCAAATTCATTAAAATTGTTCATTTTCTAAACTATGGACTATTATCTCAAAAATTATAAATCAAAAATCTTTCCTTAACAATTTGAAGTCTTAATTTTAATCCACATAATCTTGGACACAATTCATAGATCTCGGTCACGATTAACAAGCAACCGCTGTACAGTCGAAGAAATCTAATCGCGAAATCTAATTCTAAATAGAGCAGTTCGAGGATAATCACGAAAAATTTGCACGCGAAGTGATTCATAGGATCCTTGGAAAATGTTAGCAGCAAGGTAGCACGTTGGCTTCCGTGAAATAGTTGGACAAACACGACGAGATGCTAATTGATTTGAACCAGGTAGTTCCGGTTACAACAGATCGAATTTACACAATATCGAATAGCGTTTGATGTAACGGAACAAACGACCCGTGGAAATAAATAATTGTTTCGAATTTAATGGATAGTAGACGAGGAACCTGCTTTCCATATACTCGCAAAGGGGAGATCGTAGAAAGGAACAAAAGGACCGGAAGCGAGGCTCTTGATTTCTATCATCGCAACACGCTTCGTGTGTTTGGTTCACTTTGCTTTTGATGTTGCTTCACTTTCTATGATTAAATGTCTCTCTCTGTTTTTTGAATATGCGATTGATCTCCCACCATGAAGTATTTTTCTATAAAAATTATTACTTTTAAATGGCCATGAAGAGTAATTTGTAAAATCATTTTCAATTATTATTAATTTGTAAAAGGACTGAATACAGGAAGTTTCCTGGTTGATTGATGAATACTGATGGAAGGCGAAGGTGAACATAGAACAATGAAACGAAGGATCTTTGAGTTACCTTAAAATGCAACTGTTAATTAAGTTGTCTGATAAGTAAATAATGAATTTATGTATGAGCTAATTTGTTCAGGAAAAGGAGGAATTCTTTTTAAAATTTCAACAAACTTGTCCCATTTCCATTCTCAGTAAAATTAGGAACATGATTTCAGATCCATTCAAATAATAAGGCTGCTAATTGAATTAATATTTTTTCCCATTGTTTCCTTAAATAAAGTATGACAGAATCATTTTAATACTCTTTTGACGACAGTTATGAAGAAAGAAAACCGATCAATCTTTCAAGCAGCAGATTTGCAGAGCCCTCAACTGCAAAACAATCTTAATCTGGAAAGTAAGCCTGACTATCGTGGATCAATTAACGATGCCAAGAAAATGTACAAACACCTCGCGAATGGCAACGTTTTCTGCAAAGATTACCGACGACGACGGCGACGAAGGCGAAGGCGAAGGTCTTTTGTCACATGTTGTCGTAAATCGTTCCCTCCACCATTTCGAATACCGCGTGATTGTGGCATAGTAAATCAACCGATGGAAATCCATTGCAAACATATCACGGAACGTTTTTAAGTTTCCCCACTTAGCCTGATTACCTGCTACACTCTTTGTTTACGTGTAAACGGCGAACGGAACCGGTAAACAGCGCGGTAAAAAATGAAGCGTCGTTAAGGGGTTACGCCTAGTTGAGATCTGGTTATTTTCAAGATTTTTTTTGCCGTCCTAATAAATATTTATTATGAAGTGAAATATACCATCGAAAAATACATGTTTTAAGGTTGTTTTAAGATTTATTTAAAAGTAAAATGTTAAATAATGAGGGAAATACAGCTCTTCTCGTAGAACGCCCTTTTCTCGAGATCAATTGCAGTGGCCACGATATCTTCCAAACCGCTTATTTGAAATCAAAACCTTAGCAATAAAACAATAGAAACTTCCTACGGCAGCAAATAATGTTTAATTATAGCGTACTGTATTTTAGTGTTCATAAAGGAAATACAAAAAATAAGGATTACCTACAGCATACACGTGCTATTAAGAATGTGCATCAGCGATAAAAAGAAATTATGCAGATAGTGCGGTTCTATCAGTTCAAGTCGCTTGAATGGATTCTCCTATTTCTTTGGATGATTACAATATTAAAATGCATCCTTAGTAACAGTATACTCTATCGTTATACACTGAGCGAAAGTATCGGTGAGACTGTCGGTACCAGGAGAAACTAGTGAAAATTTTCTCCTGGTTGTGTGTACACCCTAGAAACAGTTTTAAGTCGATACTCGATCGATGAATCGAGTGAGAACGTTATGAATCTCAAGTCAAAAGATTAAATGATTACCAAGCTCTGATATTATGATTTTTATTACAATTTATCGAATCTGAAATATTACCTTTCCATTTCAGCACGTAAAGTATGACAATACTACGATTTTATCGTTAAGCATTTAATCCCTCAAAAAATACGAGAACGTTAAAAATATACGCGAGATTATTAGCCATCACGCAGGAACGATACCGGTGAATACATTTCCGTGAATAGGTTAGATTAACGTCCAATCTGCGATTTGTTTTGCAAAATATATGCTTATACTGCGCATTAAAGACGGCGAACAATATGTAAGTAATCGTCGATTTCGACAGCACCGGATACATAATACGGATAAAGTGTGTCGTTAAAATATTTATATCGATTTGCGAAATATGTATGTTTAATAAATCATCGACTCCGGCAAAACATCGAGCATTTGAATGTTTTGCCGTTAACACGCATGGTGGCGCTGTTTCTTTCTGAGAAAGCTTTGAATCAACGGAAAAGAATAAAATACTCGTATTCTTAGAAATATTCCGTAGTCATAGTGTGCAAAAAAATCGCGTTCAATTTTATAGAAAGATTCGATCGTTTCGCAGCAGTAAAGGCGAAAAAAGGTATCGATGGAGCGACGACGATAAAATGCGATCGCGACAGACGATAACGGTATACGCGACCACCGCGTGAAAACAAATGCTTCGCTAGTTATACCTTTCAACGAATACAAAATCCTGTTTCTTTAGTGTGTAATAAATTTTATGTTTCTTTTGCTGTAGTTTCGTTTTACTTTCGTTTGGACTCATTTGGTGAATACTTTACGTAAAAGAGGTCGTTATACGAGAAGGAGGGATTCAAACGACAAATTCTGATGATCGAATAATCAGCGAAACGAGTATTCAATTGAAGACTGATTTGAAGACTTCCTGTCTGAAACGCGGTTCGTTTGATTCTTTGAAGTTCATTTGGGATACAGATTCAAAGGAGCCTAAGGTTTTTTCCATTTCATGTCCCATCCCTTCACATATATGTATGACATAAAAAAAAGTATTTCAAATAAAATTTATAAAATTAACATTAAACCTTGTATAATTAATTTAGATTTGCATTTACATCGATTAATATTCAAGTAAACATTACTCTTCTTGCATTCTTAAACGCAAAATCGTCTTAGGGGTCCCTAGATCTTGGGGGTCCCTAGACAGAGAAGGTATAACCTAGGTATAATTTTAAATCTAGTTATTTACAATGATATTCTAACTTGAAGAATTCAAAAGTAATAATACTTATACCGATAATAGTGCAGCATATCTTTCAGTTATCGTAAATAAACAAACAAAATGTTAAAATGAATGTGAGCTTTCTCCTAAACGCAATCGTGTTACATCTTCTCTTATTCAACCACGATAATGGAACACGAACGATATCGGAATAGGAAGCAGAATGAATCGCTTTCAGTTGAATTCTGATAACCGCACGACCTAGCTTTCCAGGTAACATAAATGTCTGTTCTACCTAATGCTCACAACGACGAAAGTGAACTCAGAGATTACGATCTAAATCGTTTA